AAAATGTACATATCAGTGATTGATATTTGTTCAAGAATAAACAAACCTTCATTGGTTATTTTATACAGCAATGTTAAAAAAAAAAGGAGAGAGAAACTCCAGCTATTTTGTTTCTTATAACTTTTAACCCTAAAGGGGCCGGGGCGGAATCCGCCCCCCTCCTCTCAACTTTTTCCGCGATAGCTTTAAAAAATGACCGAAAATCAAAACACTCTCATTTTTGGCTTATTATCATACAATTTGATATCGATGTAGAGAGAAACATCTGCAGATTTTTGGCAAAATCGTCAAAGTCAGGGATTTTAAAATCAGCAAAACAGCTAGCAGACGGAATTTGAAGCCAAAGCTTAAAAAACACACACATTTAGTAATTATTGATAAATATGTGATTACAATTTAACTTGCGACTCCAAGACTTTCGATCCAATTTCAGTTTTGAAGTATTGGTTTCAGGATATCATAGGCTGTTGGGTCTGAAAGCAAGAAAAGTTACATCATGACGCCCCGGGTATTTCACACAAAGTATAAAAGGAATGGATTCATGACTTGTTTTCTGATATTAAGTTAAGCAATGAGAGGAACAAAACTGTTGATCATGACAGGGAACAGGGGACTTTCTGAACTCTAAAATATTGGTACATTTATTTGGGGGATGTGAATAGGCTTTTGTCAGAATAATGCTATCATGAGGGTGGAAACAATATCCTAGAAATATTTACGACTGTACATTTTTTGTTGATCAGATTGTTGTGAAATAAGATGATTACATAAAAATGGAGACATGTGCTGGTTTTAATTCTTTGTATAAAACTGTTGTCAGATTTATCATCATAAAAGCGTATACATAATCTCAAGTTATATATCGGTAAAGTTTCATATATAGTTTTTACACACATATCCAACTTTGTTGATCATTTTCTTTAAAGTAAAAATAGCATCAAAATGACGTCTTTGCTGGTTTTAAATTTCTTTAAACAGTGACGTATAACTGTAGTTACATATATTAGTGATCTTGGGAAAGCATACAACTAATAAAACTTTCAAAGAACAAAAGAAACAAAATATTTAATTTCAGCTAAAAATGTCCCGCCCCCCCCCCCCCATGAAACCTTGTCGCCCCCCAGTCGCCCCCCCCCCCCCCACTGAGATTTTGAGTTTCTAAAAAAATTATCATTGATCTACATGACGCCATGGGCGTCAATCCTGGGGGGGGGGGGGGACTGGGGACATGTCCCCCCCCCCCCACTTTTTGAAGGGTGGGGGACACAATATCAAAAGTCCCCCCCCCCCCGATTTCTGAACTCGTGTCTCATTTACAGGGCCCTATTATGTACTACAATGTATCTTTTGCTTAGAAAATATTGGTTAAAGTGGTCAGAAATTGCCTCAGATAGCACCACAGAGCATTTAGAATCCAAAAATTTTCGGGGCCCTTAAGCGGGCCCCGAAACCCACGCCTAAAGCTCAGAATTCTGGTAGCTGATTCAATGACCCCAACCACGAAAACAATGTTCAAAACAATTTCTTATGCCTTTAGCTGAGAAAACCTCGAATATTATGTTTAAATTATTATCTTTTGTGCTAAGATAATCATTGGTTAAAGTGGTAAGAAATTGCCTCAGATCACACCGCAGAGCGTCGAGAATCCAATTTTTTTCGGGGCCCTTAAGCGGGCCCCGAACCCCACGCCTTTAGCTCAGAATAGCGATAGCTGATTCAACGACTCCAACCTCGAAAACGATGTTCAAATAAATATCTTTTGCTAAAATAAAATTAGTTATGACGCCCCCCCCCCCCCATGAAATGTTCCAGCACCCCCAGGGCCCCCCACTGAAACATTCCTGGCTACGCCACTGCCAATAGTATTCGAATGTGCATCCATACCACTGGTGATATTATCTAATAACTGAATAACGGCATGAATAGTCGAATGTTTTCCCCAACATGATCACATCCAAATTGGGAATCCGGTCAAATGTTGTGTTTATCGAGGAAATGCGTCATTCATACGAAAACAATGCGTTGTAATATTTTAGAAAATGTGGTGAGAATAGAAATTGGCCTGTAATTGCTAACAAGTTGTGAATCACCATTTTTAAAAATACGAGTGACCTGACATTTTTTTTCATGGCGCTTGGTATAGATCTAGGCAAGTTACTAAATAAATTTTGAATTTCATGTTCGGACACCGGATTCAAAAATATAGAATTAGCGCTTGCATCTTGAAGAAACTATTCAAAATTAACCAAGCTTTGTGGAATTTCACTGACAAGGGATTCACCAATGTTTGTGAAATATGTATTTAAATGATGAACAATTAGGCGTGGATTATCAATAGAAACGCAGTCGATAGTTGACCGTAGACCGTGGCTCATTATGAAGTACGCTATTAATAACTTTCCATGAACTTTTGATGTTGCCCTTGGCATTGGCAAATTGTTTAGCATAATAATTCTGCTTTGATTGTGTAACACATTAGTTAATATATTTCTGTAACGAACATAATTAGACCGGGTAGTGTCATTGGGATGGGAAATATGTTTCCGATACAACCTATTTTTATAGATTAACACTAACTAACTGTTATCCAGGGTGGTTTTAGGACTAGGTTTTCGAGAATTAAATTTACGACTCTTCATCTCTAATTTGAAAATAATGCGCTTAAATGTATAAATATAAAACCAGGATTAATTCCTTAGTATTCAAAACTATGTATTTATGCCTTGTCACGTAATGTGATCACAATGAGATGTGGTAAATATAATAAAGAATGAATGAATGAATGAATTACAAAATGTCCATAAATCTCACAAAAGCGGTATCTGCATCAGTTGCATTAAAAACTTCAGACCAAATATAATACTGACCTTAATGTCAGTATCGCTGGTAGTCCAGTTGTACAGGTGAACTCTTGTAAATGTTTGGGGCTTACTATTGATGAAACTTTAAGTTGGGGCCCACACGTTGAATACGTGAAGAAAACCGTTTCCTCTCAACTAGGTATATGCTGAATGGAATCCGTGACCATGTTCCCCAAAGCAGCCTGCACTCTCTCTTTGTAGCTTACCGGTACGCCATCTTTAGATTACTGCGGTACTGTTCGAGGAGGACGGTACATAATTATCTCATGACAATATTCTTAACAAATGTCAGAAAAGGGCGCGGGTAGTCCTGAAGAGTGCATTCTTAACTCCATCACTCGATATGTTTGCTAGACTTAAATGGATGTCATTCTCCGAAAGAATTGAGTATATAAAAAGGGGGGCCGTATCATAAGTCCGACGCCTCATTGGTCCGACGCCTCATAAGTCCGAAATGAGGCGTCGGACTTATGAGGCATAAACTTTATTTATTCCGCCTCATAGGTCCGGGTCCGACGCCTCATAAGTCCAACGCCTCATAAGTCCGACAACGGAAAAAAAAAGGAGGCGTTTAATTTGTCGGACTTACGAGGCGTCGGACCTATGAGGCGTCGGACTTATGAGGCGTCGGACCTATGGGGCGTAGGACTTATGAGCTAGGCGTCGGACCTATGGGGCGTAGGACTTATGAGCGGACCCATATGCATTGCCGGTATCTAAAAATAAACATTGGCAATTCCATCGTAACTCACGATACCTTTATAGGTGTCTTAATTCCGTCAACTCGGTGCTCTTATTCAGGGGCGTTGGAACCGAAGCGGGGGGATATTTTTGTCGTTAGATTATATGTAGTCGTATTTTGTAATATAAATCTTGTCAAAAAAAACGTGGTAACTTGAGAAATGCTTCACTTAGAAACTTGAAATTTGGTTTGTGGGTTGTTCTTGGCCGGTACATGTAGTTAAGAAGCCGATCAGAAAGCGGAAGCGGCCCATTGAAAATGTACAGGGGTCCAAACAGTTTTGCCATTTCCTCTCAATTTATCCAGTTGTCTTATTTGTCATTGGAAAAGTCCCTGGAATCGTCATTGGTATTACTGTCTGCCGTGCCTTTTTTGGGGGTACAAAATAACATCTTTAAAAAAGCTTTCGTCTCGTGCGTACGAGGTCCAAGAAAATGAGCTGGCCCGGTTATATACACGTTCAGGAAATTTACGTGCATGCATCCATGGTTTTGACTCCACATTTTTTTTTGCGCGCGCCTGTGCTTCCTTCGCAAAATGTTTACAATATTTTCTCAAATACATAAAAGAAATCTCAATCTGGATCAAACAATGAATCAAAACAGAATCAAAAGGAAATTGCCAAGGAGAAAAATAATTAAAACTTTGCCCGAGGACAATACACAATTTTTGTATAAAATAGGAGAATAAGAGAAAAACTAAAGTGTAAAAAAACCCGGATAGATAGGAGAAAAAATAAAATCAAGGAAACCAAAGTTTAAAGCCCCACAGCACTTTTGGGAAATGACTCTAAAAAGCACAAATTCCTCTTAATTAATACTGCAACAAGAAGTTAAAAAGAGAAATAAATGTATAAAACAAAACTCCTAGGAAACTACAGTCCATGTACAAAAAATATTGGCCTACTAAGTATGTTTGGACGTGCATTTTCTGCTTTTAAATACTCTTTCCATTTAGTACCAATTCGTTGGAAACGCGTTCTTTGTAACCTAATTGAGCGCATTCCCGGTCATGATATCTTTCGAATAATAAATTACTCGGGGGTGTCATAGCTTTACTGGGGACCACTGAAATTAGCTATTGATGGGGCGAATCTATAGTTGGGCCACCCCAATCTATTTATTTTGCAGTCCCAACTATAGTGTACATTGTTGTACGATTATAAAACATTCCCTACAACTCTAATACACATTTGACTTTACTTGGGACCAATGAAATTATCTATGGGTGGGGCCAGCATGATAGTCTACGGCAGTTCTGAGATGGCAAATAAACAACACCATACTAGGCATCCAACAAAATAGAATGGTGAACAACATTGCTCTTGTTGTTAGTAATGTAACACATGAGGAGAAGACTGGGGAAAAGACTCAACACTCCTACATTACCCAGACGTATTTAATGTATTTAGCGCTTCATTCGTACATGGAACCCGACTAACACAATTCACGTGGCATTGTTCGTGGATCGGCTTATTTCCCGAATTTCACAATAACCAGAATAACGTGGATTTGAGGGTTTTACTTCATGTGTTTATTATTATTTTCATCGAAACAAAGTCTGCCCTGCATGTAGTCTTGTCGAATGATGTTAGCTGAATATAATGTCGCCTTTCAAAGCCCAAGGTAGGTCAGTTTTGTCAGTGTTAGTACGCCCCAACTATCGCATCGGTCCCAACTATAGTTGGGCCTGTCCCAACTATAGTTGGGCCTGTCCCAACTGTAGTTCCACAGTTGGGCTGGCCCAACTATAGTTGGGCCTTTCCCAACTATAGTTGGGACGGTCCCAACTGTAAGTTCCACTGTTGGGCTGGCCCATCTAAAGTTGGGCCAATCCGATCTTTTTATTTTGCGGTGTCCCAACTATAGTTTACATTGAACTATAAAATTAAAACGTTCCCTACAGCTCTGATACACGTCTGACTTCCGGGGACCATCTGTAGTTGGGCCACCGCAATATTTTTATTTGGCGGTCCCAACTATAGTTTACATTGATGTACCAGGCATGCAACTTTTCCTCGGATCAGCTGATTTCCTCTTTTTTTACTTCCCATGTGTGCCATTGAAAATAGAAAAACACTGTACAAAGTCTGGGAAAAATTTGAATTTCCTCTTCTTTTGTGATTTCCCAGTTGCATGCCTGATCGACTATAAAACATTCCCTACAGCTCTGTTACATGTCCGACTTTACTCCTAGAACTACATGTATGAGGCTCTCCAGTGAGCCTCATAGACACAGAACCCCGCAAAATTGTTGTCAGCACAAAACACTAATTAAGTACAAAAACGTCCATCCCAACCAAGCTTTTTCCCACAGAAACGCTGCACAGTTTGCCCCTAAACTCCGTATAATACCTCATGACATACTCACGTTATGTGCACCCAACAAACATCGGTGGATTCTGTCTGTTTTCGGCAAAAATGATGAAAAATATGCCCTTTCCGCACTGAGCCAACCTAACACTTGAAACGAGCACGCGCGCAGAATGATCGCAGTCATTTTCAGGTTCGATCGCTCGGAGCGCGCCGCGGGGGGTACGTACTTGCACTTGTACGCATGCGCATACTATCGTTCCGCTCCTACACCATACCCCCCGCGGCGCGCTCCGAGGATCGAACCCGAAAATGACTGCGATCATTCTGCGCGTGTGCTCGTTTCAAGTGTTAGGTTGGCTCAGTGCGGAAAGGGCATATTTTTCATCATTTTTGCCGAAAACAGACAGAATCCACGGATGTTTGTTGGGTGCACATAACGTGAGTATGTCATGAGGTATTGTACGGAGTTTAGGGGCAAACTGTGCAGCGGTTCTGTGGGAAAAAGCTTGGTTGGGATGGACGTTTTTGTACTTAATTAGTGTTTTGTGCTGACAACAATTTTGCGGGGTTCTGTGTCTATGAGGCTCACTGGAGAGCCTCATAGTTCTAGGAGTAGTCCAACTTTACTTGGGACCTTTGACATTAGCTATGGGTGGGGCCCATCTATAGATGGCCGGCCATGGCAATCTTTGAATTTTGCAAAATGTTGGTGGACAATAAAACCCAGCAGCTGGACAACTCATCCAACTAGGCAGTACCACGTGACCGGCCAGCCTTGCGGCATGCATGCACGACGAATACACGGTGCCAGCACCGCGGAACATTTAATCCAACAAGATCTATCAAGCATGAAGCATCCGGCACAACTCCAGTCCTAACTATAGTTGGGCCGACCCAACTGCCCCACTATAGTTGGGACAGTCCCAACTATAGTTGGGACCGATGCGATAGTTGGGACGTAACATCAGCACTGTCATGCATCATGGAGAAAGGATGCATGTAGCTTGAGTAACTCCAGCTGACATGCTCCTCCTAGTCCTAGCCCCACTAGTGTGGCCGCGGTATGCTGCGCTGAGGTTCAGCGCAGCATACCGCGGCCACACTAGTAGTGGGGCTAACGTGCTCCAACCTCGTCCCCAGTGCTTACTTTATTTCCAACCGCAATTCCAAAAGTAAACCCTGGATAGGAAAATTTCTTCCTGTATCCTGATTGGATACCGCAATTGGCTAGTACTAGTAGGCATAATGGATTTATATCGTGTACTTGGTGCTATATTATTCACAACGTGCAGTACGTGTTTTTGCGATCATTCGTCCACGCCTTCTCGAAAATACTAATTTCCTGTCCAATTTGCTCATATTATTAATATGAAATATGATAGGCCTACTGCATGTTGTCTTGATAAGATCGTAACAGTTTGATTTAAAAAATCGTGTTTTCGTAACTCGCGCCGTGCTCGCGCTGCTACGAATTGACTCTGTTTTTACCCCAGACACCGCATACAACTGTATGATATTTGGAGTCAAACTTTCTCGGATTTCGGCAGTCGACACTTGGTGTTAACAGCAGTGCCGCGCCTGGCCGCACATCCCCACCGGCCATCGCCACGATGCACGGCCGGTAACAGTGCCGCGCCTGACCGCACATTCCCACCGGCCATCGCCACGACGCACGGCCGGTAACAGTGCCGCGCCTGGCCGCACATCCCCACCGGCCATCGCCACGATGCACGGCCGGTAACAGTGCCGCGCCTGACCGCACATTCCCACCGGCCATCGCCACGACGCACGGCCGGTAACAGTGCCGCGCCTGGCCGCACATCCCCACCGGCCATCGCCACGATGCACGGCCGGTGGCAGTGCCGCCCTTGACTGCACAGCCCACCAGCCATCACCACGGTGCACGGCTGGTGGCAGTGCCGCCCTTGACCGCACAGCCCACCGGCCATCGACACGGGCTGCGGGTGGCAGTGCCACGCCTGACCGCACAGCCTGGCCATCGCCAAGATGCACAGCCAGAGCGCCACCTGTGCCGTCCCTCCCCCCCCCCCCCCAAAAAAAAAAAAAGAATAAATAAGTCTGTAATCGTAAGGTCTAGGATGGCACTGACAGTGGGAATAACGGCGAAGCAGCATTTAAATATTTTACTACATGTATGTGGATTTTTGACGCAACTTCAGCTCAGCGAAGGGGTGGGCCGTCTAAGTACCTCCAAAATCTACCTATAGTATGAGAAATATGACCAAATCAATGCGAAAGTCCTAACATATGCGGCCATTTTGGATTTATGCAAATTAGGCATGTTTCCACCACCCGGATTTCTTAAGACTTAGTATGTCATTATAGGGACCTTATAGAAATGCACTGTGGTGAAAAAAAATTCTGTTGCAATTTGTTTGAGGTCAAACTTTATATTGCCTGTAATATACATGTGTTGTGCACACTTGTATGGAAAGAAATGCATACATGTACTACAGGTTACTACTGAGTAGTATTTTGTAGCTTCAGGTGAGTTGTAGGGTTATAGTTAAAAAAAAACATTAAAAAAATAAATGTCATGTCATAAATTAGCATCATAAATGTCGCCAATTTACTGGACTACGGAGGGCATGGAGGGAGTCCAGTAAATTGGCCACATTTACGGGGCTATTCATAAATGAAATGATGAATGTGGCTCACAAAATAGGGAGTCCACATACAGCCTGAGAAACTCCAGCCTATGCTCATCGACATCAGGAATTCGACTTGTAGAGCTGGAGGTTGTAGCCATCAATCTAAAAATAGCCTGTAGCCTACGCGATTGCAGTATCTGACCCTACATGTATACTCAGACTGACTCTGACTGTTATTTTTTTACTGTGATCATTTTTATCTGATCTACATACATGTACATTACACTGCATTTGCAAATGATCCTACTGTAGGCCTATCTTCTGATTGTTCTGCCCATACAGTCTTGTCTGCTTGTTGTTGTACTGTACTGTACTGAGTATTAATTAACCCTAACTGCCCTGAATCCTTCAAAATCCTCTTTGCGGTTATTGAGGTTTGAGGTTACATGGCAAAAGTGCGTTACTGATTTCGGAGGATGCACTTCGTCAAGGTCTTGGGCCGGACCTTGTGTTGTTTTTGCTCAGCCATGCAGAAATATAGGCTGGATTATGCTTGAAATCCTCCATACTGCTCCAGGATGTCACTGGCCAAGCCTCAACATATTGACAGTCATGATCACTGCGGCAGTATTTTGCAGGATTCAGGCAGTGGTCACCCCTCCACGGACCATATTTAAGAAATAATGGAGGAATTTAAAGCTACATGCTACCGTATATTTCCACGAGGCCAATTTGAGGATCTGCAGGATTGAGGCTACATCCTAGTAAAAAGGCCTAGGGAGTTACTAGCGGTAATAATAAGGGGCAAGGGCATATTATAAATGTGTGTTTGGCCGGTTTTAAGCAAGTGTCTTTTCATTGTAAATAGCAGATGTTTACAACCGGTTTGGAGTCTGGACGCTGATAATTACCCGAGCCATGATTGTTACAGCCTCAGGAAAGTACAGGAAATAACTGAACAAAATACAATGTATCTTGCTTTGCTGTACCCTCCAGTGTCCCCCTCTCAAATCCAAAATGTGCACTTTACACCACTGACATGACTGACTTCCAATTTCTTTTACTGTGTGTAGCAATTTGGGTGAGGAACCAGTGTTTCTGAGTACCTACGATGACCTGTTTCAAACGGATCTGATACATGTGAGTGCCGAGGACACAGTCACATTGAATGGGTAAGTACATGTAATGTACGGTATACAAATATTGAGTGGCTCAGCGTGGAATGGGAGGAATATTATCGCAAGGTAAAATCTGGACTTTTCCATTTCACGAGACAAAGCCAAGTGGACTGGAAAAGTCCAGATTTTACCGAGCGATAATATTCCTCCCATTTCACAATTTAAAGCCACTCAATATTTGTTTTATATAACTGACATATAGATCCTTGTCATTTGATATACATGTATTTGAACTTTTATTTCAATACAAAACTGGAGGAAAATGTATTTCTCTCTTCCAAATCACCCCTTCACGAAAATGTTTGAACCCAACGCTGTAGCGCTGACTCTTTGGAACAATATGCGCTACGCGCAGCGCTGAACGCGTACACCAGCATGCATTTACACACAAATACCGCGTGATGTGATATCACGTGATGTGAGTTCCACCAATCAAATGACAAGGATCTGTATGTTGGTTATATGATATCTAATGATGGTCGTTTGTGAGGTACATGTACACTTGCTCATGCTGCACGTGTTCGTACGTTTTGTACGATCATTTGCTTTTCATACATTTTTGTGTTTGTTTCCAATAACAACAACACTCAAATTCCAGACGTTAATTTTCAAAACATAATCGGTTGAAGTTGCAGCTCAGTGGATGTTAGTTAAACTTTTTGAGAAAACAGTTGCAAAAAGGAAGTGCACATAACATTTTTGTCACATAAATGTACATGTAAACATGATTTAATCAATAACACTCTGATAACCCAAAATAAAGTCAATTGACTGATCGTTGGAAATCATCACCTACATGTGTATGTCACTGCCTCAACCCTTCAAAATCATCCAACAAACCGCATTTAGGCCCAGCAGTGCAGATAATGTCCAGTATAATGTACATGTAGGTCTCAAATACATGTTTGCCTGGTGGAACAGAAACAATGCTTTACACAATGCATCATTCAAACTCAACCAACATTTTTTTTGCCATTCAGCCTCAATCCTCCAAAATCCTGCAAAAAAAGAAAAACACCCGGTTGATTTTGGATGATTCTGGACGTGTTACAGTTAATTTGAAGTTGTAATGCTTGCAGTTTTGAAGATTTCCTAAATTTGTAATTTTACCAGCCATGTCCACATTCTCATGGAATTGCCCAAAATATTATTTACCAGGGACACGAAAAGAAAATTGGACCCCAAATTTATTAAATGACCCATGAAAGTTCTTTGTCTTTCTGACAGGCTTCAAGACATTGTCAACCCTCTTTTAAACGAAGATCTAGACGAAGCTTCTCTGCGACTGACGAGCGAGCACAGCCTGCAGGATAGCATGAAGGGCAAGACAGAGGCAGTGTGTGGCAGTCCAGGCAGTGACTACATGTACTATAGCAATTCCTTCCTCACTGCACTGCAGGACCAGGATGATATAGGTAGGTACATACGTATATACAGGGTTGCCACAGTCAAGGTAAAATCCTGGAAAATCCAGGAATTTATTAACCCAAACCGAACACAACCCATCAAAGTTCAACAGCAGGTTTTGTTTAAATCTGTTGGGATAGGTACAGTACCCCTAAACTGATGGTCTTTTACACTGGGGTTGGCATACCTCCAGAAACTAAGTCCAACAGTGTGTGTGTACCATTTCCCATGTGAGTGTTTGGAATTTGCCAGAATGGGTATGATTCCTAGTAAATTAGGCTGGGGAGTTAAAGTTATAGCTATCATGGAAAGTCGTGGAAAAAGTTGTGGAATCTTGTTATTTTACACAAGGAGTCATGGAAAGTTGATATTGCAAGAATGAGCGATTGAAAAGTCATGAAATCATGCACAACCGTTATGTGATGATGCGTATTATTTGGCTATGGCAGGCTTCCAGTTTGAATCCAGTTTATACATGTACATGTACATGTACTTCCTCTGCATACGTCATACTTGTACTAGGTATGCTGTATACTTGTTGCATGTTCAATGCACCATTGCGATGCTTGTGGTGCTCATGGACTGGGAAGGCTAAACGGGAGTGACATATGAGGAATGAAATGAAAGTGTTAACCGATGCACAGCCATACCCAGGATGCATTGTGAACATGAAAAGTAAGGGTGTGCATTTACGTGGAGTACAGAAAGTGGTGCCCGATTGAAACAAAGCACAGGTACCCAGGTACCCGTGAAAGAAACCCAACTCTCAAATTAAATCTTGGAAGTTGCTGCTAATATTGCTTTTAAAGGTCCACACAAAAATATTATAACATCAGTGCGTCACTACAGCAAGATAGTTGAAGATACAAGCGTGTACAGTGAGCTTTATAGCTTTAGGGTGTAAAATTGCACTTTGAAAAGTGAAATATGGTTTGTTTGCCCATGTAACCTGGCTTTCATTTAGAAAATTCCCCACGAAAGGCATTGAAAACCTTTCGCTTTCATTGTCTGGGAATTTACTAAGTAATTTGTAAAGTTGGTTACAGCTACCCGATCCCATAATCTGAAACTGGTTCCTGACATCAGCAGTTGGGTACTCAGGTACCCGGGTACCAGGTTCCGATGCAAAGATCTACGAAAAGGTTAAGTTCATAGTGTACATGTATGTGTCATTGGCTTTTCTACTAATCCAATGTAGCAACTAGCCCATGACATTCACTCGTTTGCTGATGATTCTTTTTTGTTTTGCAGGGAAGAGTGATGCCCAGTTAGCCAGCGAGTTGCTTCAGAGCGATCTAGACCTAGCGTACAGCATTGAATTGTCCGACTCTGATGATAGTCTAGCCTACAGTCATGACAGTACTCTCAGTGATATTACATCTACCTCATCCAGCCCAGGTAGTCCAACGACAAAGAGGAAAAAGCTTCATCTACAATGGTGCGTAAAGTAGTGGCGAAGATCAGAGATTTCTTAATCCGGTTATCATTTATTTTCGAGCCGACTACAATGACGGTTATAGAATTCCACCCGAAATAAACCCATTCAGCTCACATTGCAACAAAATGAGTGAGGTGCTGCATGCAATGCCCTGCGCTCATAATGATGGGGGTATTATGTAGGATTCAGTGACCACTAAGCCTTTACAAAAACAGTCCAGAACTGAAAAAAAAATCAAGTTCCAAGTGGACAACCCACAGCGGTTCCACGAACCGTACAACCACGAATTTTGCAATGCAATGGGGCTTGATCTAATATGCAAATTAGATGCATGTGCATCAGTCTCACAAAACTGCAGGTATTTTCATAGAAACTGAAAAGCTATGATACACGCGTGGCATGAAAACAGTGTAACGGGCCGAGTAAAGTGTCCACCAACCAACTCACCAACCAACTCACCAACCAACTAACTCGCCAACCAATCAACATAGGCAGCTTAAGCCCACGATGTGTGTTTCACATCACCATGGGAATAATGGGTGGGAACTCTCTAATTAGTCAAATGAGAAGGCTATGAATGAACCAAGAAGACTGTTAACAAGTGAATGTGTTTACAAAATGACAGGCAGAGGTGATTCAAATGACTGTTACATGAACGAACAATTTACACAGAAACGGCCTGGAGTAAATGCTGTTATTATCCTTATCCAAGATGTTTAGATTATTTAAAACCTTGCTTAGCCATGCCAAGTTTTGTGAAATCAATCATAAGTTGATTTCGCAGCTGCCCATTAAATTTGTTGTGTATAAGTCCTCAAATGGTGCACTGTTTCATGAAATTGGCTGCTGGACTAAACATTAGTTCTGTTGTTCTTTTTCTATATAACCCCCCTGGACAGACACACAAAGGGAGAACAACAGATCCTTTCAGTCCTCAGGAGTTGGGTCTTTTGTTCAAAACGGTCCTCTGTGGTAGGTTTGAGTGCTTAGTCTATGGGACAGTGTTATATTACTGGGATAGAGGAACACACAAAGCATTGTCCTTGGGAGTACAGTAAAACAAGAGTGTGTGTACATGTATCAGCTAACTTTTTACTGAAACTTGCTTTTTGTAGGAGTGAAATGGACAGCGATGAGCAAGCGAGGGAGCTAGAGCTTGTCACAAGAGCCATCACAGATAGCGCGAGTATAAGAGAACAGCTAGAGCTCTTGCGCCTGATTGGTCAAGACATGACAGTACTTCCATCCGACAGCAGGTTTCAAATCGGTGAGAATTAGGCGCTAAGGGACAATATGCATGGAGCTGCAAAGTGCAGAAATTAAGCACAGACAATGTTTGCTTAGGGGTAGGGCTGTGCAACGGAACTGGCTACCTGAGTGCCCGACTGTTGATGTCAGGAAACGGTTCCAGATTGTGGAATCGGGTACCGGTAACCAACTTTGCAAATTTATACTTAGTAGTAAGTTCTTAGACAACAAAAAAGAAAGGTTTTGAGTGTCATTTGTGGAGACTTCAAAATGAAAACCTTGCTACTTATTTGTTCCATATCCATTGTGTAACTAACGTGAATACCGATAAAATGTGTTGCCAAACCAACAGAAGTTTATTTTGTTTGCCTTTTCGCAGTGAATTTAAAGCCACTTAATTTCAAGGGATCTTCTGTTAGAAAAATCCACCCTGAATGATTTGACTTTAAAAGAATAACACCACAGATTTGACAGAAGACCCCCTCTCAATGTAATTTGAGTTACCATGGAAATGCCGTAAGTATTTTTACTGTCAATGCAAAAATAAATGTAATATGGTTTTCTCTCTGTTCTTGCTTTTCTGAAGATCCGTCCAATATTGATGATGAAAAACTGAAGAGTGTACGGGAGTATTTGACCCAAGTGGCCCTCCATAAATCAGAGGCTAGTGCAGGGAGCTGTGAGGACCAACAGCATGAGCCAAGGGAGCCCAGATACAAAAAGGTATGGAGGGTGGGGGAGGTGGGTTGGGGGAGGAGGTGGGTGGGGGGGGGGGGGGGGGAGATGGGGGGGGGGGGGCGCAAGACTTTGGACGACATCTGTTTAACTTTGATGACACCTACATGTATCAGTTAGCTACTACAGTGATTCAAAAAAGAAATTATTCATCCCAAAAATGTTTTGAAAAGTACAACAGGTTAATTGTTAAGCACCTGTCGTAAGATTTTGAGCACTGCTGTTTCTTCAAACGGAAACAAAAAATGCACAATTTACAAATGGTCATCTGTACCTTTAAATGAAAGTTGTGGTGGAGTAGCAACAGCTTTGAGACTTTGAAACAATATCGTGGTCATTTTAACAAAACACTATGCTGCTGTGAAAAATTATTGGGGGACATTGCCATTAGCCATGTTAGCATCCCCAAGGAAAAACAATTAGCTTGGAACCAGTCGCTAAAAGAATACATCACATGACATTTAGGCTGGTAACCTGGGGCAGATTGCCATACCGCGGTCTTAGTTGGCTGGCTTAATCAGTCCGGGTTTAGCTAGCTATTGTTATGAGACGGTCTTGGCTAAGACGCCAAACTTAACTCTTTTGCAATAAGCCGGCTTTACTAAGCCCGCTGAGAGTAATGATTCACGCACAGACATTCGATGGTTACAGGCTGTGGTGCTCGTCACGCGCCATTATACGGACAGACTGCGCAATTTTTTGGTTTGTGTGATTCCAATCGTGAAATCAAATCTGTCAATTACTGGATATCATATTGAAAAAATACTTTTTGCAAAACAACTCAGTGTCATAATATTTCTTTGGAAGATTCCTTCTGTCCGGAAAAATCCTCTCTTCCAAGCAGTAGTCTGCTATTTCAATTTTCAAACACTCATCAACTGAAAAAAAAATTGTGGGAAAAAATTATTTCAACCCAGCGATGAATAAAAGTTAAAAAACAGCCAAACCCATGCCTATCTTAACACTGTTAAGACCATGTCGTTACAATTTTCAAACAGCCAGCCAGACGGAAGGATTTCACGTGGTGTTAACTACCAATACGATCTTTTATCCAAGTAAACATTTTGGATGACAAGTTACTTTGGGATAAATGCAAATAATCCTACATGCCTTTAAGCATGAGGTCAATTATTAGTGAATTCCGTCCTATTTGTTGCAGACGCTTGAGAGGAGAGCGCAGCACAAAGCCCACAGGAAGAGAAGAAATAAAGAACGCAAGCAAGGCTTGAAGGAAAAGCGCAGCAGGCTGTTTGACCATGAAGTGGTATGTACATTGGTTTATATTGATATGATGTAGAGGTATATATTATAAGTTATCCCGCGAGCGCGAGTGGAACACGGAATAATGTAGTGCGTCTGTGTCCCACATACCACGAGGCCGAAGGCCGAGTGGTATGTGGGACACAGACGCACTACATTTTCCGTGTTCCACGAGCGCAAGCGTGATAACGAATTTATCTTCAAGCAAACTTGACGCGCAGTAAAGTTGGACCATCGCTTTACACAAACTTTTCATTGGTCATCCTATTGCACGCGCGTTTTGTACGGAATGGCACTCGCATCTTAGAAAAGCGCAACACGCAGAGTGCGGTATGGAGCGAGGCCGTGCTACATGGTTATATGTAGCACGGCTTGTTGCCATGGATCGACCAATCAGGATCGAGGATTCAAGTTTACTTGAAGACAATTGTACATATATGATGTAAGTCAAGTTCATTAGAGTCTGCTCACTTGCATCACAATAGGTCCATTCACAAGTTCAGTCACAAGTAAATGCGTCTTTTCTTGATCTCGGGTCAAGACGTAGAAAAGCTTCATTCTTAAAAATCACTGTGCATTGTAGACCTTATTTGACTGCATCTTAATTGTTATATATGGATCCGCAGCGCAATAAGTTAAAAACATAAGAGGCCCTGTACACTCTACATGTATGGATTTATTGCACACACATGGGCCTTAAAGGGAAGATACAACATTTGCAAACATAAAAAACATGAAATGATCAAATTATCACGGAATACCTTACTGAGTTGTTAGGGACTGACAGTCTAAACATCCTGTAAATCGTGGCTCCTGGTGGGCTGACATTATCAAGGAAAAGTGTATTTTTCCAACGCTGGTCGGCCGACCAGCGTTGGAAGAAAACTGGCTATTTTCAAAAACTGTACCTAATTTTTCATTACATTTGATTGATTACACACCTGTGAAGGGGTACAGCCTGCTAGACTGATTCTTTGACCTTACAATTCCCTAAAGTCAATAAATTGATCTGTTTCATCTTAAGCTGGGTCAAGGAACCAGACTACAAGAACATGATTGGTTGTCTTGGTTTTTCCAGCATCTACAAGCCCAAAACATGAAACAAGTCAGTTTAACAATATTTGCTATGTCAAGCTAATCCTCCAAATCCATTGTTTTCTGAAAATTGCAGCAAAAGCAAATGTTGTACATTCCCTTTAAAACACTGCAGGTCAGTTTCAGGTGAAGGGATATGAAGTGTTTATGTAACTGTCACTCAGGGAGTCACTACACTAAAAACAGTACCTTGGAGAGCAGTGAAGTGTGACTGAATCTGCCTGCTTGCCCTGGGCCTAATTTCATGGCTCTGCTTACAGTGAAAAATCCCTGCTTAATATAGCAGAACATTATATGCTTTGGTAAGCGTATTTCACAGGTTATCAAGGAATTTTGGCTTACATGCATGCATGCATACATCCCGTACCTAAGGATCCTGATCTTGCTGGGCTTGCTGGGTTAGCAAAAAATGTTTTCTGCTAGCGCTGTTAGCACAGAATGGCAATCGTAAGCGTGGAATTCTGTGGTTAGCAGGGACAGGAATTGTGCCCAGATCTTAACCACACAAAATAATTGTGTAGGGATTTGATCTATAAAGTGTTATCCATACCCCACAGAAAATTTCATCACCGGAGTAATTTGAAGTATATGGGTGCTAACTCTAAAGTGGGCAAAAGTGATTTTGCAAAAGTTAAAGGGTTGTAAAGTGTAGATGGCCTTAACTGAGTGATTTGGACTCAACCTATTGGTTTTTTCTTGCTTTTCCCTCCTTAGGTGTTGTCTCTTCAGCTGCAAGAAGATGAAGATGAGGAGGTCAACATCTTGGATTGACAGTGGCTTCCCTTAGGACATTTTATATATCCTATGAAAAGATGGATCAAAACACAGAAATCACTTGTTAATTTTGCATCGTTCAAATTTCATTATTGTCACTTTGTAATCAACCAGTGCATTTCAACAACTACTTAGGATTTTTTTACGAAGATTTTTTCAAGGACCAAATTTAAGGACATGATTTTTATATTTGGGGAAATGTTGAACATTTCAGACTATTTTTGTTGTATTTTGATGCAGTGTTTTAGACCATCACAAGTCCGGTCACAAGTAAATCACAATTCACAAGTCCACAAGTGTAATAATGGGGTGAACCATTCGTGATCTGAGAGATTTTGAACCGTTGGCACAGCAACGGAATCACACAGCTGTAGCAAAGATGGTGTTTGCCACTCACTATGGGATGGTCATCTTCTTTGCTGACTATCCAACAGCGATACATCGAGCTGAAATTGCGTATAGAAATCTGTAAACACTACAGGTATGACTCATGTGTGTGCTGGCATTGAGGACTGATACAATTAAAGAGGTTGTGGAATGCTCGAAGACATTTCCGTCATTTTGGGGGTATGTGTAGCCAAAGGTGTGATTAAATAAAAACGACTATTGTTTCTGTCATGAAATGAGTACAAAAGGTACTTTTTGAGAGCTGTTTTTCGGGTCCTGTTTCGACCTGAACGTGCAATTTGTGTAAAAGTCGTCGTTGCGGGCAGCAAACAAAACACAGTAAATCGTAACATAATAAACAGGACTCGTTTATGCTACTCTGCATCGGGAGTCCTGTTTATTACGTCACGATTTACTGTGTTTTGTTTGCTGCCCCCAACGATGACTTTTACACAAATTGCACGTTCGGGTCGAAACAGGCATGACAAGACTTGAAAAACAGCTCTCAAAAGTACCTTTTGTACTCATTTCATGACAGAAACAATAGTCGTTTTTATTTCATCACACCTTAGGCTACATATACCCGAAAAATGACGGAAATGCCTTCGAGCATTCCACAACCTCTTTAACCATCGTTGAGCAGAATACAACATTCTTTGCTTTCTGCATCCCGTTCAGTTGGAATGGCGGGATCGTTGCTATACATGTAGCAGATCCAGCTCTAGGGGAAGTTAACTGTATCACCCTTGAGTAACACTTCAAGTTCAATGATGAGTAACAAAGGAGTGCCTAAGTCACAGTTCAATTGAATAGTTAGTGACTTTCAGACTGGATGATCTGTGCTTGTTCTGTTCAGACTAGTAAACATGTTAGGACTTGTGATGGACTCAACTAAAACACTTGATGTAAATGTCTGCCGCGTCCGATGTAAACCACCATATTTTTTTGTGTGTTTTAGACATTAGGTTAGCTTCCTTTCAACCAGACCCGATAAGTAAACCAATGTTTGATTTAAAAAATGTGGAATCTCTTCAGGTTTCACCATAAAGGTATTTGATCAAAACAAATGGTTATTATAATGGGTGGATGCCTGTATGCAAATACAAGCATATACATGTACCATACACAAGGCACTGCCAATTATTTCGTGGAGTTTTGTGTGGCCCAAAAGTTTTCGGAGACGCTAACCAGTCCTAAATTCTGTATGACCGTAGACCTGTATGTTAAAGTTTTGAAAAAAATTATAACTTCTACATGCTTTCATAGATTTTGATGAAACTTGGATGCAATGACCCTTGGGTGGGAAGACACAATTCTTCATCGGATTACTGATGTCAAATGTCATGTAGGGGTCATTAGAGGTCATTGTTCAAATATACTTCAAATGTTTCTTTGTCTACTGAATTTGATAGATGTTAATGTAACTTGGATGGAGTGATTTGTGAAAACTGCTCAGGAATCAATAGGGGGACCATTTGTGTGGCAGCCATCTTGGAGGTGTTGTACTTACGTTCATGGGGATATGCACTAGTAGACCTTGCGTGCACTCGGATATTACTGAATTAAAATACATGTAACAAAAGAGAACTTTCAAAATGGCTGAAGTGGGCAGAGTCAATGTGCATGTACATGTATTTATACTTTTTTTCCCAACTTTTCTTTCTTGATTCTGTGTTGGTTTCTTTACTTTTGTGAAGACAAACTCTATTATATTTTGGCATAAAAGTCACTCAAACACACAAAGGATAATCATGTAATTAAAACTTTACTGCCAGTCAAATCAATTCGAGTTCTATAGTTCATGAAAATAAATACCAGCCTTTGATCCATCTTCAAAATTGATGTCTGAGTCAATTATTTGTGTTATTAACCATACGGAAGGGTTGTACAACTCATATTCTGACTCAAGTCCGTCTCAAGTCCCATTTGGATGATTACATGGTTGGATTATCCCCTCCTCTAGCTTTTTGGGGGTCATTTTGCAGACCATTTCTGAAAAAGCTATTCATACTTGAACTCGAGATATATTTTGATGACTCTTAGCAGTCGTAATTGGAGGCATAGAATTCATGGAAAAGTTAACACTCTGAACAGTCCTCATCAAACACTGATAACATTTATAAATGCACAAGAAAAAAAAACAGACACTCAAAGATCACAACATTTCATTTTTATTTGTGTTTATTGTAAACAGAACACAAACCAGGCAACATGGACCTTAAACTTAATTTCCTAAAATCATAAAATAAAACAATAAACATTAAAATAACATGGACATTTTTCACAATCTCCTGAAGACCTTACGTATATTTTTGAATATTTGAATTGAACATGATAATGCTATTCGGATCATTGGTGGATGATTGAATATTTGAATACTATTTTTAATAATGCTTTTTCAAAAGACAAGTAGACCCTTTTTTCATGAAAGAGAGCGAAGGTTTGAGCACTGGTCGTCTTCCTACTGTGTGAAGTACTTTAAGTATTCACATTTCTCTTAAAGGGCATGCAATGTATATTCTGTTAATGTAATCCTTAAAATGCACATTTGTGCCCCATAATTATACCTTTTCTTTAAATTCCGTTTGGCCTTTTTCAAAGGTATTTCGGTACGTTTCTGTTTTTTTATGCTAATGAAAATCTCCATATTCATGAGAAAAAGTGTGACGTCATTTCAGGCAGAAACCTCAATGATCCAACTACTTTCAGCACTAAAAGTTTTCAGAATCTTGGATATTTCGCTGTCAAAAAATTTCATTTCTTTAGTGATTCCTTGTGTCATTACATGAGAGCAAGCCAATTGAGTAAACTTTTCGGGTTCACAATTTGAACAGAAAACACCTCAACATTGTCTTCTTGAAATGACATCACGGCAACAGCGCCCTCAGTTGTCTAGAAAGCATAGGAACATTTTGAATGTTTATAAAGAAGTGTTTTTTTTTCCCCGGGTTCATAATTTGAACAGAAAACACCTAAATTGAACACTAGTCTTCCTGAAATGACATCACCTTAACAGCGCCCTCAGTTGTCCAGAAAGCATAGGAACATTTTGAATGTTTATAAAAAAGTGGGTTTTTTTCAGGTTCACAATTCGCACAGAAAACACCTAAAATTGAACACTAGTCTTCCTGAAATGGCATCACGGCAACAGCGCCCTCAGTTGTCCGGAGTAGGCATAGGAAAATTTAGAATGTTTATAAAGAATTTTTTTTTTCATTAAAATAATCCAAAAAGGGGTGTCAAATATCTTTATACTTTTTAAGAGAAGAAAGCTGCACAAAATGTGTTCCTATAAATACAAATTTCATGTAACCCCTAAAACTATACTTGCACTTAAAATCTGTCGTCACCACAAACCATGCAGCCTAACAAAAACCACACACTTGTGTTCTTAACTTATTTTCGTATATACTTTAAACCAAATGTAACACTCCATGCCTCTCAAATCCTCAAAAATCCAATACTCTGTAGTAAAATCAATGGCACAGTCTATCGTGAATCAAGGGAGGATCCAGAACACAATTTTAAGGGGACCAAAAAAAGGGTTAATTACGGGGTTCAGGGCCTGCTTAATTAGGGCCCCCGGAAAAATGTTAAGATTCTACATGCTTGATCTGTGGTGCGATCTGAGGCAATTTCTGACCACGTTAAACAATTGTTTTAAGCAGAAGATGGTGGTGTACACAGTTGCTGCCTCATATTTTTTTACCCAAAGCAAGGGTTTTGTTCAAAGTCCTCCTTTCCAGAAAGTTATCTGAATAACTTTTTACTTCTTGTGGTATGATCCCACGTTTGTCACAATTCACAGATGCCGTTTCCACAATTATCGCAAGATTTCTCTGTTTTGTGACCTGAGCATGAATTTTCTGCTTGATGTCTTTGCGGCGCAAGCAAATCGCAGGTTGACCTACGAAGATTAATTTTGGAGGGATCACAATATGGTCGGGTAGTTCTACATGAACATGGTTTAACATAATTAACTAATAATAATAATAATCGTATTTATATAGCGCCTTTTCCAAAGGATACAAAGCGCTGGGGGAGAATGCAACCAAAGACAGGTAAACGAAGTATATGAACATATGAGACCCATTATGTAGCACCTTTTTGCTTGGTGCTGCGGCGCATATTGCTGCCACTGCCAGAAACACCGGGGCATACCCTTCTCTTAGCGACAAGTGTTACTGGGATCTTTAACGTGCATTACACAACACACAGGACCTACGGCTTATATGTCCCATCCGAAGGACGAAGCAATAATGGTAAAGTGCCTTGCTCAAGAGCACAAGCACCGTGTTCCAACGGTCAGGATTCGAACCCACGTACCATGGCACACGAGTCGAACACTCTAACCATTGGACCACAACGCCCCACTAACTAAGGGATCACAATATGGTCGGGTAGTTCTACATGTACATGGTTTATCACAATTAACTGTGATGCAGGAAGATGAACAACAACACATGCCATATATGTCATTGATAGCCCCGAGACGTAATGACGCCCATGACACTTTGGTCACAGTGCTTTCCTACATTTACCTCCCAACACAGAGCATATTTGACAATGATTTGACAGATGAAGGACTTGGGATTGACTTGTGATGGACTTGACTGCTGCTCTGATAAAACAGTTCACTGCAGTTGGCAATACTCTATGTCCAGCTATTCCCCCAACACTTCCTTCAGAAATATCTCCAGACACCTCTGGTTCTGAGCAAAGACTTTCTCAAAGGCTTGCTTATCCAACTGCAGGAAATTGAACAACACAGACAAGAACAATTTAGCAACAATCATCATAGCATTACTTACAGGAACACTGCGTCCTAGAACAGCCCAATTGGGCTATAAAAAGTGCTTTGAATGAAAGGATGTTAATCAGAAAGAACATTTTAAGTAGGATATAAACATCCACAAAACTGTCCTGTACAAGCTTGGCGTTTTTGTGATATTCCTGTATTATGCAAGCGAGAATGACTTTCAGGGTCCACTTTTGCGACCCCAAAAAGTTGAGCTGTTTCGGTGCTTGTTGTGATTTCATTCATAAAGTGTTCGCCTTTTGTGGACGTGTAAGAAACCACATTATGCATTGGTGATTGGTCACCGCTGTTCGCAAGCATGGTGCTGTATAGACACACACGAAATATGCACGTAGGCACATTCATGTCTGGTACCTATACTCACATAATACGGATCGTGTATGATGCGTTCTCCCTTTGGATCCAGATCCCCCAAAAGTCGTACTAGACTGGTGCTCGACGCTGGTTTTTTTCGCTTTAATTCCCTGAAAGGAAAATAGAAGAAAACAAAATGATATATGCGTGAACTTAGCCCATTATAGTTACAGTGCCGTCCAAAACTGCCATGCACATGTAACTCCCTATAATTTGTTAAGGTGCCACAGCTGTGTTTGGTTATCATGGGTTTATGGGTATATACAATGTATAAATACGATAAAGAATATTGAGTGCAATGGTAAGAATAATTTCATGAGGTGACAGATGGAATGTTCCACTCCATGAGGCAAAGCTTTGCACGACAAGTGGAATGGAACGTTTTGTCTGTCATCATCGTCAGTTTTAAAGCTATAGTCGCATGCCATCTGACACAGAGCTGTGCCACGTCTTACGCAGTCGGCCAACGGGTCTGGGCCCACCCCTGACAACTTTGGTACACCCCTTGACCTAGCTGGCATCATCCTTTGTCTCCACGTGACCATACCACCTCAGCCTATGCCTCCTCCACACGATACTGATCCCCTCCACTCCAACTCTCCTCCTCTATTCCTCAATTGACAGCCTGTCGGCCAGAGACACCCTACACATCCACCTGATCATTCTCATCTCTGCTCGTTCCGACTGCTGGAGGTGCCCCACCCTAGTGGGCCACGTCTCACAACCGTACAGCATGCAGCTCCAGACAAAGGCGGTGTATACTTATCACTTCATAAAATTACCCTTTCAACTGCACAAAATGTGAAAAATGTATTCGTTGTAAAGGCCGGTGCACTTTTCTAATTTTACGGCCAGGTTCACTGGAGCGCCCCATTACCAGTACTGTTTTTTCACCGTTACGGTAGACCCCAATTACCCGCACACATGCCCGATTCCGTCCTATATTCGGTCACATGATCATCAGTTACATGACAAAATGGCAGCCACCAATTATGAGTCATGTAACTTCCTTCTTAAATCTGATTGGTCAACATAAATATTGCATTCGATGAAATTGAAGTGACATTTTCTGGAATGAAAAAGCTAATTAAAAGTATAATAGCTTAATTAAAGTGCACGTATTGGGTCGCTCAAGTAGCGTCTGACTTGGGTTGGTAACAAGTCATTTTTTGCAATTCCAAGTCAAGTCACAAGTGATTGTTTGCAAGTCCAAGTCAAGTCACAAGTCAAAGCTGGTATTTACAAGTCAAGTCACAAGTCACAAAATAGCGACTTGAGTCTGACTCGAGTCCAAGTCACATGACTCGAGTCAGCAACTCTGTGATAAAGTATACACTGTCATGACTGTAGGTCTGCATACACATGCTCATAAGTGGATTTATGCAACCTTGCCAGAGTAACACCCAAAATTATGTCTTTTGGGGGAGACATGTTAACAATGTTTTAAATGGCAGAAAGAGAAATCTCCTGGCATGCCTGGGGTCGACAACATACCAGCTGAAGTTATTGTAGCTGGACGTGATACCCTGATCACTGCCCTCATGACAATCTGCAATAAGATGAGCCATGGGCCAAGTCTTTGGTCATCATCACACTTCATAAGAAAGGTAACTCAAAGCCATGCCAAAACCACAAAGCAATAAGTCTCATCAGCCACCCGAGCAAAGTCATGCTGAAGACCATTCTGCTTGTTAGCCCAAAGCAGAGAATTTCATTGCTGAGGAAAAGGCAGGCTTTCGGGCAGGATGGAGCACCAATGAGCAGATCTTCAATCTCAGGAAAAAATCTGTAGCACCAGGTAAGACCGGCCTACCATGTGTTCATAGACTTCAAAAAAGCTTGGCAGGGTATGGCATGCAGCCTTATGAGCTCAGTACAATGAGGATATACAGCATCAGCACTTACCTTGTCAGAGTCATTGAACTTCTTTATGACAAGGCCACCAATGCATTCCTCATTAATAAGAGCACATGGGACTGGTTTCGAACCAACGTACACGTACATTTGAGACAGGGCTGCCTACTCTCTCCCACCCTTTCTTCCTAGAAAACATTATGACTGAGGTCTGAGGCACTCAAAGATCATGTAGGCACTGTCAGTATTGGAGGCAGAACCATCACCAACCTTCGCTTTGCTGATGACATTGACGGATTATAAATCAGAGCAAGAGCTAGCCGATTTGGTGGAGTGCCTTGACAACATGTCTACAGCTTACGGCATGGAAATCAGTGCTGAGAAGACCAAGTTGATGACCAATAACACAAATGGCATAACCACAGAAATCAAAGTCAGAGGTCAGAAACTTGCACCAGTTCCAAGTTTCAAGTATCTAGGATCTGTTATCACTGACGAAGGCTCCAAACCTGAGATACTCTACAGGATTGAACAGACCACATCAGCCCTGAGTAGGCTGAAACCAATTTGGAACAACAGTAACATCACTTTAAGCTCTAAACTACAGCTGATGCGCTCCCTTGTCACACAAACCTTCCTCTATGCTTGTGAAATGTGGACCCTCAATGCTGATCTAATCAGAAGAATACAAGCCAAATGAGGTGCTACCACAAGATCTTGGGCATCTCATACAAACACCATGTGACAAATGAAGAGGTCTGCAACAAGATCACACAAGCCATCGGTATATGAAGATCTCCTGACCACTGTCAAGAATCGTAAAGTTGAAGTGGTATGGTCATGTCTCCCGATCATCCGGCCTGGCAAAGACCATCTTGCAGGGCACAATGAGAGGGGGGAAGGAAACAATGCAGGCAGATGAACTAGCAAGATAACATCAGAGAGTGGACTGGCCTGGAGTTTGCCGATTCTCAGAGGGCAGTGGAGAATCAAGGAAGGTGGAGAGAGCTGGTTCAAAAGCATCAAGCTATATTAAATTACTAGAGCGCTAACTTCGTGTACAAAGTTATGCCTGCTGGGTGCATCCATGTTTGTGCACAAACCTATCATGCCTATGGAGACCTAGAAATTCTGTACGGCTTTTGTACGGCTATTAACCGGGGATATCTGCGTTTGTATTCCACACCGGTGCGTTATCGAAGCCAATACGCCCAAAACCGAAACGCACGATCAGCAAATGAGCGTGTCATTTTGCTCTACGCAAACAGCGCAATACGTGCGCGTATTTGCTGCAGATGCTTTTTGCTGTCACGTTTTTTGAACCGTCATTCATAAATACCTCAGACAGTTTAGCCATTCCTATTGGTCGAGAGCCCGTCACGTGGCCAGTATTAAACGGATGATAAAGACATGGCTAGCTGGTCTTTAACACTTTTCCAGTGTCACAATAAAATATGGACTCCTAAAAATCCAGTGCCTCTTATCGTTTCATTGGTTGAACGTTCACAATCCTCACGTAGGCATGCGCAACACTACCAGGGAGTTAGAATTTTAAAGTTCTAAATTCAAAACGCAACGCGCCAGGTGCGTTCTGCGCGACATCGCGTAGAACATGATACGCGCGCGTCAATCTCCATAAAAGGGTTGTTTTCATCTTACTCGCCAGCTGAACACTCCATTATTTTGCAGGAGGGATGTTTCAAAAAGCATGAAGTGAATTTGTTGAACAAAATCTGGATGTTTTGAACGAATTATATGATTTTTTTTTACCGAAAAGGTATTTATGAATGGGAATAAATATGTACTCCGTCGGTATTTATCACTCTGTTTAATACCACTTAGAGTCTGGGTGCTGATAATTACCCTCGCCTCCGGCTCGGGTAATTATCAGCACCCAGACTCTAAGTGGTATTAAACAGAGTGATAAAAACCTCCGGAGCACACATTTATTCCCTTAATGAAGCGCTTAAGTTGTTTGCGTATGTTCTACTTGCGCCTTGCATGTAGAGTACACTTTCAAAATTCAATCTATCTAATTTCATTATGTTCTACAAACACGCACATAAATTCAACATGTCTGCGCCCAGGACGGCTTCAAAGCGTCTCCGTGTGCAGAATAACGAGTTAGCACTCTAGTAATTTAATATAGCTCTATGTTAAAAAGTCATCAGTGGTGCCCCAATGACATGGGATAGCAGTTATGGGATAGATAGATAGATAGAAACCACTTTCATGATAGGTTAGTGGTTAAGTTGTGTACTGGGGTATTGGTCATACCTGAGATTATCCTCGTCAAATCCAAATATGTAGTGAAACTTCTCGTAGTCTTGCTTAGTGATCTGCATGACAAGACAAAAAAAAAGACATTCCTTGGGATAATTGGTGCAACTTAACATTTAACTTTGAATAACATTTTATCTCAATAAGAGTAAGTTTACATAAGCAACACATGAAAATGAAAATTTCTAGTGAGTTTGTTTGAACCATGGATTCAAAACAAGCACCCACAGCTCGATTTTTCGGGGACAAAATTATGACCAGTGAAATTTGTTCTCGCATGTTTCTCGCAAGAAGGTAAAATAAAAATGCCCAGTTTTTAATGGATGGTTGGGTGGACGTTTATGTTTACTTTTAAATGCCCTTTCTATTTAATGTCATTTCGTTTAAAACACTTTTTGTAGCCCAATTGGGCACATTCCAGGCCATGATGTCCCTTTAGTCAGAAATATGTGCGTGCAGTTTCCCATATGGTGTTGGAATTTGCCAGGATGGGTATGGTTCCTAGTAAATCATGCTACAGAAGTAGGGAGTTAGGATTTCAATCAGGGTACATTGTACAGTACTTGTGATGTACCACAAGTCAATCACAAGTCAATCACAAGTCAATCACAAGTCAATCACAAGTCAATCACAAGTCAGTCACAAGTCAGTCACAAGTCAGTCACAAGTCAGTCACAAGTCAGTCACAAGTCAGTCACAAGTCAGTCACAAGTCAGTCACAAGTCAGTCACAAGTCAATCACAAGTCAATCACAAGTCAATCACAAGTCAGTCACAAGTCAATCACAAGTCAATCACAAGTCAGTCACAAGTCAGTTACTAGTCAATCACAAGTCAATCACAAGTCAGTCACAAGTCAGTCACAAGTCAGTCACAAGTCAGTCACAAGTCAGTCACAAGTCAATCACAAGTCAGTCACAAGTCAGTCATCCAGACCCAAGTCAACTTCAAAACCCAAGCTATCCGAATGAACTGTGACAAAGGCACTCTTTGTAATCATCCCCTGTTACTTGTTGCTGGAAATGCGAGTTGATTTGTGATTTACTTGTGATGACAAGACTTGTGATGTATTGTACATGTACTTCTGATCAATGCGATAACACAGTCTGTTCACAAGTAAATCACAAGTCTGGTCACAAGCAACATGGGTGAACGATGTCCAAGTCAAAGAAACGCTTTTGTTACAGCTCACTTGAATAGCTTGCGACATGACTTGAGACTGTACTGGTACGTCTAGGTCTCATGGTGAACTTCTTGGGAATTGTGAGGACTTGTGATGGACTTGACTACCTTACCTGTCTTGCGTGATGTCTGGTTGGTTCAATGCTTTTCTTTTTTAGCACATCAATACCTCTGTCGTCCGGCTCATTGCCGATCTCGTAGGTGGACGTCGCGGCGCTGTCCACGGTCCACTCATCGGCCACCCCTTGGTCCTTCAGCATGTGATTCATCATAGACTCGGCCATCGTGGACCGACAGATGTTACCTGGGTGGCGTAGCAAAACAAAGAGTCTACGAGTTAAACACATCCATTCAGCACGCTCACCTGTCTGGCTTTGTGGTGGCTCTCCTTGATGCCGTGGGCCTGCAGGACGTCGTTGGCATCACTGTCTGGCTCGTTGCCGGTTTGATAGGTTGACGTGGCTGCGCTGTCTACGATCCAGTCCCCTAAGGCTCCTCTCTCTTCCAGCATGTGAGAGAGCATACTTTCTGCCATCGGTGATCGGCAGATGTTACCTTGACAAAAATTAAGAGGGTCCATTTATTCACTTTCTAGCGGTGCTGATGTGGTTGATGTGAGTAGGGATAGCTAGTAATAATCCCAAGGGGTGGTGTTATGTGATATCATTCAGCATTCCAGACTCAAGAACCACCGAGTTTCAAGAAAGTTGGTTTGGGAGCTAGATCATGTAAACAGTTCCTGGATGTTTGCTCCCGCCTATTGGCTGGATGAGATTGTAACACTTTAACTTTGTACAAAATCGTGTATTCGTAACTCATACTGCGACAAATTGATTCTGTTTTTACCCCAGACACCGCGTACAAAAACAAAATGAACCCTCCTAATGGAAACATGCAGTGTGAGCCTTGTTATTACTTGGGTCAATATTGGTCGAGACCCCCATTGGTTTGTACACAGCAGGTGAGGAAGACAATTTTGACCGTTTGTGACCTCTTAAATAGTAAGATGGTTAATGTATTGCACATGCAGACAGGCACCAGACATGGCAGTCTATTCCTAATTTGCATATCCTAAAAGTTTGGATATCCAAACATTTTGGATACATGCGAATGATCAAATACCTTCAAGGTTAGAGATTGAGGAGGAAGCGCAAAAGTTTTTGATTGGCGATGCGTACACAGCAACGCGTGGACATTTGCCCCGTCTGCAATATGGCATAAAAAAACCCTGAAAGTGCTTATTAATGTTGTGCCCATTCTTGAAAATCACGCATTCTCGAGAATGGGCATGCACATTCTTGAGAATGTGCAACTGGATCCTTGCTCAATCTTGGCAAAAAATAACTCTTCCAGATTGAGCGCACATTCTCGAGAATGCGCGACAAGATAACGGTCTTGTCGATGCCGAGCACCGGCTGCGCTTGGCAAGTCTAGCTGAATCCTCTTTCACTGATTCTCAATAATTATACTGTTGCAACGCAAGGCGCTGAAAAGTAGAGTGGATATGACAAGTAAAGGCGTATTAATATGGGGGGGGGGGGGGAACCGGGAAAATATAAGAGACATAATAATACTAGTGCAAAGAATTCAGATTTTTGGGATAATAAAAGCGGGGGGGGGGGGGACGTAAGAATGAAGAATGTGAAGAATGAGAATGAATACTGCGACATCCCATAGTGCTAATGCTATTTCCCATTTAAATTGCCACCAATTTATTGTTCACATCCCACCATAACGTCGCAGAGCTGGATTCTATCTAGTCAAAAGAGCAATTTTGGCAGCTTCTGGACATCGTTTTTTTTTCGTGGCACGCATATGATACATGCAGGGACTTGTAACTTGTCTAGCCTAAACAAAGCACTTCCCAGACTAGTTCCCAGTCCTCCGTTATTACAAAACTTCCCATAGTGGGCAGATAAAAGCAATAATAACAGGTTTAATTTGATTCAAATTATCGTAGTTATACGAGTACAGAAGCATAGCACATTTTCTTTCCTCTTTATATGAATTGTTTCCCTTTTAACCGCTATACAATTCATTTAACATAATTATGTCGTGCAATGTTTGTTAAGATTGGGCAAAATTCATAAATTGTGCACGTGATATTCCCACCCAATCTTAAGAATGAGCGCTCATTCTTAAGAACGCGTGCTCGTTCTTAAGAATGTGCGCTCATTCTTAAGAATGCGCGCCCATTCTCGAGAATGTGCATGCCCATTCTCGAGAATGCGTGATTTTCAAGAATGGGCACAACATCAATAAGCACTTTCACGGCGAAATTATCGCAGGATGTTAAATCTTTTTTTTTGGCCTATAATTTCATTCCAAAATCAAAACCCTGCCCTCTCTCCACCAAATTAATCCTTCCACATGACGTTGCCAGCTATTTAGGCGAGTCCAGAAACTAGAAAAAAAGAGGATTTTTGTATGGTACACTGGGTCTACATGCTACAGGTACATGTATCTCCATGGGTAAACAAAGGACTTTCTTGGGGGTGTTTTCACTGACTCCTAATCTGGCTTAGTTATATGTTGAAAAATCTGTGAAAATTTAGTTAACTGTAATTTCAACTTCAAGGGAAAATGGCTCTTTAACATGTTTAACAAATTTTTAAGGGATGAATATATGTTCATATATCATAGCACAGTTAGGGCCCATGTAGCTGGAGTTACCCAGCCCTAAATTTTACGCAGTGGCTATTGTTACGGCAGCCGTAACGCATTTCCCATTTTCTATCGTTACGGTAGATAGACTGCAACTTTTATAAAAACATGAGAAGAAAAAATAAAATTAGAAGGAAAAGAGTGAATTTGAACGTTATGAAATTCGGACTTCATTTCCCTTTTAAAAAAAATCCTCCAAAGCCTCAGGTTAGAAAAGGAAAAAAATTTGAGTGCAAAACTGAGATGCGAACTCGCAACCTTGCGGTGCAAAATCTTAATCTCTATCGACTGAGCTGTCGCACTACTCGCTAAAACATTGGGAAACAAATAATTATATACCTGCGTGTGTATCAAAAAAGTATCGTAGAGGGCGCTAAACAACGGCTGCCGTAACGATAGCCACTTCGTAAATTTTATCATTGGGTTGTCTAAAGGACAACCCAATAAGCAATGTTAGGGCAACTCCAGCTAGGGCCCATATACAGTAGGCCTACTACAAAAAAAATCTGATCGCCCCTCGGCTCTATAAAATTAAAAAAATATTAAAAACTACACCGAAATTACAAACCAAGTCGACCTAGGAAATGTATACATTCAGTCTATAAACTTTACCAAGGCAGACGAAAAGAGCGGATTTGTTCATGGCAACCGACATTTTGCAAGAATTCCCTTTGCCGGTCCGAGACCGGAATCACCTGCACCGGCAGAAAATTGAATCACCGCTAGAGGGCGCTGGTGTTTGATGAACTTAAGAACTTTGTCGTATTGTGCATCGGTCGTGCCGTTTTTCGTGCAACTCGGTTTTCAAAAACTCGATAAAGACATCGTGCTGTTGTATGGTTTATAAATGGAGAAGCGACAGGATAGTTGAAGTCAAGTTTACGTACCCTAACCTACTTGTAAGTGTAGGCTACTCATTCATTCAAGCTTGTTTCTTCATGTTCTGACACTTTTGACAGGCATATTGACAGGCATGATCATGACAGAGCTGGCATGACAGGACAAGTCAAGTGCTTGGTCATGTTGGTGGTGGAAACATTTCAAATTAGGGTAATCCTTATCTTTAGGACACCTCTATATTTACGAGTTCTGTTTAAAAACTGACTTTTGCAGGTGACTGACTGCCCAGTACCAAAGTGACTTTTGCAGGCTAAAGCGGTCTTGTTTCTTCAGATAAACTCATGTTATCATGTTAGTTGTAATTTTGAAAGCACTTTCAAAGAAAATGTGACTTTTCTACCTTTTTTTGCAGTTCGCCATCTTGCTTTTTTTAAACATATTTTCTGTTTGTCATCGTCATCTTTAACCCCTCATAAATCAAAGCCCTACCTTCTTTCTACAAAATTGAACCTGCTGATATTCAAGAAGGTGTCATTGACAACTGTTCAAATGTGTCAAAAATATCAAAATGTCACTTTTGAGTGTCATTTAGTCAGCTGTTTGGGTGAGTCTTTTAACCTTATATAGGAACGGGGTCCTAAAGGTAAGGATTACCCAAATTAGATAGTGGATATTTTGCCGGAGGTAATGACGGCAAACTTACATTTACTAAAGGTTTGCCGGCGGCAATCCATGTCAACAGAGGGCGCTGTACTCTTTAAGATAGGGCTGAATTATAAGATGTTTTAAATTCCCAACAAAAGTTGTGTAGCAAAGGCTCTAAAATGCGGGATGACTCGGGTTCGATTCTGACCGCTCCACATTTTTAAAGTTTTTCTTTTCTCATCCCCAAATAAATAAGAATATTTTTCTTTTATTATTTTAACATGTCTCAAACATTTTTTTGCAGAATTTTCTTTTTCAGATTTGTGGCTCTGGAGGATTTTTTTTAAAAGGGAAATATAGTCCGAAATTATGAAATGGTCTGAATCCCATCTTGTGAATACGAGGTTACAACGATAATTTTGGCATGGAGCCAGACTAAAATTTTTCACCGGAAAATGTTTTAAGTACAAATAAACAGTAACTGCGCATGTTCAGTGCATATCCGGCAAAATAACGTTTACTAAAGGTTTGCCGTCTCCGGCAAAATATACACTGCCTTCAAATTATGTTCTTGACTCTCCATCGACTTTGTATCGTAAGACCCCCTAAAGCTACGCTGTCCTTTTTCGGTAATCCTTACTTTTAGGACACCTCTATTTTTTACGAGTTCTGTTCAAAACAGATGACTGTCCAGTACCAAAGTGACTTTTGCAGGCTAAGGCGAAGTAAAAAAAACAACATGTTTAGCGTCCCCGCCCGCTTCCTTTTTAGAGGCCGCCTCCTTTTTTTTTTTTTTTTTTTTTTTTTTAAATATGGTGCAATTGCGCAGAAGAGATGTTCGGTTCTGCATAGTTACATCATTTTGGTCTCATTTTCTGTTGCATCTTGCCCATAAGAAGCCAATATGTCATTTCCTGAGTCCAAGTGGCGGCCATTTTGAAAAAAGCTGGTAACCATCTTGAAAAATAGCCCGGCCGCGTTGTCTTGAAAAATGTGTCGGGCGGCCATTTTGAAAATAAAAAAAATAAAAAAAGGGCCTCCTCCTCCTTCCTTTTTGTCAAAGAGGCAGGACGCTAAACATGTTTTTTTTTTTTTTTTGCCTAAAGCAGTCTTTTTTCTTCATACAAACTCATGTTAGTTGTCATGGTTGTAATTTTGAAAGCACTTTCAAAGAAATCAAAGAAAATGTGACTTTCCTACCTTTTTTCACAGTCGGACATGCATGTTGTACTAGTTCTCACATGCGTGAAAGCCCTACATAATGAAAGCCCGATGCTGATTGGCTGCTAAAAAATAATTAAGATGTTTATTTTTTGTCAGCCAATCAGCATCGAGCTTTCATTGGATCGAGCTTTCACGTTTGCCATCTTGGTTTTTGAGTCTGTTTTCTGGTTGTCATCGTCGTCTTTTACCCCTGAATTTCCCTCTAAAATCAAAGCCCTGCCCTCTTTCCACAAACTTAAACCTGCTGATTACTCAAGAAGGTGTCATTGCCAACTGTTCAAATGTGTCAAGAAATATCAGAATGTCACTTTTGAGTGTCATTTAGTCAGCTGTTTTGGTGAGTCTTTCCCTTCCTATATATAGGAACGGGGTCCTAAAAGTAAGGATTACCCCTTTTTCTACGCATTTACCCTCAATTTGTGTGTGGCAACGCGCGCGCGTATGCAAGCGTTACCTGCGCAGATAATGGAGGGTTGAGGATACACAATCGCGAAAGTCATGGAAGTGGCGTCAAAATTGCAACTTTTTTTTTCCTAAAATTGTTCTCATTTGAAAATGTCGAGTCCATTTGGAACCAAACTCGGGTCATAGACAGTGTCGTATCCAGAAGGGGGGGGGGGCACCTTGTCTACATTTTGGCGCTGATGTGTGAGTGCTGTTAGTAACTGTAAGTAGTGCTGTAAATTTCACATCCACAGACCACAGGCTACATGTTCAAAATTGATCATGTGCGAAAGTTTCACTTAACACATTACCAGGTAATCAAGTGAATTCCAAACCCTAAAACAGGCATTTCCATAAACTCACATCGTATTGACATTTTTATGTGTAATGAGATTGAGAGACTTTTGAGACATTGGTGGCAGCAAACACACTGGGCCTTTTTCCACTGTTTGCGTCATATTGAGCATGCATGTTTTATTCTAAACATGACATAAACAATTGGAAAGGACCGGTGTGTTTGCTGCCACCAAAGTCTCGATTTCAAAAGTCTCCCATTTCTCAGGATACTTTTTTTTTCTTTAGTACAGCAAGCATCACATTAAGCTTCAGCAAGCATGGAGTCCTACATGGTGAGGCGTTCCTCCATCTACGTCACGCTGTTTGTTGGCTATTTCCTCTACTACCTGAATCGCAAATCCTTCTCCTTCCTAATGCCGTATGTCATTGAAGAAGAAGGAATGCACAGGAGTGAGTTAGGTGAGTACTACTACGTGTTCAAAAACATCCTGAATAAGTCTGTTGTTTATGATAATGGAATTACATTGTAAACCAACATTTCAGATCAAGTGAACAAGGCATGACAAATTTTATGGAGCAAGTTTCATCAGCTTTGTGCAAGAGGGTGCAAAAAAAATATTCACTTTCAAAATGTCGATTTTGACATCTTTTTGACGTCTTCAGTGTTGGAGACGGTAGCGGAAGGCGCATGCTGCAGCCAAAAGCTTCTGTTCATGAATGCAGGATCACCCCTGATGTTATTGCACACCTCCTCGATCGTGCGTTGCGCCAAACGGTTGAGGAGGTGTGCAATGACATCAGGGGTGATCCTGCATTCCTTCAGAATTAAAAGCTTTCGGCTGCAGCACGTGTATTTTGCCACCGTCTCCAGCGCTCTATTGACATTGGAGGACACCAAGTCGAAAGTGGCAGATTCTGAATGCGAGAGAGAACAATGAACCGCCCTCAACAAAAAATGGCATCTGACAAAGCGCAGCAACTTAACAATTAAAACAACATCACAGTCGTGTCTGTACAAGCGCATTTTTTCAATCTTTCGAATATCCAAAGCAACAAAAAGCCATTTGAATATTTAGTTGATGGTGGAATATTTGGTATATTTGGAACAGCTCTAGTATGATAGACATGGTAAATCAACAGTGATTGAAAGCAGTCACCTGTCACTGAAAAAGTAAAAACTCTACTGTTCTCCACATTTGATTTCCCAGGTGCTATCACCAGCAGTGTTTCCCTGGCCTACACCATCAGCAAGTTCATCAGCGGCATCTTGTCAGACAAGATCAGCGCCCGGGTCATGTTCAGCAGCGGACTGTTCCTGACCAGCGTGCTGGTACTCCAGTTCACTGGTTTCCGGTCCCTGCAGATGTTTATGGTGCTGTGGTTCCTGAACGGCATGGCCCAGGGCGGCGGCTGGCCATCATGCTCAAAAGTCCTAAAGCAGGTACCGGGTAGGCCCTGTGCCTCACAAGCCGTGAAACCCTCTTTTAAGAGAAAACCTGAGTACAGTGCTTATATTTGTGTATTTGCCCGAGCCCGTGCTGTCAAGATTTCAACTCTCTCTTATCTCAATATTTAATCCCCCTAGGGGAGTTTATTACTAGTTGAATGGCCACAACCAGCAGGAATCATCATTATCACTTGACTGAATGACATGCTAGGTTTGCTTAAATCCTTTTCAGGTGCCTATTATAATAAAACACACATATTTCCTTTTCAATAAATGTCATATCCAGTGCAATATTTGTTCATGTCCAGTTATGAAACCATTTATAACCTTTTTTGATCGTTGAAATTGGTGCACAACAGAAATCCTAAATCATAGTGCTGTGCTATGTCAGCTAGTGTAAATACTTCATGTTGTCAAAAGGGCTTCGATTGGGATTAGAATCATTTGCCTGGCTATCAATCATCATGGCAAGACCTCAGTTTAATGCGCAAGGGCAAATGATTCCAATCCCAAACCACATCAGCCTTTTTTCACAACATGCAGGATTTTTCACAGCTTACATAACACAGCACTGGATTTGATTAAGACAAGGAACTTGGTTCGAGTGTCCAAAAATGTTGTTGATCAATTGACAATAAGCCTCTGTGCTGATGACGTCACGCTTTGTTTACCCGTGTGCTTTCCTATGGTGCTCAGTGGACCGTGGGCCCCCACTGGCTCCATAGGAAAGTGCACATGTAAACAAAGTGTGACGTCATTAGTACAGAGACTTATTGTATGTGTAGTGAAAAGACATGAAAATGCTTTCCCACTTGTGTGAAAAGGCGTGAAAATGTTTTCCCAATGGAAAAGTTTTTCACACTTTATGTACTGAAAAAGAATTCTCTGGGAAGAGAAAAAGTGTGAAGAGAAATTCCGATTCCCAGGTTAAGTTTGGATTGCAATGTTAATGCACATAATAATCTATGACATATTGGCCTTAGTTCTTCCTTTTCTTGTCTTTATTATATTGTAGTGGTTTCTACCATCAGAGCTGGGTCTGTGGTGGAGCGTTCTCTCCACCAGTGCCAATCTCGCTGGGGTTGTCGGGCCCATTTGTCTGTCTTTCATTGCAAGGGATTATGGGTGGAGGACGGCAATGTACATAGGAGGTAGGAGGAATATTAGCCTAATCCTACTTCAAATATGGCGGACAAAATAGGAGGGCACTCTTCGGTTTTGGGTAAATTATTATCCAAAAGACTTTACCAAAATCAAACAGCGCCATATATCTCAAACAGGCTAATAGGTTGAATGGTGGCACTACAAAGTGACTTAACATGCAATGGTGTTATCGTGTAATTAACATAACATTAACCGAACAGAAAACCATAGAAAAGGGCGCCCCCATTTGACGAATGAGGTCAAGCCCCTATTCTAGGTGATTCTAATTCAAGTGTGAATTACTGCTTTGATTAATTCTGATCAGTGATAACAGAGATTGGAAAATTGTTGTTTTATTTCTTCAGGTGAACTATTTAAGTGCGCTGGATTACTGCAAAAAGGTTATTAAAAGAAATACGTAGGAATACGCTCAGATATTTCAGGCCTTTTGGTGAACTTTTGATTAGCTGAGTAAACACTTGAGATAAGTGACTGCACTTGTGAAGGGCATTGAGAAACTGTATTTAGGAAATCAGGCTATTTTAAGATTTGGTTGGGATAGAGAAAAGTTTGAATTGTTTTCTTACTCTTAGTTCCAAAGGTCAAATGCATCAGCATGGAATGGCAGGTTTGTTAGACTTTGACATACAAGTGTAGCCAGTGTCTGTGTTTCTTTCTATTTAATGCATGTATACCATACCAACATGTACACACCTACATTGTAATTATACAGGGTGTCAGTAAAAAAAAAAGGAAACCCAAATGGCAGGACCAATTATTTAATGAAGTTCTACATGGAGCACTCTCAAACTCTAGGATATGAAAGCCCAATTAATAAGCTTTCTTTTAGTACAAGAATCATTCAATGTACTTTTCAAGTTACGGAATTTTAAACACAACCACCGTTTTAAAGTTCTGTCCACGGATCACAAAAAAGATAAGCGTTCTTTCAGCAAACCAAAACAATTCACATACTGATTACTAGCATGTCACTCGGTACTACGTGTACATGTACACGATCTTCTGGTTTCAACAGTTTGAATGCTACTCTGTGTGCTGTGTGCATGGGTTAAAGTTGAAATGACGTCATGCTTAACGCACCGCATGCATACACATGTATTGCCTTTTAATATGTTTTTTTGTTGAATTGTTGAGTTCCTCAAGTAATTCAATGCATATGTTTATGATTGTAAGTGCTATATGTCCAAAGTTGGTACATGTGAAAGTGCCAGAAATGTTTGGGCAAGAGGAACTACAGTCTATAATAAAGTACATGTTCAATATTGTACAATGTACATGTCGTGTGTCATGGTACATTGTACAGCAGGCCAAGTTCTATACAATCCTTTATCATGTTTACTGATGCATCACATCCCACACAATGTCATTGCCTTGCTCAGCTTGACCTGACTGGTAACTGACCATGAACGATTTATGCAGTGGCACTAACAATATTATTAACATGCACAATTTTCATAAATACATGGGTTTTCTTTTCTCACACTTGTCACTAGGTGTGTTAGGCATCGGCATGTCATGTGTGTCATTCCTCATGATCAAGAACTCTCCTGCTGAGGCTGGCCTGGAACCGTTAGCTTCCTCAGAGCCCACCAAAGCCACCTCAAGTAATAAAGACGGTAATTATCTACTTCAGTTTTTGGAAAAAATGTTGCAACCTGACGCCACTTTTTTCTTCATATAATCATCTCAATAAAGGTCAGTCATTGCAAAAATGATGATAAGACATGAATCTGGGACTGAGAAACATTTCCAATTTTGTTAAGAAATACTTGGAACATTTTCTTGACTCCCCATAGACTTTGAACACAACCGCTGAAGTGGCGTCAGGTTGCAACTTTTTATCCATTTTTTTTGGGGGGGGGGGGGGAGAAAAGGCCATCCTTTTGTCCTGATCCGTTTTCCCGGAACATCTGATAATATGCATGCGTGCAAACTTTGCGCACCATTCACCGATAGCTCTCCTCGGCATGGGAAGTTGACAGACTAGTCACTTCCAATACCTCGGGGAGCTAATATCGACTATCAACCCTCAAACCATGTTTTATTTGCACGCCACATATTGTTTGTACATGTATATATTTTGAAGAAACAGGTAAAATGTGTGCACACTTTTATTGCAACTGGTTGGTGACACATGTAAAAAAAACTGACCACAGGCACATAACCACCTTCAGTGTTTGTTTTCTTGCGAATGATACCATTTCAGCCGGAATAATTTCACAAGGTATTTAGTACCAGTCTTTTTGTCACTATTTGCTTGTAAAATGTCCTCCTATATGTATGTCTATGCAGCCTCATCAGATGCGAGTCCATCTGGAGATTCGGCAACTACCCGTGACGTGATCAGCAGTCCCTTTCTGTGGGTCATCTCAGTCTTATTCTTCCTGACAGCCCTGATTGCCTATGGTATCATGGATTGGGGCCAGCTGTATCTCATACAGGAGATTGGCTTTGAGAATGCTGTAGGTGAGTAATGCAGTACGTACAGGCCCATAGCCAGGCTGGTGTCAGGGTGGGGATGTGAGGGGTGGGGATATGAAGGGTGGGGATGTGAGGGGTAAGGTGTGAGTGATGCGGGGTGGGGATGTGAGGGGTGGGGTGTGAGGGATGCGGGGTGGGGATGTGAGCGGTGGGGAAACTTTCATGGCCTTTGCCCGATCCACAATAATACCAAAAAACTTCACCAAGATGTGTTGCCGCTTGTCTGATGTAGATTTTAGTGGTTTGCCAGTTCGGTGAGCGTTCTCGATTTCGACTTCTGCCATACCGAATCTATCAGTCAGAAGCTGTTCAGTTACCTGGTCGTATGGAACAATGGGATCGTTTGATGAGTGATTCTCTGGTATGCCCCCAAATCGCAAGTTGAAGTTGCGGGAATAACGCTCCTGCTGAAGAATAGCTTCTTCAAGGGTGGTGATGTTCTTTTGTGCCGTCTCCAGCTGAGCAGACATTCTGGACATTCCTTCCGTCAGCACCGTGTTTTTGGACTGAAGTTCCTCAATGGAGGATGAAGAAAAGCCCAATGACTCCTCCATATCTCTCTGCTTTCTTTCGACATCTGCCACTCTCCCAAGTAGGGACTCTTGATTCAGGAGGGCTTTGTCGAGCTTGGCATTTACGTCGGCAGCCAGAGTGCGAATTTCCCGCCTCAGATTGTCAATGGCGTCACCTTCTTCTGTGATAGTGCCAGGTGATTGGTCAGTGGGGTCATGTGGCGGCTTGACCGAGTCGTCTGATCCGGTCTAGGATGACTGAGTTTTTCTTTCCTTTCTCGGCATAATAACTATCAAGAGGCTCGATATAAAGCCAGTGGCACAAGAATACTGAAATCTTAGATTTTCATGAGATTTATGGAGAATTTACTGGTCAATTATGACGGTCCCTGGAGCATCGATTTGACACGTCTGTCTACATGGTATGGAAATCGTAATCCAAAATGATTAATCTATCAAAAATATAATCATAAACTTGTGGCTCTAATTACCCATGTGATGAGTTGTCCTTGGTCTTGAATTTTTTGTTTTCTTCCCCTCTTTCCCCCAGGAAGTGCATTCACTAGTTCTTATTCCATCGGAGCCATCGTTGGCAGCATTGTTGCCGGCTTTGTTACAGACAGATTAGTTGCCAGGGTAAGTATAGAAACGTTGCATTTGACTTTATGGTTTGATCCAATATATGGATATCCGATGCCTTATAAGTTATTAATGTTGTTGTTTTCTGTGTTTGTTTATGTTACTAATATTTAGGAAATACATGTATGGGGAGTAGTCCCATGCAAAAAAAGGCCTGATATAATTACTGAGAATTGAACTCAGATTAAAGTTACATGTACGTTCCCCATGCTGCTAAAAAAAAATGAACAGCTTTTCTCTATAAAACCCTAACTGCCTACTAACTTTTACCAAGTAGATGACCATATCTTTCAATATCCATCACTCACTCTGCTTCACATAATGCTTCAGAACCAAATCCATTGAATCCACGACTGGTGCTGATGGATTTTGATGGACTTGGAACAAATGGTTTTATATCTGCCACGATTCCACAAAATGGGGGATGGATTTTGATGGAGTTGGTAAGGTTAAGGTTAATACATTTTCAACGTGCATGTTTTATTCCAACCATGTTTTATTCAAACATTCCTTTCTTTTCTTTTTTGGATGTCTGCAAACCTCTAAGACAAACGTTTTTTGGGGGGCACAAACAGTTTTGCTTTCTGAGCAGATAGACTGGCTCCCAATGGCATGAATCCTCTTTTAACAGAACACCCGAGCTGGCCGGTTATATTTGGGTTTTTGATCAAGACTGAACCAGGCTTACTGATCTCTCTTAACTCAAGATTTATCTCCTAAGGGCAGTTTAGCACCTGATGAATGCCTACCACCAGCAGGGAACAATTACATTGTATGCCTGAATCATTCCTCAGAGGCCTAAAATGCACATGCATTTTTCATAAATTTAATATCCAACATTTTATTTGTTTTTGTTGACGAGTAATGAAACCATGTCTCCTTATTTTGATGCACAATCAACAGAAATCCTGAATTGTCGGACTGTAAGTGTGGTCCCTGCGGCACACGATTTACTTTCACGCATGTGTGAACTGCAGAATGCAAGAGTATGATGCCTACCCCCCCAAAAAGGACACCCACATTTGACTGCAATTTTCGCCTATTTTTTTAAAATTATTTTTAACTGTCGATTAGAAGCTATTAAAGTACTGGCCTTTAAGCAAATGTGACAAAAAAAATTGTTGCATTTGCGCATTTTGTTGTTTAGCTATGCTAATTTGAACATTTCGTGTGCGAAACCTGTTTGTCCACGGAGGTATACATTCCTTCGCTTGAGCTCAGCTATCAGAGCTTTATTTGAAGGCACAATATTAGCACACTTCAAACAGAGATTGCTATTTCAAATTGTTTTTCTTTTCGTTGTGTTACTTTAATATCAAAATATAAATAAAGGTACCATCTTTCTCTCGGGCATTGAAATACTCTCAACACAAAATGCACCAATGCATGCTTGAACATTATCATTTTAAAAAACGCGCTAACAATGAAGCCAATCTTAACATCCGAAAGGGCATGACATTTGATTGTTATGTTATGTAATGTTATGCAACAATGAACTTAAGCCAACAGCTCATTTAGTAGATGATCTTAACACTGACATGCATAATTGGACAGCTTCAATAAAAGTTACCAGGGCAAAATATATTTTGGTGGGAAGGTTTTTTAATTTGTATGAACTACGAAAACGTCCAATTTACATAGAATAACCCGTGGACAAGACTGATTTTGGTGACTTGTATTCAAATTAGCACAATATCACTATTTTTGCAACTTTTACTAAACTTGTTTTTACCATACATGGTTTAAGGCCTATACTTTACTACTATGTGAAAAAATATTTCAAATACGTTCATTAGGTAGGTGAAAATTGCTGTCAAAAGTGGGTGTCTTTTTTTTTAACCACCCTGTACCTTGCAAGAACAGAACTCTTGTCTGGCAGCCAATAATTCAAAATTGCAAAGTAATTATTTAATGACTAATCATTGGCCAATGTTTTTCAGTCAATGTCTCATTCAAAAGTGAATAACTTTGGTATTGCTAGAAAAAAAGCAATTTAGAAAAGGAATCTATTTTTCAGGATGTCATGTGAAATGCACATTAAACGCACATCGGTTTTCTTTTTTGCTCACCCTGTATAGAATGAACCACTTACTGTATGTTTCTAATGTAGGGCTGTCCTGAATATGCGGAATATTTGAATATTCCAACATCAACCAAATATTCAAATAGCCTTTTGCCGGTTTGAATATCCGGGGAAAAAATACACATGTGTGCACACGACTGTGATATTATTTTAATAGTAAATTTGCCACTTCAGAAGCCATTGTTTTTGTCGACGGTGGTTCGTTGTTCCCTCCCTTATAAAATACCTACTTTACAACACTCCAGCCGTCCATAATATTGACGCCGCATGCACATCTTAACCGGCCCCCTTTGCGTGCAACTTTTGACCGGCGTTGCACGTAGTTGCATCTGGTGTACATGTAAAACTTGATGAGAGAGTTTTGAATAGTATACAAATATTGAGTGGCTCAGCGTGGAATGGGAGGAATATTATTGCAAGGTAAAATCTGGACTTTTCTATTTCACGAGGCGAAGCCGAGTGAATTGGAAAAGTCCAGATTTTACCGAGCGATAATATTCCTCCCATTTCACAATTTAAAGCCACTCAATATTTGTTTTATATAACTGACATATAGATCCTTGTCGTTTTTATATATTTGAACTTTTATTTCAATACAAAACTGGAGGAAAATGTATTTCTCTCTTCCAAACCACCCCTTCACGAAGATGTTTTAACCCAACGCTGTAGCGCTGGCTCTTTGGAACAATACGCACTACGCGCAATGCTGAATGCGCACACCAGCATGCATTTGCACACAAACACTGCGCCTTACTGTTGAATAGTATTTCCCATTCCCCATGGGCGGATAGTACTTTTTGAGCCGTGGCGTGAATGGGAGCAATAACGAATGTCACGTGATGTGAGTTCCACCAATCAAATGACAAGGATCTGTATGTTGGTTATATAATCAAAAAAGGCCGGACAGCCTTATTCTAATGTTGAAAATATTAACTTGGAATTTGTTTCTTTCCTGTCCGTTTATTCTAGGCGAGCAAAAATTCTAAAAGCAGTCCTCGGTTTCCATGGTTCATGTTCATGGAGGCAGTCAACCTCATGTCAATCCACATCTTCAGAAGTCTGGTCACCATAGAAACAAATAAAGTAAGAAAACACTGTTGTTACCATGACAACCCTTGTCTAGTGCCGCAAACCCATTTACAAAATTTAATTCCCAAAGGCTATAGGTCACTCGCAAATGGCTTATTCCCAGTTGCATGCTTGATTATTACAAAAATGTATCTCTTCTAATCTCATGATTATGATTGTGTACTTGTTGCAGGTGTTGATTCTTACCATTGGTTTCCTGTTTGGTGTTGCTCAGTATGGAGCCTTCTCTGTGTACGGTGTAGTGGCCATAGAGAACGCACCTGTTCATTTGTCTGGAACCTCCCATGCCTTTGCTGCCATGGCCTGCAATGGTAAGCCCCCTAGGGTCTGATCGTTTGGCGTAAATGCTCCCTGGATGCAACCATCCAGTTCCTCGGTGATCAGCCACCATTGCAGTAGACAAGCGTTTCGTTAGCTACCAAGTAGGATTTATTTTCATGTAAAATATAATTTCAATGAAAATGTCTATGTATCAAATGACGCAGAGGGATTGCTCATTACTCAGGCATGCAACTTTTCCTCGGATCCGCTGATTTCCTTGTTGTTTACTTCTCATGAATGCCATTACAAATTGAAAAACACCGTACAAAGTCTTGAGTGGTTTGGAATTTCCTCGTTTTTTTCTAAATTCCCAGTTGCATGCCTGATTACTACACCTCATAAATATGAGTATATATTGGTGAGTATCCAGCTTGCTGCTGTGCAGTGTTTTTTTCTGGTAGCACCAAAAATTCCTTCTGGAACCCACCTCGTAGACATGTAGACTACGTAGACTATACTGCAGTAAAAACACGTTAAAGAGTACCCATTTAATATAGAATACCCATTTTTAAATGTATATTAAATTATTAGAATGTGTTGAATGATTAAGAAAGAGGCAACTTCAAAGAAAAAGGCCAGGATGGTTATCCAATGGTGTTAATTTCATGGATAACTAAGCAAACATGGCCTCTAACAAAGAGGTCATGATCAGCACTGAGACAAGTTTTTAGCTGGGTGGCAAAGGGCATACAGTTGCTCAAAGTTCACCAATAGAGGGTGCTTTTATATTCCGTTCCCGAATTACCAAAGTGAAGTACACCAATAGTGGGCGCTATTATAGCGCCACGCGTGTAGTGCAATAAGTGCATGCAGGGCGCTCTAAACCAGATATGCGTAGTACACTATACAATACACCAATAGATGGGGCTATTATACTGTTCGCGCGGTAAGTGGGTTTCATAGTAAAACCTATATGCCTATGGTGGGTTTAGAACAGATGTGTATGCGTGTTTAGAATACACTCTACTAGTACACGCATAGAATACAGTACATGCATAGAATACAACAGGAGATACTAGCGGCAGGCCGGTGTTGATTATATAGAGTCCCCTCCACTTGAGCAGTTTTCGGTAACCTAGAAAGGATCACCCTTGCACTGCATGCACAAGACAGACAGCACAGGGAACAAATGAAAAACTCAGTCATGGAGCAAGACTTGCCCGGCTTATGTAGGCATATCAGGATATGATTTATTTTGAGACACCCTGAATGTAAGATCTTCCGTACCGATGAGTGTACGACAGGTTCTCACAGATTCTGGCGCGTTCCGCAATGGAGTACCGAAGTGAATACGTCACGCACATAAAATGTGTGTGTGAAAGATATTAGCGCGTGATTCAGCTCGTGAACCAACACATGCGCGTGCTCCATTCGTTTGCACTACACTTTCTGGCTCTAAATGACGTCACACTTCGGTACTCCATACCATTGAAGAAAGACTCCAAGCTGTTGATATTCAGTAATTTATTGATACAATGCACATGTCTGGTAAAAGCTTAAACAGCTTAAACGAGAACGGTACCTATAACAGCTTATAACATAAACAGTAAATGGCTAAAAACGGTAGAAAAACTTTTTCCCTTCGACACTCAAACTAAAACAATGTTCAAACACTATGTGTGCGTGTAAAAGGGAACAAGTTGGCAACGCACTGCACCACAGCTGCACGAACAAGAGGCCACTGTGTCAAGCGCAAATCTTACACTGTACAGAGTTATACATGTTTGCTTTTTCCTCAGTTGGCGTTCTGATGGCAGGTTACCCACTGACCTACATAGCAGAGAGGTTTGACTGGTCCGTAGTGCTGATGTGTCTGGAGGCCATGTCGCTAACCAGTCTAATGATTCTAGTAGCTGCCAGAAAAGTGGAGGCTAGGATTGGAAAGCCATCAATTAAAGTGGAGTGACATGATTGCGGGTAATTTATAAACAGTGGTTGGTACTGTCCTTTTTCTATCAGTGTTGTTGTTTATTCCGTCACAATTTAATCAAATTGGTTTCATGTTAATGACAAAAAATTGTATGTTTGAGAGCTTTTTTTTACCGAGAGCAGTTAAAGCCCACCGCACACGAGAACGACATGCTGAGCGAAACGTCATCAAGGCCGTTTGCTCAGCACGTAAATGTAGATCTCAAAATATTCCCGTGTGCGATGAGTTTTTGCTGAGTTTCTGCCTCTCGAGGCCGTGAGGCAGATCCTGTTTGTTTTTTGTTGTTGTTTTGTTTGCCTTGCAAGGTGAAAAACTCACCTCGTGGTAAAACCTGAGCTATGTGATATCGTTTTTTCAATTTCTTCTAAAGCCTGCTGGTGTTTGTTTTTGTCCCTGTTGTTAAAATCATGCGACCGACAAACAAGGATAACCTGGCCACAACTCAACCAGCTTGCCCTCTAAAATATAGTTGAAGACAAAGTAACTGACTCTCAGCTTTCGATTGGGGCCGCCATCTTGAAATCTCGTGACCAGAGTATGTGCTTTCATTGGTTAGTTAATTTTTTAGCTCAGCACATAGCTCAGGTTGACCTCACAAGATAGGCGAAAAAAATCAAAATTTGCCTCATGGCCTTGCGAGGCAGAAAACTCAGCGAAAATTCACCGCAGACAGAGATGTTTTGTGAGCTACCGTACGTGCTGAGCAAATGGCTTCGAAAGACTTGTTGCTCAGCATGTAGTGAGGATTTTGCAGGTCTTGGGAAGGTCAAGAGAGATGCAACCTTTATCATGAAACGTTGTGATGATAATTGGGGCTCTCTCAAACAATTGGTGTTGATAAAATGTGAGACCTGCCCCAAAGAAACCCGGACACAGTTGCAGAAGTAGTTTTTGCACAAAGGCCATGTGAAGTCATTTTGGGGTGGAACAGACCAATTAGATGTTTTCAGATTTTCTGAATCAGTAAATATAAATTTACAACCTCCCGAAATATTTACTAGAATCCATCAAGCAGAAGTGTATTTTTCGGTTGATTCAATGAAGTCAAAAGCAGAATTTCATGAGTATATGTATATTCAGTATTCAGTAAGAAGTTTTTAACATTGACGTATAGATGTAACTTTTACTCGCAGTAAGTATTCAAAAAATTCAAGCCTTAAATGTGCAACTCAAGCTTGCAATCAACAATTTGTCTTTTGCTTTTTGGGTCTGTCCACACTAACGGTTACAAAAGTGTGACATTTAGAGGGAACCATGGACAGGAGTCGATATATGAAGTAATACGTTAAGTTTTCCATCATTCTTCATCCTATATCTTGGTGAGAACATTACCCACGAACAAGTTTGATAAATTTCTCAGGTTTCGAGAAATTACAGAGGATTATCTTCAAGATTTAACGTTCATAACATGGACAGACATTTCATTTTTAAGTGGTGGGAAGCAGTTAATAAAATACATGAATTATCCCAAATTTGTTCCTAATGTAAAGCTATCCATTTATCCATTGAGAGATTGTCACTGGCCAATCTCAGGTTAAACCTCTAGATATTTTTAACTACAGGGTGGGCACATCTTCAAGACTTCATGTTCATAACAGGGACAGAAATTGTGTCACAAATTTCTGTTCATTTTATGAACATGTATCAAGTCGCATCATAATTTCATAAATACTTAACAGGTTGCTTTAATGTTGAATGATACTAATTCTTCATTGAATGTGTACTATAAATGGAACATGGGTGGGATTTATTATGAAAAGAACATATAGTATGAATCAAGAGTGCCCGTCCATGTTATGAACATTATCCTACATTTCATCTTGAAGATGGCCGAGTAATTTCCTACATATCCAGTGAATCAGCCTTATTATTTTATCAGTGCAATCACGAATAATACAGGAATGTTAAAAAAAAAAAAAAATCTTAGCAAAAAAACAGCTTTGAAATCCACCTCCCATGTCTCACCCATAAAGTTACAAGTTGTAACTGTTAGTGCCGACAGACCCTTTTCCTTTTTTCTTAAATTACCCGCAATCAGTGATTCTGTTCGTGTCATGTTCTTCTTTTGTAATCGTTTGTATGTTTTTGTCTAATTTTGTAATTTTTCATTTGATTCTATTCCAATATTGTGCAATGCATTAATTCTTCTGAAATATAAAAAAAAAATCAGGTGCTACTTCAATATCTTTGTGATAATTAAGAGTAAGTGTTATGAATGTGGAAAAGGTAATCTAGAAATGTTCACTATGAAACCTTGAAAGGCATGTACATGTAGATGTAGGATCATTTAAATAATCTCAAACGTAACCCACCAAATTGCTATCAAGAACCTTACTTGGATTAAAGATCGAACTGGTACTAAACACCCTGTGAAATTATTCCGTCTGAAATGTACATGAATGTGTGACGATTTCTAACGATCAGTCAATTGACTGATTTTTTAATTTAAATAAAGAGTTCTATTGACAAAATTGTGTTTTATAATCAAAACTCAAAAGGTTGTGGCACGTGGTGTTCAGTCACCCATTTCTCCCAAAGGGTAATATCCACCGAGCTGAAAGTTCAACAGGTTACGTTTTAAACATTCTTCTTTGGATATTGAGTGTTGTTATTGTTGGAAACAAACAAAATACATGAAGAGCAAACGATCGTATTACATGAGTGAATGGATGTGGACATTCCGGACAAAAGCGCCAAATTTTCCATACACGCTCCTCAATGCCTTAGCTTTCAATTTTTGATAGGAACCAACTTATCCGATGACATTTTGGCGGCCGTCTTGGATTTTAAAGATGGCGGCCATTACAAACCTATATCTACCAATATCTCATCTTGTAAGCCACTTGGGATTAAAGTTTTGGCGTCAGAACATACATTTTGGGGGTCAAGGAGGGCAACTGTACCATTTGGGATAGTGTCAAATGGTTAGTTTGTCCAAATACATGTGGCCATCTTGTGTTTGAAACATGGTTGCCATTTAAAACCTAAATCTCCGAATACGTGTATTGTATCTTTAAGCCACTAATTGGATCTAACTCTTGGTGTCTAAACTATATTTTCAGGGTCATGGAACGCAACTAAACAATTTGGAGCTACATGTGTTTGGGATCGTGTCAAATGGTCAGTTTGTCCAGATACTTAATGCGGCGGCCATATGGTTTGCCGTAAAAGGACCAACACTGGCCCGATTCAGGCTTTGTACCTTTTTGCCATTATGGTTTGACCTGAAAGGGCCGGCACCGGTCCCATTCAGGTTGTGTACCGTCTTGTCATTATGGTTTCCTATAAAGGGACCAACACCGGCCCGATTCAGGCCTTTTACCATCTTTTCATCATGGTTTATCATAAGAGGACCTGCAATGGCCTTGTTCAGGTTGTGCGCCGTCTTGCTGTTATTGTTTGCCTTAAAAAGACCAGCACTGGTCCGATGCAGGCTCTGAACGGCGTTACCATTACCGTTTGCCATTTAATAGGGCGAGCACTGGACCAAATTCGACTCAGTGGTGTCTGTACCGTTAACGCGGAACCGTTTTGGCGCAATCGAGCCAGCTTTAGCCCGCTTCTGGTCTTGTACTGTTTTAACTGTATGATACTTCCACAACAAACCCATAATTAGCTGGTATCGGCCCAATACCGTCGACCTGTTTACTGGGTCAATGCCATCTTTGAACCTAGGCAGGTAAAAATCTCTGGCACTACAGGATACAACTCTGCCTCTTCTCAACTTCATGCAGCTGAACCACTTTTGTAGCCGAGAACATCACGCACCAAGACTCGACCTACTACATGTACATGTTTACACTTTGTAACACCGCCAAGACCAGAGAATCAAGCTGGCTTCATCTTCCTCAGCAATAACACCCCCTCCCCCTAAATGTTAACAATGAGTCGTATTTTTAGGAGTCCACAATAGCAATCAAATTCATACCGTAAAGAAGTGTGAGGGATGGGTAGATCGGGTCTAGGGAACATTGGGCTGCGATAGGCTTGAGACGAGGAAAGGGGTGGGGCAGGTACTGGTAACTTAAATTTTACACTCACAAGTCCATGGGAAAATATATATATACCAGGTTCTTGACGAATGATTAATTCTACGGTGTTTTTTTTTGGTATCTTGATCTTTCACGCTAAATTGTAGATATGGTGAGATTCTCAATTCTGCCTTGGTAACTTTTGTAAAAACTCGTACAAGACGTTTTACGTTTATTGTCAACTTAGTATTTACAAGTGCATATTAAATAATTTTATTCATAAGTAAAAAAAATCCTAATAGAGCTGTTTATTTACACATTTCAGAACAAAAAAAGTAATAGTATCATGACCCTGCTTTTGGGAGCTATATATGGAAAGGGTAACAGAAAATGACAATTTCCACAACGCTGTCACTGTAAATTCACCGATGCCCCCTTCAATGGCAAGCACATTGCACAAAGCAACTGCCCCTTGATAGCTAATAATAATAATAATAATAATCGGCATTTAAAAACGCCCCTTTTAGTAAACTAAATCACGGCGCTTACAGTATTATTATTGAACGATATCTAATTGAACGATAGCTAATTGAACGATATCTAGCACAATGATTTCACCATTGAAAGGGGCCCTCCTCTAAACGTTGGACTGATGGATTACGGGCGGTGATTAGTAAGATCATACCTCATAATATGCACTTTGTCAAGTAACTTTCTGTGCTGAGATCAAGTTGGCATTTAAATGCGCGTAGACCATTTCGGGTACACGCATGCGCTTTTCACAAGAAACAATCACATCACGGAGCAGACACGGCACGGAAGTAGATCCAAAGAAACGTCAATCAACATATGAAACAGGTGCAAATACCATTGTACAGTTAGCAGCAAAGCTTCTCGAGTCTTTGCTGATCTTCGATATTGTTTTCTTCGATTTTTCTTAAGGTAAATGAAAGACTTCAGGGTGTTGGCTTTCCAACAAAAAATAACCTCAAGAACTAGACATTCGGTGCAAATAAGCTTCGACAAACCACAGGCAATAGCGGACAATGTAATTGAATGTCAAGATAAACGACATAAGACCAATGCTTACTTAAGGTTAATGACATCAGGGTTTTTTTTTTTTACAACATACATGTAATACAAATGAAACCGCAAATATCAATCATGAAACGAAGAAAAAAATATTTAAAAGGATGTCAAATAGCTCTCCTCAGAAATGAGAGACCGTCTGCGTCCACTCTAGCGACGGTAAGCAGGGGGGGGGGGGGGTCGACCTTCTGTATAAAAAAAACCTTGAATATCAATGTATATCCAATATATTTTAGTTGTGCCATACCAAAAGAGGTTTGTTTTCACATACTAGGAAAAAGTTGAAAAAGTCTAAAACAAAATTTCAAAGAAAACACAAAGGGAAACCGACGAGATGCATTATGATTATGTTTTAAAGCTGAAGAAGGAAATTGACTTGAGCCGGTTTCAATTATTTCAGCCATCAAATGCATTGATTTATATTTGATAATTCTGCAGAAGTCTGGAAATCCGATTGAATTGATAAACGCAGCTGCAACAGTAAAAAACAAAATGTATGCACTTATTTCAAAGAGTGATATTCACTCTCTCTGACACAATATATTGGAGGAAAGACTTTAAGAGTTGTTAATATTTCTAATAAGTTGACTGGGTTTTTTTCGGAAACTCTTTGAAACTAACTTAATAATGTTCTCTCAAAAGCGTCTGGATCCTCATGTAACTTTTTTGAATTAAGAGAGCAGTGATCGACTCAAAAATAATTGAGGTTACTATTTATTGTACAAAGACCAAGAATCGAGATATTCACCGTGGGTGTCGCCATCGTGATGGTCGCCATCGTGGTGGTCGCCACCGTGGTGATCGCCATCGTGGTGGTCGCCATTTACGGTGACGGCCGCCATCGTGATGGTCGCCATCGTGACGGTCGCCATCGTGACGGTTGCCATCGTGATGGTCGCCCGAGCCATGTTGGTCCGTACGATGGTCAACAGGGTAGTCGCCAGGATATAATAATAAATTACTCAGAACTTTCAAAGGTGTTCAGGCTGCACAGAAAATCAACATGTCATCTTTTTTTGGTGGGTGACCCATGACTTTTGGATAAATTCTCGCCCAAAGAAGACGACCCTAAAACGAACGATGTTTCCCAAACTGGAAAAGTAGGCATTTTGAAAAAGGATCCCTTTACAACATGGATAAATAGCGCCACTTTCGGATCCAATTACAAAATGCTCAGAATTGGAAGCCCCAAGTCCACGCAAGAGGTACAGTGCCACATGTTTTTAATCCCCAATTCCATGGCTCTCGGAACGCCCTAATTTTGAAGAATTTGAGCGTTTTTCAAGTTACGAAATTTTAAACACAACCACCGTGCGTTCTTTCAGCAAAACGAAAACAAATCACATAGGGATGAGCGTGAATTGTTTCATTTTGCTGAAAGAATGCTTAAAAGAACTTGAAAATTATATGAGTGATTTGGATGATTCTTGTTCTAAAAGAAAGCTTATTATTTGGGCTTTCATATCCTAGATTTTGAAAGTGCTACATGCAGAACTTCACTAAAAACAACGGTCCCAACATTTCGTGATGTGATGTGATCAAGCTAAATAAGTCGTTTTTGGAGAATTTTCATTTGGAGATTTACTTCATCACATCTCTTGGTGTTCCGACTTCCATAATTTTTTAACTAAACATTGTATCAACATGCAGTTTTCACAGCAGTAATGCTGAGATTGTGCTCTTTTTAAATCTGTAAAAATAAAAATTGACCAGGGTCGACAAACGACTCATTATTTAGCTTGATCGCATCATTTGGGTTTCGTTTATTTTTACTCACGCTGTAGATCGCATTCAATGTACCATGGGCTGGCATCATTTTGTGGTTCGGCCAATATGTCTTTAGATCGAGCGATAGGTTCGTTTCCAATGACTATAAGCCTTAGCCTTTGTACACAAAAGTAAATTTCGTATTCTATTTTATGCTATGGTAGTGATAGCGTATGGAACGATATCTCGAAAGCTGTGCCATTATTTTGGCAATGCTCAGAGCCTTGTCTGCTCCGCGTATCATGGCTTTCAGGCGCTAACCAGTTTTAGACAACCACAATCACCTTGTAAGGGACTGTACTTCAAGTAGCTGAGGGAATTAGGTGGTGAAATAGCCTAGGTTCAAGGAGCACGTTCGATTTTGTTTACCCTGTAAGGTCTTATGAATGAAATTGTAAAAGAGCTCATTTCATTCATAAGACGTTTCAAGAATTTTGCGCTGCGATATACTACCAAAGTTTAACATCGGAAGAGCAAACGCGGCATTTCGAAACGTTGTTTCATCAAGTGTCTGATTTGGCAGGGTTTGAATATCTTCTGCACTTTTGCTGCGGTGACAATAGTGGGCCAGTACAAATTCAATTTTCAAGATTGTATCGATTGTAGGTCAGGCAGCCTCCGTGGCTAAAAATAAACATGACGACATTGACGGCCCTTTATCAAAGCTCGACTTCGTTTCCGAATTCGCTTTATCACTTATAGTTTTTAATGTTCCAATCAAATTTTTTAATTAATCACTTGCTTCATAATATCATACAGTTATGATAATACAGTTTGATACTTCTGTAAGAAAATATTGACTAATGTTGACCTGGAATCTTCAAAGTTACGCACCCAAATAGCACTGTTAGCAGGAGGAGCCAAATGGGGACCACGCCGAGTTTTGGAAAATCCCGGTAACGGTCGTCAAATTCAAAATAGTACATGACGCAGCAAAAAAGTTCGCCCTTCGTATAGATCGTCGTTGAATTTCAAGTTTTGTAAATTAAGGCAATGAACATGAATTATCAACCCATTTTTTAAAGTTTTTAAGAAGCAATAGCAGTTAATAAAACCTATATTATACGCTATCCGATTGTCGACGAAATGAATTCGGCAAACTTTGGACATGTGCGGAAAAAGGAGGAATTCCTCCCGTTTTAGTCACGTGACGTATATTTGTTATACAATGCAATAGGCCCAAAAAAAGTCTCCGGTTTCTGGTATGGAGCTTGCCCAAAAATTGTTGCGGCGACGCGGCTTTTTTTTTTTTTAACCTGATTTTTTTTTGCTTCAAATGTCGGCTGATGACTGCAAATGGTGCCCGACTAAACTTAGTGCAAATATATGGGAGTCCAGAGAGGCCACATAAAGCTTACACGTTAAAATTGTGCAGCAGCAGGATTCCAGTCAAACCAGTGAGTTTGGCGGTTTTGAGACATCATCTTTCATTGAAAAAAAAACTTTTTCATTTTGCCGACGCGCATGGCTACGGCGACGCGCGCGCATACCAGAAACCGGAGACTTTTTTTTGGCCTTACTGACAGCTACCTGACCTAAGATTCATCAGGAACAGTCAGAAACTTTTGGTCTGGGAACCAGACTTGGTTCCAAGAGGTCCTTGGCGGTGAAATGTTTCAGCGTGCACGAGTTATTGGACTTAGCAGCCGTTTACCGAAGTGGGCGCCCTTTATACACACGCCATCAAGCCCACTGATCTCTATATACATATAGAGATCAGTGAACAAGCCGCAGTGCTGTTTGCGTGCGATTCGTCGACAACCGAGTCAGGTTAATTCGTGGATGTTTCTATGGTTACAGACCAGTAAATTGACCGTCACAGACCTCATTGATAATTAGGCACACTTCCTAAAACTATTAAAAATACGCACAACTCTCCATAGCCGATTTTAGATACACATTAAATTAACGCTTATTTCACCATCTTTCATTTTCTGTTCAACATTGGGGGGGGGGGGGGGGGTTAAGAAATGACTTTGGGAGAAAATTCCTTCGAAGATGATTACCCTTATAAGTAGTCCTGAAGCCTATCGCCGTTTTGAAAAAGACGCCTACGTTTCATTGCAAAATATAGCCATCTTAGTTCCTTTCATCCAAATGTCACAGAAATACGAAGATCCAAGTCCTCTGCACGGCTTCCAATTTAAATGCTCTAATACCGGAGAACTTGAGGGCAAGCAAATCGTTATTTGGCCGGCGAAGGCAATTTCGGGCCTATTTACTGGCCTTCACCCTTATGGCAATGGGACCGGGAACATGCATGCTGATGCGCGTGGCACTGTCTATCATAAAATAATTATACCCCCCTAACAACATCTTGCAGCAAGACTAATAAGTAATCGTACTGTACAGTCAATTTGAACAGCACCTCCAAGAGCAAAGTATCGTCCAGCCTGGCACCCCACAGTAACAGCCCCCCCCCCCCCCCCCCGCATGTTGTTAAGAAGTCGCAGTTACTGTCATGAGTCCACAATAGTAATCCAATCCAAACCGTCAAGAAATACAAGGGATGGGTAGAGTGGGTATGACGTGGGGCCGGGGTAGGTTTGAGACGAGTAATGGGGTGGGGCAGGAATTGGGCAAGTGTTTCATTTTTATATAAATCACAAGTCCATGGTATATGTTACATGTACCAGTTCCTTGACGAAGTTTTTATTTTCACTTTTACTTCGATGTCGACTTCTACGCTAGATTTTGAGACTTGAGAAATTCTTAATTCTGCCGTTATAGCAACTTTGTAAAACGCACTGAGAATAATTAAAGACGTTTCATCAAAAAGGCGTTTTGACGTTTTGCGTTATTTATTGTCAACTTAGTATTTACAAGTGCATATTAAATAACTTTATTCAAAAGTAAAACTTCCCAATCGAGCTGTTTATTTACACATTTCGGAACAAAAATAGTAATAGTATCATGACCCTGCTTTTGGGAGCTAAGAATAGAAATGGTAACAATGAATGACAATTTCCAGAACGCTATCAATGTGCATTCACCGACGCCCCCCTTCAATGGCGAACACATTGAAAGCAACTGACCCTTGACAGCTAATTGAACGACATACAGCACAATGATTTCACCATTGAAAGGGGGCCTCCTATAAACGTTGGACTGATGGATTACGGGCGGTGATTAGTAAGATCACACCTCATAATATGCACTATATCAAGTAACTTTCCGTGCTGAGATCAAGTTAGGAATTTAAATGCGCGTAGACCATTTCGGGTACACGCATGCGCTTTTCACAAGAAACAATTACATCACGGAGCAGACACGGAACATAAGTAGATCCAAAGATATGTTTTCATAACCCATCAAGAAACGTCACTTAACAGATGAAACAGGTGCAAATACCATTGTACAGTTAGCAGCAAAGCTTCTCGAGTCTTTGCTGATCTTCGATTATTTTGTCTTCGATTTTTGTTAAGGAAAATGAAAGACTTCAGGGTTTTAGCTTTCCAACAAAAAATATCCTCTAAAACGAGACATTCGGCGCAAATAAGTTTCGACAAAACGCAGGCAATAGCGGAAAATGTAATTGAATGTCAAGATAAACGACATAAAACCAATGATTGCTCAAGGTTGATGACATCATCGGATTTCTTTTTTTTACAATTTATACAAATGATACACCAATATCAATCATCAAACGTAATATTTAAACGGGTGCGAATAGCTCTCTCCAGAAATGAAAGGCCGTTTGTGTGCACTCTAGCGACGGTAAGGAGGGTGGGGTCGGCGACCTTCTCCTGTATCAATTAAAACAAAAAGAAAATCTAAATATCAATATATATGCATTATATACGAGTTGTGCGGTTGTTCCATAGCAAAAGAGCTTTTTGTTCCCATATTAAGAAAAAGTTGAACGTCTAAAACACAATCCCCAAAAATACATAGGGGGACATTTACAAGGTGCATTATGATAATGTTGTAAAGCTGAACAAACAAATTGACTTCAATGAGGTTTAAATGAATTCAGCCATCTAATGTATTGAATATTTTGCATAATTTGTATTGGAAATCCGATAGAAAGAATTCATTCAAGCAACTGCAACAGTAAAAACAAATGTATACACTTATTTCAAAGAGTGAGTATTCACTCTCTCTCTCTGACAGAAATATACATGTATAGGGGAAAAGACGTTAAGAGTTGTTTATACATGTACATAGTTTTTTTTCGGAACCTCTTTTAAACTAAATTAATTATTTTTTCTCTAAAGAGCCTCCATCCTCATGTCACTTTTTTGAATTGCGAGAGCAGTGATCGACTCGAGAATAATTGAGGTTGCTATTTATCGTTCAAAGATCAAGAATCTAGATATTCACCATGGGTGTCGCCATCGTGATGGTCGCCATCGTGACGGTCGCCATCGTGATGATCTCCACCGTGACGGTCGCCATCGTGATGATCGCCATCGTGATGGTCGCCATCGTGGCGGTCGCCATCGTGGCGGTCGCCATCGTGGCGGTCGCCATCGTGGCGGTCGCCATCGTGGCGGTCGCCATCGTGGCGGTCGCCATCGTGGCGGTCGCCATCGTGGCGGTCGCCATCGTGGCGGTCGCCATCGTGGCGGTCGCCATCGTGGCGGTCGCCATCGTGACGGTCGCCATCGTGACGGTCGCCATCGTGACGGTCGCCATCGTGACGGTCGCCATCATGGTCGCCCGAGCCATGTTCGTCCGTACGATGGTCGGCAGGATAGTCTTCAGGATATATAGCGTCATCGCCGTAGGGCATGGGCGGATGCATGTCATTCTGTCAACAACAAAATACCATAGTTCTATAAAGCTTCGTATTTTTTATAAAGCGAGCTCATACACTAACGTTGATGCTCAAAGGCACTATGAGCTCCGTCCGTGACCAAGAGAGTGCGCAATGGTTACTTCTTTGGTGGGCTGGTTCACGCACGCATACATGAACAGTGTGTGGATCGCGGTAACGGTCGCGAACCAAGATGGCGGCCGATTAAAACCCATTGAATGGCTACCCACAAGCCTCTCTCTCTTTTCAAGCGGTGAGGGGAAACTTCTGCACAAGGCAGATTAACCTTGCCCATTAATTGGCTATGAAATATTCAAAGACCATCACCGTGCAGGATATCAATGCTGCCATGTTGGCCACAAAGCATCGATCGCACAATTGCCCTCAAGCAATTAGAGACCGTGTCTTGCCCAAGGACTCACGCACCGTACAAAACCCCAGGCTAGACTGGAATGTTCAATCAGTAGAATTACACACAGATCTTGTATTCGATGCCAGAGCGCGGTGTGTTTAGCTGCAGCGCACATCGTCAATGATCATAATTATTCATCTAGTTTGATGTTTATTCATAAGAAAATAACACTGACGTCAAACCATTGCTATCGCTCAGTCACGCATGCATTTCAAAGAACGGTGTTTGTCATGCTGCCACAGTGGCATAGTGGATAGTGGAATGACCTATGTATCGAAAGGTCTGTGGTTCGAATGTCCATTTTCATTAAATATATTTGTTGGTTGGGATAAAGAAGGAAAAACACTAGGAGAACCTATAAGTGCCTTCCATCCACACAGCGTGATAAACATTCATGTTAGGGTTGCAATACGATGTATGCTGCAGATCTAGCAAGTTTAATTCCGGTTGTCTTAAAATCCAAGATAAACATTTTGTTTATCATGTAAAGTGGCTGCCTCTTGTTTCCCATTGAAACACGAAAATGTTGAATCGAAATCAGGGACCAAATGGAGCTTAAGTGGGGATAGCTGCAATTGACACAAAAAAACATTCTTGACAGAAATCAGTCATCCCTAAAATGTCATTATGATGAATACTGCAATAGTGGTCAAAATGTTGCTCACTCAATGATTGATTAAGCAATGTTGTATGTATAGAAGCTGCGAGGGAAAAGATGGAGTTCAAACAGTATAGGAAAGAGTTCACTTTGAAAGCTTATCACTCACATCACCACATCCCCAGTCCATGCACTGCCGATGGTGAGCTCTATGGCGCAGGTGCAATCCAAGCGCGGTACCGCCCAAGGCCAATGCAACCAGTATGCTGACTACGGCCACGCCTAGGACGACTCGCTTGGTGCAACATCCGTCTTTGCCTCTCGCCGCTGGCGACGCTGTCTGGAAAGCAAACAGAATATCATTTCAGGATGGGAATATACAATATTTGCTTTGCTGTAATGTTCAGAAATTGATGGATTGGGGGGGGGGGGAGTATTTCTATCGCAAATATTGTTACACTGACACGTTTGAAGCCATCAAACAATTACAAACAACCCAACATGTTGACGAACAAACGAACACACAATGGTGACAGACTGAATTTTAATGCAGCGCTACGTTTTATGATGTCACAGTTCATGCAAACAACAGCTAAATTATCAATCAAGTGTAAAATAAACGCTGAATGGCTGTTGTGTGAGGAGTTTCAAATATCTCGTAATAGATTTCCTGGTCCATGTAGCCTTCATTTCAATAATTGAAGTTGGACATCAATTTTTCTCCCCATGGACACTGCTTTTTAACCGTGGAAAGCCGCTATTAATAAAGTCTCTTAACGTTTCAGCAATCAATGGCCCAAAATATCTTACTCTTTTTGGCTATTGGCTATAATGTATAAGTTATCTAATAGTTATCAATTGGCAGAGAGTGCCACTTTAAGTTTACCGCTCGCGTTAACGGAAATGTGACACATTATCACAAGGCACAAGGTCATCCATGATATAGCAATCATTAAAGGGAATTTTTTTTTGTGTGCTTCTATTGAATTTGACATGGCACTATAATTTAACTTACATGCTATTCATGTAGTCCAATCATTAATTGTATGCATGGCTGTTTCCAGCTCAATGGGCCACCATTTTTTTTCAATAGAATTAAATGTTATTCAAGCTATAACAGTTTTGTTTGTTTTCGAATGAAGAAGAGACATGTTGGTATCTTGTACGATCAAAAAATAAATTGCAAACTCAGGAATGCAATAAACATTACTATACAAAAATATCTTCAACTGTAATTAGATCGAAATCAGTAAACGATCAAGATCAAGAACTGGATGATACAGGGGGAAAAACAGCTAAAAAATAGCAAACAAAACTCGAGAACAAAACAAAAACAAAGATTCCGACTATTATATAATTAGAGGTGTTTGACCAAAGGTCAAAATAGAACTATGCAATATCTTGATCCTCATCATAGATACGATCAGCTTCAAAACTAGTCATACTGAGTTGATCACACCAAAGTAATTATACGTCCAATTATACATGGATCAGGATCATATCAAGGTGTACAGAGACGAGCAACAGCGTAGATTGACTGGAATGATGACCCGCAAAATCCTGAAAATGAACCTACCGGTACTGTGACGACTACGACATCCTGTGCAATGGGTTTCTTCAATTCCTGCTCTTTCTGGCTTTCCGGAGATGTAACTCCTAACTGAACCATTTTAACTGATTCTAGATGTTCAAATTGAACGATGCTATCACAGCTTCCGATCTGTTTCAATGCTGCGTCATAAAAAATGTGTGCTGGGTGATGCTGCGTTTTCTCTTTATATACGCGGCAAGCGCCGCTGGATTTATTATGATGATGTCATCATCATGCACTTACACAAATGAAAGCCGCGCCGGTTGTGAATGCTTGCTTGTACCTTGTACAACACGGTACGTAGCATCGTGTACGAGGACGTAGTTTGTTTACATCCGCATTCATCAACTCGGTTCATTGATTTCGAGGAACTGCCTGTCACGAGTACTAGACTCGTTTACCAGTCGCACAACGATTGTTCTCATCCACTCTGAGAAGGGTCAATACTGAATACACCACAACAACATGTATGTAAACAGAGAAAAAAACACCCAAACTGCAAAACTTCGGATTATACCAGTTGTTGCAGTGAAGATCTGTTTCTTTTTTAAATGAATTTTCAACAACACCAACAACAACAACGAAACTAAAATTCTTTTCTTCTATAAATGGAAGTTTACTCAGGAATATCACGGCCGTTCGAATCCCAGGTAGTATGGAACACTCTTGCAAATTCTGAGAAACAATTCCAAGTGTATGAATTCCCCGATTGCGCCGCAAAAAAGATAGGCTAACCTATGGTGGCCCTGAAGGGCCATCGCATATCGCAAACGTGTGCGCATACGTATGCGATGTCGCGAATTTTATCGCGAATGTGTGCGCACACGTATGCGATGTCGCAAAATTTATCGCGAATGTGTGCGCACACGTATGCGATGTCGCAAAATTTATCGCGAATATGTGCGCACACGTATGCGATGTCGCGAAATCTATCGCGAATATATGCGCACACGTATGCGATGTCGTGAAATTAATTGCGAATATGTGCGCACACGTATGCGATGTCGCGAAATTTATCGCGAATATATGCGCACACGTATGCGATGTCGTGAAATTAATCGCGAATATGTGCGCACACGTATGCGATGTCGTGAAACAATTCGCGAATAAGTGCGCACACGTATGCGAATTTGTTTGCAATGTCGTGAATTTTATTGCATACCTTGTCGCATATCTTTCAGTAAAATTCCTAATGAACTGGGGAGTTGTAGCAGCTAGTATGGAATCTAGACGTACTGTTAGATATAAATAGGGTCTGACTAATAAACCTTCGCGCGCACGCTGTTCCTCGTGCAATCGTTACTACTAGTACTGTCGAGCGCAAACTTGCTACTTGCGCAACTTTGAAATTTCAAACTTGCGCGCGCAAATTCCACACGCGCGCAAATTTCACAGTGCGCACATATTCGCGAATTGTTTCACGACATCGCATACGTGTGCGCACATATTCGCGATTAATTCCACGACATCGCATACGTGTGCGCATATATTCGCGATGAATTTCGCGACATCGCATACGTGTGCGCACATATTCGCGATAAATTTTGCGACATCGCATACGTGTGCGCACACATTCGCGATAAATTTCGCGACATCGCATACGTATGCGCACACGTTTGCGATATGCGATGTCCCTTCAGGGCCACCATACTAACCACAGTTTCGCTAATCCTTAAGATATGCGATTTGGTACGCACTCAATGCAACTAATGTAGGCCTATATCGTCCTTCAAGCTCTATATGAAAATTGTTTTCTAAACACAGAACATGCCTACGTACCCCTGCATTAGGCCGAGTACAAAAAAATTCTCGTCCAGACTAAATGAAAAAAATTAAGGAGGTGGACGGTTCTTTTTTCTTCTTCTTTTCCCAAAGATGGCGGATTTTCCAAGATGGCGTATGGATTCGTCCATTTTTCAATCGTCAATTATACAAAATTATGTTCGTAGGAGCCATAACTCTTTCTAGATAAACTACAATTTTGCTGGGGAAAAAACAGATATGGAAACAAATAAAAGGAAAATACCTGTGCAAAAAATACCTGAGCGGAAAAAATAAAGCGGGCGGGAAGAGAAACTATTTTTATTGCTTTCACTGGCCTTAAATAGTATGGAAATGAGACATGATTAATTGTTCATTTTTACTTCTTAAAGATGTAATCCGTGTACTATAAACTTTCGATGGAGTTTCATCTCGACTTTTTTTTCAATTACTATTTTCTGAGCAGTATAAAAGCTATTCACTTTGTAATGAGAAATGTCGAACAAAAAAGGGCCACAGACGTTAAGTTATTGCCAGACAATAATTCGGCTCTCGCAGGATGGGTTCATCTGTACAAAACTCAAGCCCCTTTTCAGACCCACACGCCGGAAATTGGAACAAGATAGTTTTCGTTTCGTTAAAACAAAGCATACACATTGATAATTGTTGGGAGGGAAAAATATGGTTTTTCGAAGAGCACGGGATATGCCACCTTAATTGAAATTTCTGTTATAAACCATTATACAGGGTGAGTCAAAAAAAGCGGAACCCAAACCCCTTGAAGACCCGTCTTTAAAAAAAAATGGATTATATAAATCATATTGTTTTCCTAACCAGGGTTGTTAATAAAGAGATTGTGTACTACTACTACAGTTGTTGACAGTTGTTGAACTAATAAGCATTCTGTGTCATTTTCTTTGTTGTTCCAAACAGTCAGAATACATAATAAATTGCTTATTTTGGACGAAACAAGTTTTAGGGTCATTGCGTTTAAATGGTGATATTCTTTGAACGGATTGAGCAATTTCAGTGATTTTTTTTTCATCTAAAGTAGCTTATGAAATTGGCTTTCCAGTCTTTATTATGTTTCGTGCTACATATTTTTTTTAAAATACGAAATATATTTTGGGGGGTTTGGGTTCCGCTTTTGTGACTCACCCTGTATTAAAGATGTATTAATACCCGCATGTCGTGCAGTATTGCAGTGAGACAGCTATTAATATGCAAATGTGCACTGCACGTGTGACGCAGCCGCAGTTCCCATTATTGTAGGATAACAATGGTACCTGGTACCTCCGTACGGCGCGTCATCACGGCAGGTAGAATAATAAATAATTTGACCTCCAAAGACAACAAAGCAGAGGAAATTATATTGGTCGTTGGTGTAGTTGAAATAGCGACAGTTAAAAATAAACCATCTCCAATTGAGAAAGTTTGCAAGAATAATACACTTTTCTGTGGTTCGTGAAAGTATAACGTTGTCCGTACAACCGAGTACCAATTCGAATGGATACATTTATTTGTAACACGTACACAAAAGTGTTTTCCTACGAGAGAATTAACAAAATTCTGACTGTAGAAAATCACATTTTCACAGTGAGGACTAAAACTAAAAAAAAAATCGCTCAGAATGAAAAATGCATTCAAGACTGATGAAGCTGTATCTGAAGAATCTGATGGGTGGCACTAAAAAAATACAAAAAGAAAATTGGCATCTCATTTTTTTTTCCGGCGTGGCAAAATTAGGATTTCTTAATAACTACAGGATGAGTAAAAAAAAACCCAAATGGCAGGACCAATTTTTGAATGAAGTTTTGCCTGTAGCATTTTCAAAATGTAGGATATCAACGCCAAATCAATGAGCTTTCATTTGGTACAAGAATCATTGAAATCACTCATGTACTTTTGAAGTTACGGAATTTTGAACACAAAACACTGTTTTAAAGTTCTGTCCACGGATCCCAAAAAAGGAAGTGTTCTTTCAGCAAAACGAAAACAATTCTAATGCATCCTTATGAGAATTGTTTTCGTTGTTTTTTTTTACTGAGAACACTTACTTTTTTTGTGATCCGTGGACAGAACTTTAAAACGGTGTTTGTGTTCAAAATTTAACACAAAAAGTACACGAGCGATTTCAATGATTCTTGTACTTAAGAAAGCTAAATGACTGGGCTTTCATATCCTAGATTTTTAAAATGCTACAGGCAAAACGTCATTCAAAAATTGGTCCTGCCATTTGGTTTTTTTTTTTTAATCACCCTAGAGGCCTACGTAAAACAATTCTGAAATGTTTCTCTGCGATACAAACTATATCAAGAGAGCCGGAGGGATTAACGTAGCGTAATTAACTCCCTTGGGCCTCAAGAAGGTATGACCCCCCCCCCCCCCCAACGCCCCCCCCCGCCCCCCCCCCCCCCCCCCCCCCATGTGTATTTTTATGTCTTTTGGGGCACGATCGTTAGCCAACTTGGGATAAAAATGAGCCTTTTTTGAAGGATACGGTCACCAAAAAAGTGCAAGAGGACAGAATAACCAGTCTTTTATACGGCAACAAATGCGTTGCGTGTAGAGTTATCAATAGAAACCCTTTTGTTGAATCGCTGACGTAGTTTAGGTGTATAAGCACAGGACAACTGACAATGCGTTGCTGTCGAGAGTGAAAACTTTCTATGGCTCAATGAAATAACACACAGGGTTGGTTCTATATATAGTTTGGGTCTTGTCTTGATCCAAAAAGAAAGGAAATTTTCACCCGAAATAAAGTCACACCCTTTCGGTTTCAAAACAGAGTCCCGCTATTATGTGGATTTAGTCATCAAGTCCACGAGTTTCTGCGTCACGATTTGTTAGAATTTATGCTACTACAGTCTCTTTACAATCATGTGAAACAACAACTATTCAAAGTAAATGTAAACTTAAATATTTATTCTGAGAAGATGATAAATTCTGATATTGCACGAATCTAAATAAAAAACTTCTGCTCTTATTTGTATTCGCACAGAAAACAAACTTCAGTCAAACCATTTTAGGGTTTATTTCTGTTAATTTCGATGCCAACATGTGCTATCCACAACCATTGTTTTTCGGATTAAATGTGTATATCCTAATATTGTCCAATTTCACAATCTGTTTTTTAATCGCTTTTTTTCTAGTAATATAATAGTTATTTACTTTTCAATGAGATATTGAACGAAATGCACCGACATTTATTGAATTATTTCTTCACAAAATTCAAATTGTTGGCTGCCAGACAATAATTTGGCTCTGGCAGGGCGGGATCATTTGTGCAAAAAATGAACGCCCTTTTCACTGAGAGAGTTGCACACGCCCAAAATCAGAATAAAGTAATTATCCCCCCGTTCAAACAACACATGAGCATGGGGTATACATCTTCAATTAACTTGCAAAGAAATGTAGCTGCTTTACTTTGGTCAAATCACTTTTATAATGTGGTGCTTATAAAAGCGCTTTATACAAAAGGTTTCAGAGCACTGCACAATCATTATTACCCCTGTTCATCGGGACAAGTTTCCAGCAGCTCGATGTTCAGCGCAAGTTCTCTACCTTCACATGTAAGCGGGAAGCAATTGTGGTAAAGTGTCTTGCCCAAGAAAACAAGCACCATGTGTTCCCCGTCAGGGTTCGAACCCAATGGTCTCCGTGGAAAGACCATTGGCTGTTAGAAGTGAAGTCACCGGCCGCCATATTACTACTCCAAGTCTCCAAGAACAATAGGTTTATTTTTACCGTCGGATTTTTTTTTCAGTTAAAGGACAACAGAATATAACGATCTAATGTACAAAATGTCTATTTAGTAAAAGTTTCAAATACTTTTAGACAACTCTGTTTTAATTACTTTGAACTATGGGAGTGGTGAGACTGGTTCCCTCCCCACATTCAAATGGAGGGGTCGAAAACCAGCGAGCAGCTTCGCTTATTTTGTACAACTCGGAATGTCCAACGAGCACTCCAGATTTTGTTCTTGGTTCTTGGTTGGTTCTTCTCCTAAATACTCCACGTGGGAGTTTATACAGGAGGCCAGAAACACCGGGGCAAACCCCTTCTCTTAGCGATGAGTGTTTACTGGGTTCTTTTACGTGCATTTATACAACACAGGGGACCTACGGCTTAACGTCCCATCCGAAGGGCGAAGCAATAATGGTTAGGTGCCTTGCTTAAGATGCTTAAGAGCACAAGTGTCCGCCGGCGGGCTCGAACCCACGTCACTGCAGCCTCTGAAACACCAGAACGTGAGTCCGGTGTTCTTAACCGCTAGGCCATCACACTTCACTGTACGTTTGTGTACGGAAGCCCATTAATATCAGGTACCTCTTCCTCTTTCACAGCTATGGTATTTCTTTCGCGATGGTGCATATGTCTTTCACGGTAGCTCATCTCTCTTCCAGCATGTGTGTCTCTCTCTCTTTCGAGGGGGCAAGTTCATTTGTCACGGTACCATGTCAGAGATAGATGCACCACCGCAAAAGAGAAACGCATCGCTGTGAAAGAGAAATAGTTACCTGACACTATTTGGCTTCCGTAAGTATGAGAGTGAAACCCTTTTGTTGCAATCCGTTGACGTACTGGTAACAAGCAGACGTACAAGAGTACACGTCAACAAAGGTTGATGCTGTCGAGACTGACAACAAATCCTTTGTATGGCTCAATGATTACACACAAGGTCAATTCTATTTATAGATTCGAACTTCTCTTAAACCACAAAAGAAAGATTTTATTTTACTGGAATTAAAGTCACACCAGTGGCGTATCCAAGGGGGAGGGGGGGGGGGCAGGGGGGCACTTTGCCCCCCCCCCCCCCCGGCGGATATTTTTGACAATTTTTTTTGTCAGCAATGATTTGAAGTGTTTATAGAGTTCTTCTGACATCAATCCCACCAAAGAAAATCCGCTCAACAACCATTACACTGCGGCGGTATTGTCCATATAATAATATAGTAAACATAACAATGGTATTAAGTTTTGAAGAGCGCCCCCATTTGGAAGATGGGTACAAGCCCCCCCCCCCCCCCCCCCCCCCCCCCCTCCCCGCTTTTTGATTTTACGGAGGGCAAGTGTCCGGAGAAAAAAACATGTCTACATTTCGGCGCGGATGTGCGGTTGCCCCCCTGACATCAAAAGCTGGATACGCTGCGCTGAGTCACACCCTTAATTTCGGTTTTATAACAGAGCAAATATTATGTCATCAAAACTTAGTAAGATTTTGTACCAATAGTCTTTCTTTACAAACATTTAAAGAAATTAACCCGTAAATATTTCGTTTATTTGAAGGTGATTAATTCTGACTATTCAGTAAAAAGATTTGCTCATTATGTACTCGTGCTGGGAACACATTTATTTTATGCATGGTTATAAAAGTATATTCATAAATGCCTTAACAGTTAACCCATTCGTATTGGTCAAGAGCCCGTCACGTGGCTGGTCTTAAACACTTTTCCAGTGTCACATGAAATCCAGTGTCTGTTACCGTGTTGCTGGTTGAACCATAGAGCTAGGTTGAACGTTCACAATCCTCACGCAGGCATGCGTCATACTACTAGTGAGTCAGTATTTCATGGTCCCAAATTTACACTTCACCGGCCCGCGTAATTTTTTATTCCTAGGAGGGTTAGGGGCAATGTCATGAATAATTCATGTTTATCCATGAGAACGGACAATGACATCAACAGCATTGTTGTTAGTTACTCAACTAGTTACAATACATTAAAGCATTTTAAAGAACGGTTGTCGTCGAGCTACCACAAAGTAGCCTAGTGGATAGCGAGATGAGCTATGGATACAAAGATCCCTGGTTCGAATCCACGTCGTCGCTGCTCATTTTCATCAGCTATTTTTCTTCTCCAAATTTATCACTGAGATAATTTTAAATTAAGGGGAAAATAGAACGAGAACCTAAGTCTTGCAATGATTCAAAGGAAAAACTGAATTATTCATGATATTGCCCCTAACCCTCCTAGTAAAAAAATTACGCCACCGGCCCAGCTGAATCCATGCGCACGCCCCCTTGCGCAGTACGCGCCAATCCCCTTAAAGGGGTTGTTTACGTGCGCGCGTCAATCACTATATTAGGAGTTGTTCACGACTTCTTGCTAGAGGCACATTCCATAACATAGCTAGAGGGGTGGTTCGAAAAACATGAGTTAAAATTGATGAACAATTTAAATCGTTGGAAATTAATAATTTTATTTTTCGGCATGCATCCAGACTCTAACCGGTCTTAAACACAATGTTTAAAACCGGTCAAGCACATATTTTATTCCCTTATTAAAACAGCAGAGACTCGTTTCAATGCTGGCATGACTGTTATTTATCCTCAACCATTATTGGATTAATTAAGTTGTAAAAATATACATGGTTAAATAAGATTTGAAACTTTGCATGGTGGTAGTGTAAACCACCATGTAGAAAAATATCTTTTGAGAAATTGTGTGAGAAAGTTGGTTGTGAACTCGACAATCCCATCAGTGTGCTCTGATCCTGAAGACAATCAGGGCATACTGATCGGAACGTCGATCGAGTTTTAAAACCAACCGGTTCTTTCAGAACTATACACATCATCTCAAAGGAGATTCTTCCACATGGTGTTAACGCAAGCCCTCACTAGTTTATAGTTACTTTCGGTAAAGTTTGAAACATCGTCAAAATAATAGTATATAGAATATGAACTTCGAAGTACACCTTGTAAGAGGTGTCTCTGCCTCAATTAAACACCCTCCACAACATTTAATTTGCTCAAATATCTGTGAATCACAAAAGTGATTAAGTATAAAGCGTTCATTTGCATATTGTGCATATCGTCCTCTATCCCGGGTGGTGAGCGCTCCCATCTACGGCCAAGGTCGCATGGGCGGTCTTCCGGTTGGTTGGGGACGAGGTCTAGATGGCCTAGGACGACCTATTAAACAAAACAGGGGTTATTAAAAGGTGATTATTATGCATGTTCAAACGTCGGAACAGAAATTGTTAAGACATCGATTACATGTAGCTTGAATGCCATTCTGCAAAATGTGGTGACATCACATGCATGCATGCAAACTAGACATGATAACCCTAGCCTCACTATAATCCTTCAGTAACCCATAAAGTTGTGCAAACTACCAATGATGGGTCAACAGTGTGTGCCAGGAGGAGCCTTTTGACCATCAATACCATCTTGATTCGGGTCGGTATTTAAAAGATGAGCAGCGAAAAAAACGAGGCGAATAGAGCGGAGACTACGCAAGAGATACAGTCATGAACAGTGACGGAGCCTAGCCGTAGGGCGGCGGGGGTGCAGATTGCAACAGGATAACTGGATGGAGAATTTAAAAGCAAAACAATGGGACAGAGAATTTAAAAGAAAAATCGGGATGCTGATAGTAGCAAAATCGGGATGGTGGAAATTGGGTAAAAAAAATTCAAAATTGTATTTTGCAACGGGCAAACATATGACATGGCTAATCGCCTGGTCGCGATTGACTGCCATTTGCAAGTCGGCCGAACTTCTTGCTATTCTTTGCAATTTAGGCAACGCGTTTGAACAGAGAAAATTGTAGAAAGATAGTTACCGTGGTGCCAGTCATCGTGGTCGCCATGATGGTCGCCATGGTCGTGGTCGTGGTCCCAATCCGGACGGTCAGTGTTGCCGCCATGATGGTCGCCATCTGGGTCAGGACGGCCGCCATGATGGTCGCCATGATCGTGGTCGTGGTCCCAATCCGGTCGGCCAGTGTGGCCGCCGTGATGGTCGCCACCATGCCCAGGCCGACCGGGTTTGCCGCCATGATGGTCGCCACTTGGGTCGTCATTTTCACCTCCGTTGCTTCCAGTGGGTGTTGGATACAAAACATCACCCTTTTGTGGCTCATGCTGAAAAAAAAATAGGATTCACAAAATTAACCCAATCGTACCACTTCGTATTTTAATCCGATCAGTGTCGGTGTCGGTCACCGAGTCTGAAAACCAAAGTCCACCAATTAGCATCCCCAAATATTTCATTCATAAATACCTAATACAGTTTACCAATTCCTATTGGTCGAGAGCCCGTCACGTGGCCAGTCTTAAACGGATGATAAAGACATGGCTGGCTTCGCCTCGGGTAATATTGTCACCCATTCAGACTCCAACAGGTCTTATACAAAGTGTTATAATACCTCCCAAACACACATTTATTCCCTTATTTAAACCATTGCTATGACGTCACACTATTGTTAAAAGTGTGGATTCGGAACTACGAATCTGTTACGCTGGTCACAAAGTGTGGATTCGGAACGAAGAATCTTTAGTAAAGTGTGGATTCGGAATTACGAATCCACACTTTGAACACGTCAGACAATTGTTCTCAATAATGAGCATTAATAGGACCGTATGCGTGAAAATTTCCTTCCGAAATTACCAATGCATCTTCCCTGTCAGATTCTCCGCCGTCACTGCAAAACCTACTTCGAGTCAGAAAGAAATCATCGTCTGAACTATCAATTTGTCGACGGAAGGAGCCGGGACAAATGTTGCAACCTGACGCCACTTTTTTTCTCCATATATCATCTCAATGAAGGGCATTCATTGCAAAAATGATGATAGACATGAATCTGGGACTGAGAAATATTTCCAATATTGTTAGGAAATACTTTTAAAAAAATTCTTGACTCTCCATAGACTTTGTACACAATCGCGGAAGTGGCGTCAGGTTGCAACATTTATCCCAAGTCTTTTCATCTCCACTCACCGTTAATGCCAATACTTCTTTTGACGCAATGGTTTAAGTCGAAGAATACACTCGCAAGTGTGGATTCTTAATTTACGAATTCACTCGGCGCTTCGCGCCTCGTGAATTCTTAAATTACGAATCCACACTTTCTCGTGTATTCTCCTTAACTTAAAACATAATGTAAAAGCTTACTTGATGAGCGTCCTCACATTCCGAGGCCCAGCACAGCGAGCCCATGCTGTAGTAAACACCAAGAATAGCACCAGCTGTACCCAGGGCAATCAGTACCCCGAGAAAGATGCAAATGACGGCGCATCTGCGAGAGCAACATCCGGTCTTTTTTACCTCAACTTCGGAATCGTTCTCCTCCTTCTGTATATGTTTACAATGAAAGGGTACGAACCTTTTTAGTGCATGAAAAAAACACAGTATTATTGTGTCTTTGGAGTTTATTGTCTTAATTGTGTCGTAATAACGGATGGAAGCTTTGAAGGAGCTAGGACAAATACGAGCATATCTGTTTCCTCGGCAACTTGTACAACTTTAATTTGAAGAGCTACACAGGAGGCAGTGGCGTGAATCTGTGCCGGGGACTGGGGATGGGGGATGACTAACATCATACCAATTCCGGCCGTGGATTGCTGGACACCACATGGCACTAGGAGGCGCTGTTCACGCTACAGATGTACATCTTAGGCCCCCCAAAAAAGTCTCCGGTTTCTGGTATGCGCGCGCGTCGCCGTAGCCATGCGCGTCGGCAAAATGAAAAAGTTTTTTTTTAATGAAAGATGATGTCTCAAAACCGCCAAACTCACTGGTTTGAATGGAATCCCGCTGCTGCACAATTTTAACGTGTTTTTAGATTGGGTTATGGTCGAGAATAAGCTTATGTGGCCTCTCTGGACTCCCATATATTTGCAATAGGTTTAGTTCGGCACCATTTGCAGTCATCAGCCGACATTTGAAGCCAAAAAAATCAGGTAAAAAAAAAAAAAGCCGCATCGCCGCACCACTTTTTGGGCAAGCTCCATACCAGAAATCGGAGACTTTGTTTTGGCCTTATGTATACTTACTCCCCTTAACCTTACATGAAAACGGCGCATTTAAAGCTTTTGTACTTTTCCCCCCTTTTTCAGTACTACTGAATACATTTTGCTTGTTGGGAAGTTCGAAAAAATGCCTCAAAATCCGCCCTTTTTCTTGGCGGGGGGGGGGGGGGGGGGGGGGGGGGTCTCAACACGAAAAAGTGTGTGTGGGGGGAGGGGGGTATGGGGGGGGGGTTGATCCAATGGATTTACGCCCCTGACAGGAGGGCACAAACATCGGGAAATTATTTACATGTGCTGATCCATAGCTAGCAGACCTATGTTCTTGAAACACTGTGGTACCAGTCTATGACTGAATGGTATGTAGCACCCGATGACTACTAAATTGCGAGCAAAATAATGGATATTTTCATCTACACAACGTTATTTGTTATTTTATTATTTACCAATTTTAGTCCAATGTTCTATAAAAACTATGGAGACCTAAATTACCTCTACACATGACAATAGTGCTACCTATATAAATGTATGTTTGATATGGGTCATTCTTTAAAATTGGGGTGCACTTTTTTTCCTGTCCCAATACATCTGACATCATGATCGTAAACTTCGGATGCAATCCTCAATGCAGTCATCCTCCAAGAGTGACTGGTGAATAGCAAACTACCACCTAACAAAATGCAAAATCGTTGGACGGTCATTCTTATCGATACTTGAATGCCAAATTAAAAAGTACCAAGGTAACAGGGACAGCTAAATCGTGACACTTTTGACCTTAAATTTCAGTAAAAGTTGCACTTTTTTTTTTAACACATCCTGGCTTCAGCTCCAAGATATACTTTGCTACATTGTACATGTCACTAGGTCTATCTTGGGCACAACATTATTTTGTACAATAATAGAGATGTAACGTATATTTCCTCTATCAAGATAAATAGGGTATATCATTGGAAGGTGTGTTTTGTTGCGTGGATCTCCATTATCTGGAGTGAGAGTATATTAAAAAGAAAGACTGTACTGTTTCGAGAAATAAAACAGATACTTACGGATGATAGCTGCACCTCCACAAAGTCCCCATGTTCGTCTATCGGCCAGGCAGGTTTCTTCACGTGTTCCTTACGGCCATCCGGGTCCGTAGCATAGACCGCTAGCTGTACCATTTTTTTGGTCTCTAAAACTTTAAATGATGTGTTCCTTTTCTCTTAGATTCTCAAAAGAAGCCGTCTGTTCTTGTGTCCAAAACTAAGCTAGCTAGCTATGTGAGGGCTTGGTTTTATTCTGAGTAGACTACGTCACAATAGGAAGCTTTGATCCGTGAAATCTATAAATAGATCATTATTCCAGCCATAATTATGTAACTTATGTTTGGATTTTGGATTAAGAAACGTTTCAAACCCCATTATCTAGCGAGGCAAACATTCGTAAATGCGTTGTCATTATTGACGTAGCGGCTGTGGCGCTGTCATTGTTAGCCGTGTTAGCCTTTTTATTAGGAGCTCACTAAGTGACAAAACCTAATCTCGACCACTCTCACCACACCACACCTCCAGTTTAAATTCCCCAGATGGAATATTTTGGAGGGCCACCAACCAAGTACCAAGTACTGGGAGACTCCTAAACAAAGTGTAATTTTTTATGAATATGGCAACAATGTCATGCAGCAACACACGTATGTCAAAGTCCTATAGAAGCTTCAAAACGTGTAGCCGATATCTGCATCCGTCTTTCCTGGTAGCCATGGTATTGTTGGTGTTCAACAAATCTACGGAGGTACATCCCCCGAAAGCAGAAGTCCTTGATTTTATACACTGAGGGATTTTCCCTGGGTTTTTTTTTTTCGCGATTAATGTGCGGTACGATTAACTAAATGTAGCTTTTATATAATCGGTTAAGAAATGACGCTTGCGCAGTAGGTACACACTCCGCATTACGTGTGAGTTGTTACCTCCGCCAAGGAGGTTATGTTTTCATCGGATTTTGTTTGTTTGTTGGTTGGTTGGTTGGTTTGTCTTGGAACAAGTACGAATCGATTAGGTTTTGGAAGTGATCCGGATCTGGGTCTGGATCCAGGATATTTGTTTAATAGGATTCTTCACCATTTATGCGAGTATTTTCTTTGGGGTGAACTGACAATATGGCGGGGAATTATTAATCCTTGGAGGAGCTTTGCGCTCGCTGAGTTAACCAGAGTGTGATTCAATCTGTAATGACATTTTGTATATGTGTGTGGCATGGCTCTCTAACGGTTAGGAATGCATATAGGCTCGAACGTGTAACCAAAACTGCTGCTAAGGTGATTGGTATGGATGTTGGAGACCTTCGTGTCATCTTTCAGGAGGTAACATTGAAAAAACTCAAGTCAATCATGCAGGACCCCACCCACCCAATTCATCACCTGGTAACTGTGCAAAAATCTGGGAGAGTCAGGCCTCCACGTACAAATACACAACGTTTTAGAAGATCATTTTTGCCCAACTCATGCCACCTTTTTAATTCCACTTTTAAAAGATGATTTTATCTTTTTAAATAAATCATGCTTCCCCGTACAAATACACAGCGCTTTTAAAGAGATCTACTTGCCCAAGTCATACCACATTTTAATTAATTAATTATCACTTTTAAAGATGATTTTATCATTTTAAATAAGACCGTATAATGGTGTACTCGTTTGTATTCATATTGTGTTTGAGTGTGATTGTAAGCTGTTTTGATAAATTGTTGTGGATTTGTCTGGTCTTTTAAACTGTTTTGAACACACGGGGTGTTGATTTTCATGTTTTTAATCATGATGGTTAATAATAAATTGAATTGAATTGAATTGAGTGCTTTGTAGTTGTTTTATGGGTACCGCGGTCCACGGATTATCTTTTTCAGCCGGAAACAAGAATCGGCGCATATCACTAGGTTCCAGTTTACATCACTAATCAAGTGAGTCGTACTAAATTTCGAGCAGTTTCCATAGATTTGTGCACAAATATGGATCCGCCTATCAGGCTTTACCTCACATCGATTATCTAGCTCTATATGAACATAACGGAACTTAACAGTAATTATCTATTATGCTGGGATGGAAGTGGACTATTTGAAAAGTTCTTAAACTAGGAAATGGTAGGAATTACAGCCCTGCCTGTATGTCAGTAATCGTCAATATTTGCTAGTGATTTAGACTAGATTGGGAGATCCTGGTACGATGGAATTAGGCCTGCACCTATGAGGCAAAGCCGGTCTCCGCTAGTTTGCATGTTGTATCAAAGAAAGACCGCTACAATGATTTCGCTTTTGTTCGTAGAGCGAGCTTATCTCAGTGGGTAATTATAATATACAGGGTGAGTAAAAAAAAAGCGGAACCCAAACCCCAAAAATGATATTTCATTAATAAAAAAATATGTAGCACCGAAAACAATGACTGGAGAGCCAACTTCATAAGCTACTTTTAGATGAAAAACATACTGAAATTGCTCAATCTGTTCAACAAAAAAACTAGCACCATTTGTTTATATATGAAATATATTTTTGGGGTTTGCGTTCCACTTTTTTTTTTTACTCACCCTGTACCTTTGATAGTCGCCCTGGTGCGAAATCGGTATGAAACAATACGCTGAAGGATAATGCAGCATGTACAGCGCGTCCCAAAATACCCACATTTTTGTTGCGGCGCGGAAACAATAACCGCCATTTTGTATATCATTTTAAAGCTTGGAATCTGAACTTTGTCCCGGACGAGTATTGGTTTGATATCTAAAAGAGTTTTAAAACTATTCGTGTTCAAATAAAGCTGTCGAAAACAAATTCAACTGATTGCAAGGAAAATCGACGAGGCGGTACATCAGTCACACTTTGAGGCCCCTTTCTGAATAGGTACATACCTGCACGTGACTTTCAAAATTGATCTTGAAACGAAGAACAATATTGTGAATTCATTAAAGGTGTAGTCTACTTGGATCAAAAAGAATAGAAAAAGAAAGTAAAAGGCAACGAGATCGTCACATCATGAACATGATGAACCATTTCCACATTTGATTGATATTCCTTGAAATTGGTTGAGTTTGTTTTTGGCACGCCTTCATTTGAACACGAATCATTTCAAACCCCTTTTGAATATCAAACCAACACTTACCAGGGATAAAGTTAAGATTCCAAGCTTTAAAATGAATGATGATATAAAAAATATTGGCGGTACGTGTTTCCGCAGCGACGCTAGAGCCTCGCAAAAAAATATGCTGTGGATGTTTTGGGACGCGCTGTATATTGCGAGTAAAGCCATTAATAAAACAATATATGGCCATTCCAAAAAAGATGAAAGAGAGGTGAAAAGGAAACGCTTTACAGAATGTGTTGGTGTATTTATATTGGCTTTTATTTCTTGCTTTATCTTCACAAATCGGCAACAGAGGTCGAAACAATAACAGAAATACTAGGCTAAGTGCATATTTTGTTTCAAACTACGTTTAGCGATTTTCAACATCTTATATTCCATCCAAAGAAGTTTAACCCAAGTTTAGCTACTGGAGTGACCTTTCGGGTCGAAATAGGTACTGACTTGGTCTTTATAGTCAAGTCTGCCCTTTGTCAACCAACATTCCAAAAAAAATTGTTAAACAGATCTTACCCTTAACAGTTACACAATAATGCTCAATACAACTTCCAAATCTGGATGCGAACAATCAAACTAGTAACAAAACGACAAATTAGGCTGACCGAGGTATGAGTGCTTATTAAAAGGGACATCTTATTGGAGCCACAAAAGTAAAAGTACTCTAATTTAAGCCGAAAATGTTGTTGGGGAACAATTTTAACAAAGTAAAAAGTATTTAAACAATAAAGACTTTGCTTCATTAAACTGTGCATTGATGGAGACGAAGGTACACTGAGAGGTACACATAGAGAATTCCGGGTTCCCAGGGAAATCTTGAAATGATATATTCCATGACTTTTCCCATGACCTTTTCCTTGCAATATCAAAATTCCATGACTTTCTATGATACCAGTAGCTCTAAATTCAAGGATTTTCCAGGATTGTCCATGACTGTGGGAACCCTTAAAGCTATCTGCATTAAATTGGGAAAATATCAACAAAAGTGAAATATCAAAACAAAAATGTCAAAATTAATGAGGCCACCCTCCAGAGTAAAGTGCCCAATGATAGGGCAATGATCCCTCACGCCATCTCCTCCTTTAAGTTGGTAAACCCCACCCCTGAGGCCGTGTACGCAATCTCACCGGTTGTCTCACCCTGTGTGGCAAGGCAAAAGTCCAACATGTTAGAAATAGCCTTTTAACTGAAAACACTTTTAGTTGCTCGGTATCAAAGTGGATTTACTGCTATCAGTTTAGTAAAGCTGGTGCAGATATCTTTTTGCCCTTATAGAATCCTCTGGGGTCAATTTCATGGCACTGCTGAACACATATGGAGAACTTTGCCACCCATATGTGCAGAAAATCAAAGCCCTGCATGCTCTGCGGTCACACACAACAGTGCACTGACTCGGAGACCTTCACAGCCCCACTGCGTAGACCGGACTATACATAAACAGCAGGTCGATCCTCAGAACAAAAGCGATGTCTGATTTGACAAGAAAAGTGCCCCTTGTTCTTCTCAACCAATCTAAACAGTTGTTACATGAATGGAAAGCTTATTGTGTTATCTTTCAGAAACCGTGCGAGGTAATTGTATGCGACCGGGTTCACACGTGTGCTGTTCGAAGAAGTAAACCCGCACCCTCAAAAATCGGGGAAATGTGCCGTGACCTCCATAGGAAACGCGAAATTTTCACTGAGTTGCCCGTTTTTCAATGAAAAAGTGCACATAATTATTCGCCTTTGATCATGAAGAAATTATATCCATGTGAAAGAGGAAAATCTGTATTTTGTGATGCGATGCGAGGAAGTAAGTTAAACCAACACACTTTCCGCATATTAACGGAAATTTGCTCAGAGCGCCTAGACATGAGCCAGTCTTCCCACGTAAACATAGCTCCACTAGTGGCCAGTGAGCAAATGCTCCCTAGTTCTCCATATGATAGCAGAAAAGTTGTGCTTAATTACTACAACAGAAAATAGTGTTAACCTTGACCACTATTTCATGGCACGGATGTGCTAATAGTTGCACATGAATGGAGATTTTGATTGTCAGTTACATCAATGATTTCAGCAACTTTTTTCTCTGAGTTAAGTGTGCCGTTTGTGTGCTTACTGCTTACAGTCTTCATGAAATACACAGAGACCCGTTCTGTAAGCACACAAATTGTGCTTATTGTGCCCTGGATTTTAAACTAACATTAGAATTTATCTTAGTGACTCTAGATGACATAGCATCATTGAAGAATAAACTGTAATGTTGAGTATTGCCTGTCACTGACATTAACACTTAACAATACTTACAGGCAGGCCTGTGTCTTTTTGATTGCTGTATGTAGGATTGTCAAGTCCTGAAGGCACAGATGGATCAGCACTTACAAAACAAAAACAAGAAAGAACATTAAGGGCCAATTACACCTTCACATTTCAGATTTCCACAATATTTTTTCTAACTGGGTGAGTTAAAAAAAAGACACCGAAATGTCGGGACTATTATTTTAGTGACGTTCTGCATGTAGCACTTTCAAAATGTAGGATATGAAAGCCCAATGCATAAGCTTTCTTTTAGTATAAGAATCATTCAAATCACTCATAAACTTTTCAAGTTACGTGAACAATTCAGGTACATCCCTGAATCGTTTTGCTGAAAGAACACTTGCATTTTTGGGATCCGTGGACAGAACTTTAAATCAGTGGTTTTGTTTAAAATGCCATAACTTGAAATATACATGAGTGATTTGAATGATTCTTGTACTGAAAGAAAGCTTATGAATTGGGCTTTCATATCCTAGATTTTGAAAGTTTTAACTTCACTAAAACAATGGACCCAACATTTGGGTTTCGTTTTTTATTACTCACCCTGTATTCTGTTATTTTGTTAAAGGTACAGTACAATGTACATGGGAAAATTTGCTTTTTCGTTTGAAGCAACAAAATAGCTCAAGATCTTAAGAAGGGAGCATTACAACTAACTTGTTGAAATTTCAGCTCAGTGGATGCTAAACATTTTGGGGAAAAAAAACCACAAAAATGTAAGCACAATTTTTTTGGCCTCGTTAGTGGATTTTGTTGCTAATAATGCATGTAAAGAACAGTTCCTTGGGCACATGTTCTTAAAACATACCTCCATGATTGTGTTGTTTTTTGAATGATACCATTTCAGGCAGAATAATTTCACAGGGAATATGGTACCAGTCTTGTATTCACTTGAGCATATACTTTCTCATTAATTAAATCGCTAGGTCTACGTTTCCGGAATATTTTATTTTAGGCTCCAATGTTTTTCCCTGTGGTTTTTCGGGGTTTGTATGAGTAACATTTCACACCAGCTAAAGAATTTGAGAAATCTACTCACGATTTTGCAGGTTTCCTGAATTTGACAAAGTACACAACAAGGAGGACCAATCCTAGAGCTATGACGACTGAGAGTATGGCCAGGCCAACAATCAAGCCGGTATTACTGCTTACACCTGTCATGCAAATCAACATAAAAGTAATGCAAACAATGAGAACCCTTTTAAGCAAAATAAAAAGGTCTCCGGTTTCTGGTCTGCACGCGCATCACCATAGCCATGGGGTCAGCAAAAGTAAAATGTTTTTCTTTTTTTCAATGTAAAACTCACTGGTTTAACTGGAATCCTGCTGTCGCACAATTTTAACAGTGTTGTAATTTTGTAGTTGTGCATCTGGAAGCCAGACTGAGGTAGTGATGGTAGTGTATCTGGAACCTGTAAACGCTTTTTAATTAGTGCAATAAGGGAGCAGACTAATGACCAGCCTGGCAGCTCATGCACGATGTCGCTGTATGGTCTGACGTTACCGTTTTCTCTGATTTTTCTCTTGACTATCCAAATTTCCCGAAAAATGTTGGTGTCGGTTGAGATCGTAATTGGGTGCAGAATTCTCAAGCCTTATGGCCTTACTGAGGTCACCTCAAGCTCCACCCTGAAGGATATTTTTGAGAGTTTTAAGAGGATCAAAACATCATCTGCAATATTAGCCAACATTTGAAGAAAAAAAAAGTAAGGAGAAAAAAAACGCGTTGCCGCACCACTTTTGGGGCAAGCTCCATACCAGAAACCGGAGACCCTTTTTTTGATTTAAGCATGTAACACCCCTGATTCACTGCAATATGGACTACATTACAGAATACATTTACCAAACCAAATATTCTGTACACGTGGCTTATGAAGCACACAGAAAAGACAGCAAAGATTGAACGATAAACACTGAGAAACTTATAATTGTTATATTGTCAAAGTTTGTGCCCATGCTAAGCTTTTACAAGATGATATTGTGTAAATATTATTCTTACACTTCATCAGAAAACATCAAATACACAAAACCTAATAAGTGAAGAGGTTCAACAGAGTAGTCAACTTACTTGGATTATAATTTTCTTCCGGAGTTGTTGAGTTTATCGCTGCAACGAAGCAAGAACACAAAACTCAAGGTTAAAAAATGTTAATATAAATAGAAGATTACAAATTATATATTCTGGATATTATTGTACTTTTCATTAGTAATGTTATTAAAACCAAACTAGATGGAGTTTTACAAGAAATTTGTGTCATCTTTTCTGGATATGAAGCACTACTTTTAACAGCAAGCATTTAAGCAACGGTTGGGTTCAAACATTTCATGAAGCGGTGTTTTGGAAGAGAGAAATACATTTCCCACCAACTTTGTATTGAAATAGAAGTTCATTTCAACTGTAACTCAAACGACAAGATATAATTATGTCAGTTACATCAAACTAATACTTAGTGGCTTTAAATTGTGAAATGGGAGGAATATTATGGAATAAAATCTGGACTTTTCCATTCTTCACCTCATTAAACAAAATAGTCTATATTTTACCTTGCGATAATATTCCTCCCATTCCACTCTAACCCACTCAATATTTGTATACTCTGGGCTCCGTGCACAACTGACCCAACAACGGCCAGAAAAGGAGAGTTGTGGGTGACCTAGACTGGTTCCCGATCCATCCACTGCATATTTCGAATGTATCCAAAGTTATTGAGGTGGGGATTAGGCTCGGAGACCATTGCAAGTTGAGTTTGAAGAGCCAATGACGCCTGACGCTTACGCGAAGATGCCTGACGCTCATGTGAAGACGCGGTGGCTACTTTTGCACATTCAGGAAGTCGTGTGTACTTTGCGCGTACCCTGTGTGTCCCATCCACAGAGCTCTCAAAAGAGGTAAAAACGCGCCCTCTTTTGTTGGCGCATGGATCCCATAGTCTTCACCTGAACTTGCGTGTAGCTGATGATGTAAAAAATCAGGAAAATTGTTGCATTCCTGTCGTAAATATAGGAATCAATTGAAATGACAAACAGTTGGCACTCACGGCAGACAAAGCCGTCTTTGCGTTCATCATACAGGTCTGTCGGGCAGTCCACATCCCCGTCACAGAGCCACGTCTTAGGGATGCAGACCTTATCAGCAGGACAGAGAACCTCCTCGTAACCACAGAGACTTGGGATCTCTATGGGAACGGCTTCCTCTGTAAAGAAGAACAAGTTGGATTATACTTTCAAAGCATGCAGTCAGTAGGAGTCAGGCAAACATCTGGGAATTAAGAACAAACGAGGACATTTTAAAGTCCACAAACACTTTTGTGCAGTATTTTTTAATTTGTAATGGCATTCATGACAAGAAAAAACAATGAAATAAGCGGATCCGAGGAAAAGTTGCACGGCTGAGGAGTTTAAAGTCAGGCAATCTGTAATCATAAAAATAAAGAGTTTAAGAAATGGGTTTGGGAAAGCAAAAATAGGCCCCCAAAAGAGTAAACAACAACAAGTGGACGGTAATTTTAGCTTCTGACAAGAAACACACTATAGGGACCACCTTGCATCCGTCACGTTAGCATTTTGACAATGGTTGTAATTTTTTTACAGTACCTGAAACCACCCAAAAGTTTTTGAAATGTGAATGGACATGTAGGCTTTTAATACATGTGATATGTGTTGAATCATTTCCCTCTTTCTTTCTTTTTTAATTTTTAAAATCACTCTCAAATTTCCATAAAAAATGGATGGAAAAAGTTACCTAAGTTTTCCGTCCACTTTTTGACGGAAATTTGAGGATGTCAAAAAGCAATATAAATAATCAACTCAATTTATCTTTAGCGAAAGGCTGCATGTCGTTTCATGTGTTGAAATTCTCCTTTGGTGGTTTCAGGTATTTAACAAAAAAATCACAACCTTTGGAGAAACCTGCTAACGCGATGGTAGATAAGTGGCCCCTTTATTGTGTTTCTTGTCTTCTGTAATGGTATTTGTTTTATTGTTTTCTTTCTAATAATATAGTGAAAGGGATATGAAGATGACTATCTTAACCAGTTTGCCCCGGGATTATTTTGACAAGAACGGAACGAGGCGCGGGATAATTTTTTACTTGACCTCAAGCCAGGTGGGTTGAAGCCATCACCCTCAGGCAGCAAACTCATATTTCCGGCCTCGCTCCCTGCATGTTTATCCGTCATCCGTTCCAAATACCTCAAAACCTCTGCGTGTTTACACGCACGCTTACATAGGCATAGAAGTGGGGTACTTCCTTTGTTCTTGTGTACTAAAATTTTGCAACGTCGCAAACTTATGTCAAAATGCTCTTATTTTAGTTAATTTCCTGGGCTGAAATTCGGACTTAATATCCCTTTTCTTAAACTCTTCCATTTGCGACACATCAACCCACCTTGGAAATTCCTAGTTTTTGAGTAAAATCCACATATCTATTTCGTGAAAAACTTGTGGGGTACCAAAATGGAACCCCGCAAGTCGGTGGGCATTCCTTGTGCGGTACCTCCCATTGTTCCGGTACCCCACAAGGCAGTGTTTGTACACGCACGTCATCCTGCTCAATCTGGTTAAATGATGCTAGTCATATTCTTCCTTTTTAAAAAGTTAATAGAAAGAAGGAAAATGATCCAATGATGATTTATGGCAGGATCATCTGCTTACCGGGTTTCCCACAACTTTCCATGAATGTGACATCATCGATTGCAATGTCCGAGAGGCCTGTGCTGTCCACGATCCCTTGGAACACGACCGAGAAGTTGTTGTTGTTGGAGACAAAGAGACTGCCATAATTCCATTGATTTCCCTGGGGGCCGGTGGCCGTCCACATGAGGGTCATGTGACCATCTGATGAAGCTGACTTGGTATACACCTGTTAAGATTCAAATCAACAAGTAGTAAGTAAATCTGTCACGAGCCAATCAGGCCGGCATTTATCTCCAATTCCTTTGGCATGAAACGACTGAGGATATTTCTATTCCCCCTGGATGGGATGCAAGTCTTTCACAGGTTACTCCCCACATAGGGTACCCATTCATAGTTCTTGGTGGAGAGAGGCAAGTAAGGGGTGAAGCGGCTTGCCCAAGGACACAACTTATGGCCAGCAGCTGGATTCAAATCCCATGACCCTCAGATCATGATTCACAAACCCAAGCCACTGGGCCACACCCTCACCACAGACAGAGATATTTGGTAACTTGGTATATGGCATATCCAAATGTTCTCATTTTATAATAATGAGGAACTGTGCACATTTAAATATTTCAATAACTAGGTATGAGTTCGAACCCCAATGGGGATGACGGTGATTGTGTTCTTAGGCAAGGCACTATACTACAGTCCTCTCTTTTCACCTGGAGATATACATGTGAATGATTACCTGCTGGTAAAAATTTCCTGGGTCTCAAGTATGATTTAACCGATTCGGTTTTACAATCGTCTTAGGCCAACAAAAAAATAGTCAGTGTCCAGCCAGACCAAAGTTCCAGAGTTGATGAGGCAAATCGTGGTGTTTTTTTTTTTTTTTTTCATGCATGGTTGTACAGTCATCACATGACACAATACCGAACAGTGTAGGAATTTTCACTCCACAAACAACGGACAAGGAAATAAGTGGCATATTTCATGTATTTAGACAGGCTTTAATTCACAATCACAATTGCTCACATTGCATGTCATCGTGTCGATACGTGTGTAGTTGACTAGCCCCCATTGTTGTTGATCAGCTGCCAGCAACTTCGTACCCATGGTCTACTATCATTCGTTCAACATCAACCTTGTACCGGATCGATCACTGGGTACTGGCTGTCCACAAACATTTGAGGCAGTGGGGCGCTGTTGTAGCCTAAATTGACGTGCACGATCAAAATCGATGCGCGTGCTGACCAGAGACCGACTATATTTTTTTTGGCCTTAGTTTAATTTAAAAAAAAAAGAAAATTTGTAGAATGTGAGCAAGGCTGTAGGGTAAATTGAGGTGACTGACCTGTAAAGTCCCAACGTTTGTTCCCCACATATGATACCAGAATCGCATCAGGCAGACACTGCTGCTAGCCGGGAAGACAGGGGTAGCGACCCGTGCCATGTCATTCTGCCTCCGACCAGAGGCTTCAATGAAGAGGAAACTGCCTACATATCAACAGCAAAATAAATAAATAATCACTATGATAGACCTTTTTGGCTGAAAGACTGGGGTGTTAATAAGGGGGTAGGGTTGTATCGAGGATAGAAAACGATCAGTATATAAACAGCAGTATCCTCATGCAAGCACATGAACACTTTATTTCTAAAACGTAATATACACCATTTTCATTTAGAATCCCACTCTTTATTTATTAATGTGGTGCTTATAAAGCACATCATACCAAAGGTCTCAAAGCGCTTCACAATTATTACCCCTGTTCATCAGGCCATGAGACCAGTTTTTGCAGCAGCTCAAGATCAGCGCAATCTGGTCTCTACCTTCACAGGTACCCATTTACACCCTTGGGTTGAGAGAGGCAAATGTACAAAAGTGTCTTGCCCAAGAACACAAGTACCATGTCCCCAGTCAGGGTTCGAACCTACATACCACGGCACGAGTTGAATACCGTAACCGTTGGACCACAGCACTCTGGCTGCCCAAAGTCAATTTTGATGGCTGTTATGTACTGAAACACAATGTAAGAATGCAATACAGCAAAAAATGAAGTTTAAATACAGCTGTTACACTGTTCTTATTCTTCAAACGTTTTTTTTTTCTTCAAATGGATACATTGCGTCCACGGGGCTCTCAAAAGTGGTAAAACAGCGCCCTCTTTTGTTGGCGCATGGAGCCCATACCCCCCCCCCCCCCAATGGTATTCACTTGAGAACAAAGCCTATGAGCAAAGTTTGTTTGACTTATAAAGCCTTACCACCGTCCGCATTATGGTCACTGCTCGGTCCCGTTTCACCAGTTGGTGTACTCTGACCCTGCGACCAATCAAAATCATCGTTATTCAGCTGGGTCCAACCGCAGGCTGTCGCAAATGGGTATTGGTCAAAGTTGCAGTCTGCGGGCTGTGGTTCTGCAAAGAAAACATTTGCAAACAAAATAAAACTTAAGTTTGTTTTATACACTGATGAGTCAAAGTGACAAGATCTTTACATTATCCCCAACTTTTCAATATGACAAAATGACTTCTGCAATCTCAAGCAATCTTCTTTTTCCCCTAGTTTCAAGATTTCAACAGGTTTTTTGACCAACTTAAGAAACAGTTTTGTGCATTTACTATGAATCGTGGGTGTGCTGGTACTATCACCATCTTCATTTTTCGTGCAGTATTTTGTCGTTATTGTAATGTCAACATTTTAACCTATATCTATGTGAATTCCCTACCCTGCCTTCTTTCCATGACATTTCTGTTGCTATTGAACATTGCCAAGTATTCTGACCAGTCCAATAACATAAAAAGTGGAGTATCTGTCATACACAAAAGGGTTCCAAAGTACCCTACTAGGAAAATAAACCTCTGCGATGTAAAAGTCAACACACAGACTGCCCAAAGTAGGCCACATACAAAAGTTTTTTGTCTGGGCTTTTGTAAAAGGGAAGAGGCGTCCCTTGTTATTTTCAAAGATGGCAGATTTTCCAAGATGGATTCTTCCATTATCCCCACTCTTTTGTTGGTACTTTTGTCAAATCACCCTTGGAACTTTCTTATTTATAGCTAAAATTTTGCTGGACACACATGAAAAAAATATACTCAGATGTGTGATTATAAAAGAAAAAGCAAAAGGAGGTGTCCCGGATAAAATGAAGCTGGCAAGGACAAGAAATTGGTATTTATTTGTATAAATAATTCACCACAATTTCTTTCATCTGCACCATCCAGGCAGTCATATCCGTAATCGCAGACGTGGGTGAGAGAGACACACTGGCCGTTACCACACGTGATCTCCTGGTCTGAGCAGGGCCGGGTGAAACCATCTGCAGGCAAGACACCAAACAATATCGAGACAATATCAACCAAAAATACTTAAGACTGAAAGTATTCATAAGATGGAATTTGCTTTGGTGTGATGTAAATTCAGGGTTTGCCCTTCACTGATGTATAATCACAGTATGCTCAGTGTGTTACCTCCCGAGTGAAAGTTAGAAAAAAAATCATTCGGGTGGGACTCGAACCCACGACCTCCGGCTTTTTTGTGAAGACGTCTTACCACTGGACCACAAAGCTTGCTAAGATCAGCTGGCTATTTTGTTTGGTTGTTCAAATTTAAAGTTCACACGTGTCAGCAAACAATAAGTTTAAAGGCATGTACAATTATTAATTTGTTTTCATGCATTTTGTCCTTTTCCAAGAATAACAACACTCGAAATGCAAAGAAGAATGTTCCAGACCTGTTCAAGTTTCAGCTGGTATTTCAATTTTTCGAGAAGCTATAGTGAAAAAACCATGCATAACTTTTGATCACGAAACATGATTTCATCCATAGCACTCTTTATTTCCGAAAATCAGTCAATTGACTGAATGTTGGAAATCACATAAATTGCTTGATTTCTCCTAAATGACATCCAGACCGATTTCACAGGTGTTCTGTACAGTACGATCTTTAATCCAAGTAAGCTTTTTTATAATAGTTTGGTTGGTTACTTTTGGGATAAATGCAAATAATCCAACATGTCTGTTATATACTTTCACAGATGACTTTGAAGCACTCCTTACCGTCCCTGCAGTTCTCCAGAGTGACGTCATCAATCGCGATATCGCCGGTTATGGTTATACCTCGGACAGCCTCAATGATTATGGCAAAGTTTTCTTGGTGTCCAATCAGGAGGTCTCCAGTGGACCGCCATTCGTTACCTTGACTACCGGCAACGGCAAACAGCTGCGTAACCTGGGTTTGGTAAACCAAGTCAAAAAGGTTGATAGATAGTTAGTTGGGGTGCTGTGGTCCAATGGTTACGGTGTTCGACTCGTGTGCCGTGGTACATGGGTTCGAATCCTGACCGTGGGAACATGGTGCTTGTGCTCTTGAGCAAGGCACTTTACCATTATTGCTTCGTCCTTCGGATGGGACGTAAAGCCGTAGGTCCCGTGTGTTGTGTAATGCACGTTAAAGAACCCAGTAACACTTATCGCTAAGAGAAGGGGTTTGCCCCGGTGTTTCTGGCAGTGGCTGCAATATGCGCCGCAGCACCTTGTACACCCTTATAAGGTGCTACATAATGGGTCTCACATCTCTCATAAACTTGATTTACCTTTCTTTAATAATAGACATATCTCCAGCGCCTTGAGTACCTAATAGATGGTAGATACGTGCGCTATATATAAGACTCCATTATTGTTATTATTATTGGTTAACCAGCTATCAATTCCTGCATTTTGTTCTAGGGAATTCAGTTGTTAATTTGACTAAATAAAGGCAAATATCAAATTTTCATATTGAATGTTGGATTATTTAGAAATGTTTGAAAGTTAAAATAATTATGTAATACAAGTAACAGGGCTTTGTGAATAAATTTAAAATATTGGTAGGTGTAGATTGCCAACAGTGACAATTGACAGTCAGCGTTACATAATGAAGTTACAAGAAACAATCTTTGCTGTGCAGATTGGAAATGTTTTTTATTGTCAAGATATTTTGGCAAAAGAAAAAAAAACGATGTGATGTAAACTACACTAAATCATCATTATTGTAGCAGTTCAGCAAATCAAATTACACAAACAGAAGCATCATTCTCAATAAGAATATAATAATATAGTGCTTGTATAGCGCTTTATACCAAAGGTCTCAAAGCGCTTCACAATTATTACCCCATTTATACTCCTGGGTGGAGAGAGGCAATTGTAGTAAAGTGTCTTGCCCAAGAACACAAGCACCATGTTCCCCGTCCGGGTTCGAACCCACGTACCGTACCATTGGACCACAGCGCTCCACGAGAAAAGAGGAATGTTGTTTCAGCACTAACGATGGTTCAAACTGAACCGTCACTGTGAAAAACAGGTGTGAGCCAGCTATTGGGTCCATGTGTACCCTTGGTTATGCTAGGAACAGGTTTTTTCCTGTGACCTGCATGTATCCTGTGGGTCCTATGGATTCTATGCATGAAACTTTCAGGGAGTTAGCTGTACCTTAACAGGATTTTTTGGGGTGTTTTTCCCAGCACCAATGGATGCAAAACATTGTGCAGGTCAGTGGACCCGATCTGCTATAAATTAATAGACAATCATCACTCCGTTTCATACAATTACAGCAAATGCAAACGGTATACATTAAACCTTTATTTTTTTTTATTTTTTTATTACATGTATGTCACATCTGTACTTTGGTTACCTGTCCGTTTGCCTTGATGAAGACACCCAGTGATCCGATAGTGCTGCCTTTCATGTGATACCACAGTGACAGCGTGCAAGCATCCCCAGAGTGTTGGTAAGTTAGTGATTGTAGGTGAGCTTTCTCCTGGTCATCACCGCCGATGATGCCTGATGCTTGGCTGGTGTCTACGTACATGTAGTAACCTATGAGCAAGTATACAATCGAGGACTATGGTCAACCACTGTTTGACTAACTTCCCATCCGGCGGGGCCCTGCGAGAGATATCTATGGTATTGTTAGAATTCGTAAATTGTTTAAAGTTTAAACAAATTAACTTCATGTAAATTAGGCCAATGGCCCGCGATCGTCCTGCATAGTCCCCTTTTGTTGCAACAAACTTTTGTTCCCGCATTGGGACTTGGCGCTGAAGTCCAACCCACATTCCTTACCAGTGGAATGGACATTGGAATTCCCTTTCGGACTTGAAAGCTCTGGAATTTCGCCGTTCTTCGGATTCTGAACTGGAGTTTGCTGAGGTGTGATCAAGGGACTCGCTCTCCGGTGATGCCATGCCGCCCGCGACCGTCTGCCTTGCTGAGGCCGCTGACTTGGCCGTGCCTTGCCTATTGCCGTCTGCACGGGGCACGGTCCCATGGTGTTTGACGCGATAATGTCACTGTACACCAATACTCAACCACATGTGTGCGCACATCTTCAGGTTGCACTGATGAGTTTGAGTCACAACACTGATCTGGTGTTCTCCAGGGAGACACCATGGGCGTTTTCGAATCCCGAACACTCGGGTTAACCCGACACGAGAACAGCGGTCTCGAACGTGACGAACAGACCCGAGAGGGCGTTCGCGGATCGATTTTTTCACTCCCCGGTTGATGGAGGGTTCGGCGAGGTGCAGCTTGAACAAAATGGCGGACTGTGCAGATTCGTCAGTTGTTTTGTGGGTTTTTTTTTTTGCTAATACCCTAATGATTGGAATAAGAATACCATTATAGTGCAGGTCTGCAATTTTATCCCCGCATGTCCGGTTTTGCAACAGTCGTCCTCGTTCATTTGGAATAGGCCTAAGTACAAATTCAGATGATTGTCGGCCATTTAATTTGCATTGCTTTATATCGATGCGACACGCACCCGTGCGTTTGTAACAACCAGCTCAAGAACATGTTCTCGTGTTACACGCATGTTGTCAAGAACAGGGATTCGAAAACGCCCCATGGCGCCCTACTTATTTGTCATCGTCATGGACTACATCCTACTCATGTTGTGCACCCTTGAAGACAGGTAGACTCTGAGAAGACATGCAACATTTCAACGTATTTGTAATACCTAAATCTGTTTCTAGTGTGTGATCAACAGTAGGTCCCGTATTCAGGTTCTCAGTCTGGTCTCCGCTGGCCCGCAACCAGTCCAGGTTCTCCCTGTAGGAATTTTTCCAACCGCAGGTGTCCGTCTCAAAATCGCAGGTATTTCCTGGAATCATAAAAGATATGTTTTAAAATTTAAAAAATGTATTTCCAAAACGCAATTTGAAAAAAAAAGTGAAAGATTTGCATGGTTATTTACACTTACATTTAAATTTATTTCATTTTTTGGGATACATTTGTTTCAACAATTACAAACAATAACATTAAATACTCAGAAATACACAAGAACACTTTAGACAAAACAAACACAGTATAATATTTAACCAGCTCGCACTGGATCACCCAAAAGAAACATAGTTTCTGTCGAGGGGCTCTCCAACTGATTAAATATGAACTTTAAAAAATATAAACATATTTGATTTTCACAATTAAGAACACTGAGGTCTGGCTTCATTAGGAACAGCTTTATACTACTAAATGTACCATTAGGGAGACACGTTATCGTAATTTCTTCGATAATAGGGAGACACCGGTCATTAGGGAGACACATAACTGTCTCCCTAATGGCACAGCCCCCCTTTAGAGGCAACATTTTACTGTTGCTCGTGGCCCAATTAGTAAAACATACTGAAATTCGTGAAAAAAGGACAAGGGAATATTGGGTTAGGGCACATTTAAGTTTGAAAAATGTTGTGCACAAGTCTATGGGAAAGTGTTCCTAATGACTTATTATCCTGACATTGTTTATATAAACCACTAGACTAGTAGCATGAGAAATTAAAACACACATTAACTACTGCATTGTATTGAGCACTTGCGCAGTACAAATCCTCACCACATATTTCATCTGAGCCATCGGCACAGTCGGCCACAAAATCGCAGCGGCTGAGCGGGTCGTAGCACTGATTGGTGGTGGCGCACTGGAGCCGGCCGTCTGTGCAGTACTTCTCGGTGCGGTTGTTGAAGGGGGAGTCGGGCATGACTCCGCCTCCGATACAGGAGGACGTGAAGGAGAAATCATCCAGGGCTATCTCGCTCTGCCTGCCATCGCCAAGGACACCCTCTAAAACAATCTGTGAGGCATGGACGACAAGAAGTCTTAAGATAAAGCCCCATAGACGTTATTCACTGAGAAACCAGATGTCATCTCCTCCCGCGAGTCAGGCCAACTTCCTCGACTACAATAGGTATTCTTTAAAGATGCATTTCACGTATAAACGCACATGATCACGAGTGGCAAATTTACATCGTACTTATACAGAATATTTTTTGCAAATTGTGATGTGATCAAGCTACATGAGTCGTTTGTCAGGAATTTTCATTTGGAGATTCAGGCCAAAATAGGGCCACTCCATCACATCACTTCATCACATCTCTTGGTGTTCCCACTTCCTTAATTTTTTAACTTAAGATGGTATCAGCATGCAGTTTTCACAGCAGTGCTGAGATTGTGCTCTTTTCAAATATGAAACAAAAAATGTTTTGACCAGGGTCGACAAACGACTCATTTAGCTTGATCGCATCACAATTAGTGCCTGAAAATGGTACACTGCCTTTCAGCAGATTGCCACCACACCAGAGGAGAATCAGGTTAATTATGAGATGGGTTTACAACAGGCATAGCGAAACCATTGTGTTCTCTGGGTCATTAAAGTGTGTACGAACCAGTAATCATGGTTGCACCGAGTTGACTTCTGAGTGATATCGCAACTTCACCAGAGAATTGCAATCATCACTTCAGCAATCTTGCTCAGTATATTAGCAAGCACTGTGGGAAGGAAAAAGGGGCAATATCAGTGCCTTTTTCTCTTCCCACAATACTTGTTATACAGGGCGTCCTGAAAATAATGGTGCATGTAAACCCCGCCATTTTTGCCAATTTACAACCGAGATGTATTGCAAATGTTTGTAGTGCTGACTTCATGCACAGGTCAACGTCTCACTTACATCGAAGTCTTTGTCCTTAGTTGGTAGAGGGACCTCCCTGAGCTGCCAGTCGTCTCCTTGATCTCCAGTCAGGGAATCAATCATGATGACCTCATCGGGACGTCGGTAAGACGTGACCTGCCAGACCTCCAAGGTACCGATGTCATTCCCGTTCATGTTGTACCAGAAACGGAACTATCAAAAAGTAACAATTAACGTGAATGGAGGAGTTAAAATGACCAATCCTGCACAAAGGCCATGGTGGGGTTATCAAGCAGAGCAAGGTCAAAATGCAGGAGAAAAGTAGGATCAAAATATCAAATTGTAAAAACAGGACAAAAGTAGGGCTTTGGAGTACAAAATCAGGATTAAAGGACTTTTGTGTGACTTTCTCTGGTAGTTTTTGTTGATATTCGTCCATGTCTACAGCATCATCAGAATCATTTGGCATATGTTCTGTACTCACAACATGATGTGCTCCATCCTCAACTGAACTCTACTGCAGTGCCCATCAAGGCCTTCATTATTTGATTTACCTATTTTTTTTTCAATGCGACTTTATTTTTTACAGTTGTGGGACAAAAATGAAGGGCAAAGTAGGAAAATGGGAATTAATGAAGGAAAAAAAGTAGTAAAAGTAGGAGCAAGATAAAGAAAAAAAGGAAAACGTAGGAAAACAGCATGCAGCATCAGAGCCAATTAATCATGATATCTAATTAATGATTCCGAGAAATGATCCAAAACTCCTAGTCTGTAATCTCCTTGACTATTACTAGATGATAGATGTACCAGTATAAGATTTGAAAAATACATTTTCAGGTTTTATTGACTTAACTCTTAAAAGCTCTGCCACATTGAATAATGAGGGAATTTCCCCTTTCTTTTGCGACATCAAGTAAATGTTATCACCATACATGCCATACAGATCATATTTGACATTCATGTACAAAACTGGATGTTGGACATGTGGTCACATGGTGTCAATTTCCAGCAAATGGTTCTCTTCTGTACTGCATTTTTATCTCTCGAAATATGAATGGTTTAAAAGCATTGACAAACACTATTTAATGTGGGCCAAATAAAAGGCAATCTTACCGTGCAGTCACTGGTACTCTTCCTGCTCATAGTGGGGCTATGTATTCTGGCTCGGTCACCGGCTTGTCTCGGGTAAAGCGCCTCCGTGTAGATGTAATAGCCTAGACAGCAGTAATAAGAATTGAGCTTTGCATAGTGAAACATATACTGTTGGATATTTATGGAAGCAGTACTCAAAGTTTCGAACAATAATGATAGGCTTTCATCAGATCTTGAATACTGATGGAGACATTTAAAGTTCAATATTGGGGTTTGTGCATCACCGGAAAAACTGTATACTCTTTGTTGTCCTCAGAGAGATTGTGATAACGAATTACTTGGGTGGGACTCAAACCCACAACCTCCTGGGCCCAATTTCACGGCGCTGCTAAGCACAAAAATTTGCTTAGCACCAAAATGGCTAGCATATAAAAGCAGGTTAGCCAAAACTCCATGTGATTATTATGCTAAGCAAACAACAACTGAATACTAATCACGAGCAATATACATCATAGGGAGTTTTGGCTGGTAACCTGCTTTTATAAGCCAGGCTTTTTTGTGCTAAGCAAATTTGTGCACTTAGCAGCGCCGTGAAATTAGCCCAAGACGTCTTACAACTCAACTACTGAGCTTGCCAGGGTCGGCTGGTTGGTTCGAATCTGATATAGCAGCGGGTACCACAACCAAACTATAAAGACAAGATGGAATTTGCGTCGTAGCAATGTAAATTCAATATTGGGGTTTTTGCCCTTCACCGATGTATTTCTATAAACACTGGATACTCAGTGTTGTCCCAAGTGATTGCAAAAAAAATCACCCGGGTGGGACTCGAACCCACGACCTCCTCCAACCTCACCATGAGCCAAAGTAATCTCTTCAGAATTTTTTGCTGAAACGAAATGGCATCTGTCAGAGACAGAATTATTGATGTACCATTAGCGTAGTTGAGATTCGTGTGATCATGCAGCGGTCCTGTTCCAGGGTTGATTGTGTTGCCGCCCCTCAGCGTCCAATCAAATTCCTCCTCGTCATCTTGGAACCAATCGCAGATGTCCAGAGAGAAGTCACAGCGCCCAGGGTAGCCAGCTGTCAAGTGAAACAGGATTTGTGATTGGACAACAGAAAATACTGACATGATCGGATGCCTGCATCAATGCATAGCGCATAACTTTGAATTGAAAACCAAATGAAACAAAAAACATCTTACATGGCCTCCTGTTAAAACTCCCTGTGGAGTATTTAGGAGAAAAACCAACCAAGTACCAAGTACATTCCCCCCCCCCCCCAAATTGTTTTTTTATATTTTATTACTCTTTCATTAAACAGCAAAATAGTCAATGTCAGGATGGATAAACATAATGAATTTAACAAACATAACATAAAACATAAAATGCACACAATACGTCAAAAGAAGTATAAGGAGTACAGAATCTAGAGAAATGTTAGCCTTGCTCATCTTTACACCATGCTAAAAAGGAGCTATGAAGCTACTAGTTAACTGTGGAAAAAGTGTACTTTGAATATAATTCCCAAATACTACATTACAACTAAACAATTCTATCCTGCTGTGGTATTGTCCATGGCTTTTGCTCTATATTCAAACAAGAACAATCAAAACCTAACTTGTTGAAGCTTCAGCTAAGTGGATATTACACTTTTCAAAAAAAACAGTGGGGGAAAAAAATGCCCAACCTTTTGATCATGAAACATGATTTTGTATATAGCACATTTCTTTCCAAACATCAGTCATATTGACTGATCGTTGGAAATTACCTACATTTCTTGAGGTCTTCTAAATGACAGATGAAATTATTTCACAGGGCGTTTAGTACCAGTACGATCTTTAATCCTTGTTTAAAGCGTTTTGATAATAATTCGGTAGGTTACTTTTGGGATATTATGCAAATGGTGTTATGTTAGATGCATCAGGGGCTATATCTGCTCATGTCACAAAGCTATGGAATAGCTAGGAGTTATCTTTTTGAACTACTTAGTGTTCAAGCAAATGCACACACTCTGCGCTCGACAACCTCTGGTGTGGTATGTTTACAGCAGCCACTTGGCAAAACCGCATACCATGGCGATCGGTCATTGTCCCCCGTCTATGGAATAGGCTACCGGCAGCAATCGGATCTGCTGATACCTTCAACATTTTTAAAACTTACTTGAAAACCCATCTTTTTAAGCATTACCTTTGTATCACTCAAGTTAATTAAGTTCTTTTTACTTAGGCCTGCTTGTTTGTTTTTAAACTTTTTATCTGTATTTCTTAATAACCTGTGGATTTTTAATTGTACAGCGCTTTGTGATGTCTTTGTTACATGGAAAGCATTTTTTTAAATAATTCATATTATTATTATTTAATGATCCTACTTATGCCTTGAAGCGCTCTACACCATATGTTGACTTCGTTTTTACAAACTTGTTACAAACAAGTGACTGTTATTGACCAATGACGATACAAAATACCAAGAGACAAATGAACAGCAATGCATGGATACGCTTATTATAAATTCCAACTTACTGCAGTGTAGCTCATCTGAGTAATCCATGCAATCGTTGCCATAGTCACAGACCCTGGCAGCGTCGATGCAGTGGGAGTTACTGCAGGTAAACTGGTCCTCCGTGCACGGTGTTCCATCGATAACTAAGCAAATATGGAAATGAAGGAAAATAATAATAACAATGTGGCCTTTTCTTTATATATGACATGTATCTACCATTATTTGTGATCAAGGCACACATCATTATTACCCCTGTTCAATCAATCACAATAACCTCACAGGTACCCATTTACTCCTGGGTTGAGAGAAGCAATGACTGACAAAGTGCCTTGCCCAAGGGCACACGCACCATAACCCCGGCTGGACTCAACCCCACAACCTGCAGAATTACCCACTGACCAAAAGTTAAATACGGCCGTGTCCGAAACGGGCTTCCAGAGCTACGGCTACGTCTATTGTCAGCGCGTCCCCGCGTATTTTCAATGGGCGCAGACCTAGACCTAGCTCTAGACAGCTAATTCGGATGCAGCCTACCCCGACCACGAGGCTACCAACTCTACGGAAATTCTTCTCCAGTTGAGCAAATGTGTAGCAAACATTCAATATCTTTTTCACCATTTTCATTCGCTCATCAACACTGCACAGAGCAGTGATGAAAACTTCCGACAAGGAACGTTACTACAAATCCTTAGAAATAAATATACTCCCAAAAAAATAAGGTTTACTTACTCGGAGGTTCACAATCAATGAAAGTAACGTCATCTATCGTCACATCCCCAACAAAGCTAGCTCCACGTCTCACTTCAATAATAATCTTTGTGTCAAAAAAAAGAAGAAAGATAGGTCAACATTGTACTTTTCCTAATAAACTCAACCAAAAAAGAAAGTCCCCACATTCCAATACTTTTGTGTCTTTCTCAAAAACTACTGAGCAACTCTCGCCCAAATAACGACTAATCAGAAATACAGAAATACAGAAGTACAGAAATTCCTTAGCAATCTAGCCATACTTTTTATTTGGCCCAAAACAGTGACAATGTGTACGAAATTATGCAATTTATGACAAATGATACCGAAAACAGTTGCACTTTTGTATACGTGCAAGTTGTGTTTCACACTCACCTTGCAAGTATACAAAAGTGTAACTTTTTTTCGTTACCATTTGTCATAAATTGCATATTTTTGTACACATTATCACTGTTTTGGGCCAAACAAAGAGTAGGGCTGGAATTTCTGTACTGATAAGTCGTAATTTGAGCAAGATGTGCCTAGTAGTTTTTGAGTTAGACAAAAAAGTATTAAAAGGGGACTTTCTTTTTTGGTTGAGTGTATCTACCGATCCAACAGAATAGAATCTAATGGATGAATTTAGACTTGTGAAACATAGAAGCCGTACTGTTTGTCAAAACAACTGGCAGCCTCCGGTGGCACAAGATTTGCTTACATATTCATTATGCCCAATTGCCGGACACTGCCTCCTTCTTCATGGTTAAGATCCTAACAAAATTTTACGATGAGGAAAAACATTCCTTGTTTTCATTAAATTAAAGAACCTGAATTATCTTTGAGTAACAGACTCATCAACAAAAAAGTTCACTTCTCACTTGAGAAAGTCGAGGAAAAAGTCTGAATGACAAGTGCACCATTCATGACACCATTCAACCATGTCCATGATTCAACCAATCTCCACTAATGTATGTGGGAAACATTGGCATTATAGTCTTTTTCTTCCGACAATTGCCAGTGAAAAGTAGTCACCATCCTCAAGATCATCATCGTGATTTTCAAAGCATTGCATTTTATACAACTTCATCTGATCTGAAACCTCTGAAAATATGTGAATTTTATTGCAGTCAAATACCGTTATATCCACGTACGTTTTTTAAAGCTCTGTACTTAGCCAGCTAGTACTAATTTCAATCATGTCATATAATGCTTAAACTTATTTTCCGGCAGTAGAATACTCCAATCCAGGCTTACTTAAGCCACAAAAAAAAAGTCTCCGGTTTCTGGTATGGAGCTTGCCCCAAAAGTGGTGCGGCGACGCATTTTTAATTTTTTTTACCTGATTTTTTTTGCTTCAAATGTGTGCTGATGACTGCAAATGGTGCCCGAATAAACTTAGTGCAAATATATGGGAGTCCAGAGAGGCCACACCAGAGAAGCTTATTCTCGACCATAACCCAATCTAAAAACACGTTAAAATTGTGCAGCAGCAGGATTCCAGTCAAACCAGTGAGTTTGGCGGTTTTGAGACATCATCTTTCATTGAAAAAAAAACTTTTTCATTTTGCCGACGCGCATGGCTACGGCGACGCGCGCGCATACCAGAAACCGGAGATTTTTTTGGGGGGCCTTAGCCAGCTAGTACTAATTTCAATCATGTCATATAATGCTTAAACTTATTTTCCGGCCGTAGAATACTCCAATCCAGGCTTACTTATGTCCAGGCTTACTTACAATCTGTGCCCTGACGACTGGTAGAACAGATTAGAATTGTGCTCGCAATACAGATGTCGCTGTGCCAACTTCATCAAATTTGTTGAAATTTAATTCAGAAAATTCAGAATTTTCGAAATATTGATTTGAAAACGTTGTTTTTCCGATTAAACTCGGAAAAGCTTCATCTCTGTTTGTTACCTTGAAATTCTGATTAGTGCCGATGTAAACATTCTCCTTCCTCCACTTGTCCTGGCTGGTACTTCCAATCCGGTTCCACATCAGCCGCCGGTAACCAAAAGCCTCCGTGTAGACACTCAGCGTGTCCACGTCCGTGCCGTACATGTGATAATACAGCCTCATCTGGCAGTTACCCCCACTCAGTGAGATGGTTGGAGTGTTGAGCTCCGTCGTGTCAAATAGGGTGCCTGGCGAGCTATCCACGTACATGTACCATCCTAACGAGAACAAGAATGTTGTTGTATCAAAAAACAAGCAACAGTTTTATAGGTAATTGTTTATCGAGCTTAAAGGAACTATGCAGTGGAAATTCAGGTAGCAGACCAGTAAATAAACTTCCATAGACCCCAATGATAAATGCTCCCACTTCAAAAATTCGGGAAAAATACTCACAACTCTCCAAGGTGTTCGAGACACACATCAAATTAAAGCTTATTTCATCATCTTTCACTTTCTTTTCAATTTTGGGGGGTCCACTGATGACTTTTAGGGGAAATTTCCATCTGAAGATGATCACCCCTGAAAATAGTCCTGAAGCCCATCACCATTTTGAAAACGATGCCTACACTCCATTGCAAAATAGAGCGCTTTTAGGGTCCAAAGTACATCAAAATTACACAGAACTGCAAGCTCCCAGTCCTGTGCACGGTTTCCACCCATATTTTTTACAAACTCTCAAGTTCATGGCCCACAGCATGCTCAAATACTGAAGATTTTGAGGGCATGCAAATCGTGATTTGGCCGGCGCAGGCTATTTCGGACCGATTTACTGGTCTGCACCCTTCAGCTCATCTTGTTTTCATACACATTACTATGTGTTGCAACAATACATGCACGATCTTAATACTTGTTTTCATTGAAAGTGACAAGAAAGTGGTAGTTTTTCAATTATTAGCAAATTTCATCAATACATGTAAGAGGCGCTATTTTGATTTTGTCACACAAGGTACTCCTTGTCAAAACTGCATTAAAAACAGTACACAATTTAGTCCTTCAAAATTACCCACAAAAAAGTTTCGAAGAAATATTGGCCACTTCTATTGTCCAAACAAGCTGTTTAGAATGATAATCAAGTAAAAAGTGGAACTTACTCCAAGAAAATGAAGAAAAGTTTGATATATATTTGTACACAAACCTAGGGAGACACTACTGTTCTGCCTTGAATGACATCACACTTTGCCTCATGAATATGGAAATTTTCATTAGCATAAAAACTAAAATGTTGACATTTCTCATGTTATCATGGGATAGGTTGTTCTCGTAGTCCTGACCAGGATCCCAGATCGCTTTACAAAGCAGATCTGTTTGTACCCAAAACAAAAACCTTTTTTCCTCAGAGTTACAGAAGTCCCCAAAAAGCAAAACAGAAATTTGAAAATGTATAAATTACAAATTCATTGAATTTTTTTTTAATGGGGTTTGCAAATTTAAAGTGGAACATCTTCCAGTTTGCTCCACGGTCTCTGATTGTAACAGCATTCACTCGCTATAGCGGTCTTCTTGGTTCATCATGAATAGCCCATTTGAAGGATCAGAGAGTTTTTTAAACCATTTCAGCTCTGGAGGGCATTGCATGCAGTATCTCAGCATCGGCATGACCGTGAGCTGAGTGGGAACTTCAGGTGAAATTGGATAACCGTTATCCGCTCTGAAACAAACTAGGATAGCCGGAGTTTGAAATGTTTGGTTTCTCCCACCACCTTTTACAAGTCGATACGTTTATGTTGTTATTTATATCAGTCCCTTTCCCTACCATTTCCTGTCCCAATTGTGTGGTCAACATCAGGCCTCGATTCTCCAGGTTCCCGTGAGTTAGGCTGACCTCTGACCCACTGAAACCGTGGCAACTCTCGCTGATCATGTGACCCTTCAAGCGCCCTCGGCTGCACCTCTTGCCATCCGCAGACGCCCGTCTCAAAATCGCAGTCCTGGACTACAGAGAGGCAGACAATTCAATACAAATGCATGTTACTATTGAGGGCCAATTTATTTTAAAGATGTAAGTGCAAGAAAACAAAATGCTCCTGCTGTCCCACTGCCTGTAACGAAATTCAGCACAGCCAAAGTTGCAACTAGCCCCCCCCCCCCCCTTAGACCTTAGACTCGATTCCCTATTTACATCGACATCCCATTTAATGCTACATGAGCCCCTGCCACTACACCAAGGAACATGTTTAAGTAGCAAAAGGATATAAATATGATCAAATAGAGTGAACAATTTTTCACTTTGGCTCATTTTAATAAATGTGTGCTGGGCAAGTTTTAAACGCTCCATTTAAGACTGAATAGAGGCTGGATGCTGATAATTACCCGAGCCGAAAATCAGCATCTAGACTCTAACCAGTCTTAAACAAAGCGTTTAATACTGACCATGCACATATATATTCCCATTCATAAAAACCTCTTTGGTAAATCTTTTCGGTCCAAAAGCCAAAGCAAGTCAAAACTTATAAATGTCCAATGATTTTGTTCAACAAGTTTACTTCATGCTTTTAAGCACCCCTCTAGCTGTATTATGGTATGTCCCTCTAGCTGTATTATGGCATGACCCTGTGGTAACAACGCCTTATATGGTCATTGAAGCATGTATCGTGCGGACTGCGCAATGTGGCGCAGGACGCAGCTGTGCCGGTGTATTGTGAATTTAGGACTATGAAATACTGAATCATCACTGGTAGTGCTGCGCATGCCTACATGGGGACTTTGAACAACAAACCAATTAAACGGTGCTGGCACTAGATTTCATAGGAGTCAAAATGTCATGTGACAGTGGAAAATTGTTAAAGACCAGCCAGCCATGTCTTTATCAACCGTTGAAAACCGGCCACATGACGGCTCTCGACCAATAGGAACTGTCTTAGGTAGTTATGAATGCAGCTTTATGGAATATTTGGGGGCAAATCATCCTTACTTGCAGATGCAGGGCTGTGATTGAAAACAGAGTTGTAACAAGTCACTGGTTTTTGTGACTAGAGTGATCTTAGAGAAGGGACTCAAGTCGAGTCGAGTCATTTTAAAGAAGTGACTCGAGTCAAGTCGAGTCAAGTCGAGTCATTAGGTCAAGAAGGTTGAGTCGAGACAAGTCAAATACAAGCTCGAATCAAATCGAGTCACAAATATTTGAACATTATATAACAAATAAAGACAAGAGAAAAAGTAATGGGTATCACTAACAGTTAACAAGAAGTGAAACTTCGATCTTATATAGGCTATCTGGTTTGGCTTCGGGTCAAGAATTGTTTTGCCTTTTTCCCTGATCGTTGAAAACATCAAAACCATCTTGCATTACATAAAACTTACTATTTAGATATAGGCTTGTGTCTATTTAATATAATAAAAGGAGGGCCTTCCCTTGAGTCGAGTTGAGTCATTCTGATGAGGGACTAGTGGAGTCATATGTTCGCAGTGACTCAAGTCAAGTCAATCATTTACCCTCAGGGACTCGAGTTGAGTCGAGTCACCCCAACTTGTGACTCGAGTTGGACTCGAGTGAGTCATTACAACTCTAATTGCGAAGGATGCAGCTACTGTACAACATGGTCGATCCGAGGGTATGTAATGGCAACTTAGGCAGCTGCCATTCCAACCAGAGATCGGAACTGTGATTTTTGCACAGCCAGAGATCCAAAGTGTTGGGATTTCTTACCACAACCAGCCTCATCCGACCCATCTGAGCAATCCTTGCGGAAGTCACACGCGTGCCTCCTGGGAATGCACTTGTTCTCCGGAGCACAGAAGATCCGACCTTCGTAACAGTTGCCCTGCAGGTCAGGGGTCGTAGGTGACAAGGTCGTAGTGTCATCAGCGGGAGTGTTTGGAAGTTGACCTGAAACGAACAAGACAGTCTTGGTTCATGACTGGTTTTGGATTTTTTAAAAATGTACAGAAATTATTTTCACATCAAATACTTCAATTTCAATTCTTCAGGGAGTAGCTCTAATGAAAGCGTGCATTTTTTTACAATTTTTTTTTATCTATCTTTACAAAAATGCAGACCCATATACAAATGCAATGTGTTTTGAAGATTTTTTTTTTCCATTTAACAAATTGTATGTTTTGTTCTAACCGTTGTACACAATGCAGCCAGATGTTAGCGAAACGTCATCGATAGCTATGTCTCCGTTCAGACCATCACCAATGGTTGCTTCTATTACAATCTATGGGAAAGAACGAAATACACCTCATAGATCAAATCAAATTATAATCAAATACTTTATATATTTTTTGCCCTTGAAAATATGAAGATCGGGTACTATTAGGGGTTTTTCAAAATCTTACTCAGTTTATGACTTAATTTGGCTTCATTTCTGGGGCAAAATTCACAGATCTGCTTAACATGCTTAAGCACAACATTTGCTTAAAGGGAATGTACATCATTGGCTTTTGCTGTAATTTTCAGAAATGAACTATTTGAGGGGTTAGTATAATAGATCAAATATTGTTACACTGACATGTTTGAAGTTTTGTGTTCGAAAATGCTGGAAAAACCATGAAAAACAAAAATGTTCAAGTAGTCTGGTTCCTTGACTCCACTAAAGATAAAATGGATCAATTTATAGATGCCGGAAAATTGTAAGGTAAGGGAACCAGTCTAGCTGGCCTGCACCCGTTCATGAACATGTAACCAATAGCAAACAAAATTTGGACCCAAAAAAGTGTAAAGTTGGAGCAGTAGTTGCAAAATAGTTAGGTTTTTCCAACGCTGGTCGGCCGACCACCGTTGGAAATGTATACAAAAATACCATTTTCTTGAAAAAGACTTCACACCAGGTGCCATTATTTTACAGGATGCTTTAGACTGTCATTTACCAACATCCTAGTAAGGTATTTCGTAAAAACTTGGTAGTTTTATTTTTCGATGTTTGCAAATGTTGTATATGAATTCCCTTTAAGCACAAACAGAGTTTGCTTAAGATAATCAAGTAACCCGCCAAAACTCCATGCGATTGTTACGCTAAGTAAACAACAACTAAATACCAGTCACAAACAATGTACATCGCATGGCGTTTTGGCGGGCAACCTGATTATTTTAAGCAAGGATTGTCTGTGATTAAGCTAATTTGGTGCTTAAGCAGCTCTATGAAATTGGACCCAGGTTTTAGAATTGTTTTAAGTTGCGTTCTCCGCACTAGTTTTAAGTTTCAGCACCTTTCACTTCTCTTTCCAATGTCTGTGAAAGTTGTAGTTCGATAATGCTGACTGTAAGGTAATGGTCTTCATAGTGCTTTTTTAATAATAAAAAATATCAACAGTATCACCATCTTTTTCACTTGGTGGTATTGAAGTAAATGTTTCATTGCAGCATCCTAGTTCACTCAAAACTGTGGCCTATTATATGATCAATTATCATCCTTGGCAGAGTGAATAAAAACCCACCATGAAATTATAGGAGGTCGTGAGCGTAATCTCCGCTCTCTGCCAGTAGTTCCCCTGCTCGGTGAAGCGGAACCAAACCGGATCATTCAGGGATGTAGTGTTGGCATAGCGACTGGCGTACACATTCAAATAATCCACGTCTTCACCGTACATGTGATAGAAGAAACGTAGCTGCAACACACAGAGGCAAGAGACAAGTTCCAATAAAGACACTCACAATTTGACCTTTTGTCAAAAGTCTGATATACCACATTTATATTACATTTGCAGAGTCAAAAATCACCACACAAGGTAAAAATAAGGTTGGGTCATAGATCAGATGAGGTCAGGTCATAGGTCAGATTAGGTCATTTGATCAATATTAGTCACTATCTGTTGCTATAAATACATAAATATAGATCATTTTATTGCCCCTCGCTGTAAAAATAATCTGTGTTCATTTGTGACTTTAAAATTTTACAATTTCTGCCACATGCTTCCCAAGTATTCAAACACTATATGAGATAAATATACAATTAATGTTTTTCCGATCTGATGATGCAAATTTGTGATAATTAGATGTGCGCATTTTTTTTTGTTCAATGCAGTTGGATAATGAAACATCGTATTTCTTCTCATTGTCTCCTCTCCACAGTTTTCTTCAGGCTTGTGAGCTACAGTGTCTGGGGCACTTTTGAGAAATTCTTGGTTTTATTACCAGAAAGAAATAAAAGCAATAATAATAGAGATAATAATACCCTGATCATCAGGCCACGAGACCAGTTTTTGCAGCAGCTCGAGATCAGCGCATTCTGGTCTCTACCCTCACAGGTACCCCTTTAAACTCCTGGGTGGAGAGAGGCAATTGTAGTAAAGTTTTAAGCCCCAGAACACTAGAATGGTTGTCGTCAGGGTGTGAATCCATGTACCACAGCGCATGAGTCAAACGCGGTAACCACTGGACCACGTCGCTCCACAATATAGAACAGACTAGACCCTCATACTATTATTTCCAATTTTCTTGTTTAAAGTCTGTTGTTAATGGCCTTATATGGCAAGAAATGAACAAAATTTATGTCTTGAAATTCTTTAATAATTCTACAAACCTGGCATGAGCCGTCTGGGGCAGACTGGAAGTTAGGACTCGTGATCTGTGCCTTGGCCTTGTAGGTGTGCGAGAACCGACCGTCCAAGTAGATGAAATGACCTATAAAGGATCAAGAGAGTTAAAACTTAGGCTACAGTCGGTGCCGTATTTCAAGGCATGTTGGATCATTTGCATTTATCTCAAGAGTAGCCTAACTATCAAAAAGTTCACTTGTATTAAAGATCGTACTGATCATGATACTAAAACAAAACCCATGAATTTATTCGTTCTTGCTCGCCGTCATTTAGAAGCAATCAAGAACATGTATTTCCAACGATCAGTCAATTGACTGATTTTTGGAATAAAGAGTTCAATTGAGGAAATTGTGTTTCGTGATCAAAAGATTGTGCATGGTGTTTCACTGGTTTGACTAAAAAAAGAGTAGTGGGGTTGGGTGGAAAAGGGAGGGGTAAGTATAGCCATCAACAGCTAATCAATGCACTTCAAGCTTCAACTCTTTGTATATATCTCGATCACCGTGATAGGTGTGAGTAATTTCCCAGATTTTGTTTAAGATGGGGGCCTGGTGTATCGCGGGAAATTTGAATTCTATGAAATACGGACACCTTGGTTGCATTGCGCATGCCTCAGTGAAGATAATCAGAAAAGTGGTGGGCCACGTGTGAGGCCAAGAATCCCTATATCGGGCACGGGGCTGCGTTTCGATTGCAACGGTGTTCCACGTTCTCTGAGCGTTCGCCAACGGTGTTTGGCGAAGCGAAACCGATTTGGGCATTAACTAAACTGTTGTCAAAATGGCGGCGCCCAGTGCCACTGTGTAATTAGAAAAGTAGCAGGTCACATTTGAGGCTTAGCATCCCTACACGGTAAATGAGCCCACGGCTGTGTTTGGATTGCACAAACAGTGTTCCCAACGATGTTTGGCGAAGTGAAACTGATTTGGGCAACTAAACCGTTGTCAAAATGGCGGCGCCCAGCGCCACTGTGTAATTAAAAAAGTAGCAGGTCACATTTGAGGCTTAGCATCCCTACACGGTAAAAGAGCCCACGGCTGTGTTTTGATTGCACAAACAGTGTTCCATGTTCTCTGAGCGTTGACCAATGGTGTTTGGAGAAGCGGAACTGATTTGGGCAACTAAACCGTTGTCATAATGGTGGCGCCCATTGATACTGTTAGGCTGGAAGAATTAACATCGAGTGAGTGTGTAGTTTCGCCAGTGAAATAAGGGCTCCTCAATGATTATCCCACAGGTGCAAACCTTTATAGTAAAATTCCTAACTAATAAAATCTCTTGAGAATTCATCTTCTGTTGTGGTCAGGGCAAGTTGTTGCCCTGACTGTAGCGTAACGTTTACAGTTGCGTTGGCCATTTTGGTAACATTAATGACTCTAGACGTTGTTCGCTTTCGGTTGCTGACGTTCGCCAACGTAGTCTAGGGGCTAGACTTTGTTATGGTTTGATACGCGATAACCGGCCGCCGCGAGAGGGCGTTATCACGACCGACCAATATCATTCACAAACCAGGCAAATTCGTTATTGGTTGTGTAATGCGCGTGCACCTGTTTGGCCTAATATAGCACGCACTGAAAAAAATTCATAGTAGCAAACTCTCAAATTTCTTCCAGTACTATAAAAGACGCAGCAAGACTTTTGTGCATCTTCACTAGTCAGCTCTTTTGTTGTGTGGGACTAAAAAGGGACCGTAATTGCCTGCAGAAGTCGCGCTTGCGCACAAGTTTCTCCCATTTTTGGGGGTTATTTTAGGAATTGGCCTAGATGTTGTTACCAACGGTTCATGGATGACATTGGTTGGTCGTGAAAACGTCCTCTTGCGCGGCAGGTTATCGCGGCAGCGGATTATCGCGTATCAAACCATAACAACATCTAGACCCTAAACTATCACCGACCTTGATGGTGCACAATCTGTTCTACTCTCTTTTGTTGGCAAACGTTCACAAACCTGGTCAACATTCGCGGGAATGCAACGCAACCCAGATTTCATAGTAGTCCAAATTTCATGTGACACTGGCATTTTGTCACAGGTGATTATGTGAATCCGGTTTGTTAGTAAAAACGTCATACACGCGCACACCACTGATTACTAGCGTCCATTGGCTACAAACACTTGAGCTGTGTTAACTTCTGGTTCAAATCATGCAGAAAGCGCTGGAGGTGACGTCACACTAACGAACCAGATACTGGTCTGCACCATGGCTCTCACCTAGGCTAGTCCCATACGTATGATCCCTAGATGGCCCACTGTTGATGTCTTCAGTAGTACCGTTCCATCGCGTCCAGTCTAGCTCATCGGTGGTTGACTGCACCCAGCCGCAAAGGTCTGTCTCAAAATTGCACAGCGTGTAACCGCTGACACCTGCAATGAAAACATGCACTTGTTTCAGACTTGAATTTTCCAGTGTCCCACTGTTATTCAGTACCACTGTAGTTTATTTGATTTGTAATTGTAAAAGCCTGAGCCCCGGTGTTATTTCCCAGGTTTGCAGTACTGCTAATATTGCTAACGTTATTTTGGATGTGATCCGTGGCTACATGGCATTTGCTGGTTTATGGCTTTTGACTATAATGCCCCTTGAACAATTGACAAGCAGGGGAACGAGTGCCTTTGTCCTTTTACCCCCCCCCCCCCCCACCCATCAAATCGACACTGCTACACCACTGAACTTACTACACAGCAGGTCCGTCTCATCAGATCTGTCACCGCAATCGTCGGCCAAGTCGCAGACTTTGGACTCGTCGATGCAGGCCAGGTTGCCGCAGGAGAGTTTGGAGGGGGGACATGTTGGGTCCTCGGGGGGCAGCATGCAATCCATGAAGGAGACGTCATCAATGGCTATCTTGCCCTGGTAGCGCTCTGTGCGTGACTTGGAGAAACGGAGCTAGAAAGACCCAGGGAGGGAGGGGGGGGGGAACAAATAACAACTTTCAAAAATCTTTATAAGCAAACCTTTGTTATTGTGTCATGTCATCCAAAGATGTAAAATCTATTTATTTTTAGGCAAAGTTTCAGCAGTTGCTCCGTGTTATCACTAGCATTCAGGATATGAGTAGCATTGAGTTTCAAGAAAATGAGTCTGAAATTGAGATAACAACATTTCAGAAGTTGCAATCTTTATAAGACGGTGGCGGATCCAGCATTTACTGAAAGGGGGTTGCTCAAAATGGAGGCAAAACTCGAACATACAAGTGGGACATATAAACATCGCTAAAAAAGAAAATCCTTACTTATTGCAGGGATCATAATTTTGAATCTGATAATCTTATGATGACATCATTTATGATGGCGTTATTCGTGTCAAACCTTTCATCTCGTTTTTCTCCAAAATGTATATTTCCGCCACATGCTTGCCTTTCAGCTCGTGAAAACTCACCCTTCTGAGGATGCACAGAGCACACTGGCCCAAACATCGAGTTCTACACTCAACCAACCGGTTCTTTTCAGAACCACACTTCTTCCAAGAAGAGATTTCTTTCCATATGGTGTTACCCGCAATTTTGTCTATTTTATATCATCTGCCATGCAAAGCTTCAAGTCATATATACAAAATCATTCTACTATGCGTCATTGTACGAAGTGTGTCAGTTCGTGAAACCGAAATTATTAATTTTGCTGTTTTTACGAACCTATAAACCACACAACACGTGCATGTGACTTCATGAAAACATTCATAGCATGAACAAGCCTAAGTAAAACACTACCTTTGACAAAAGTAAACAAAAACAAAGCAAAAACAAAAGCAAGTCCCCAAACAACCAATGGAAAAAAAAGTTGCAACCTGACGCCACTTCCGTGATGGAGTACAAAGTATATGGAGAGTCAAGACAATTTTCCCATGTATTTCCTAACAAGATTGGATATGTTTCTCAGTCCCAGATTCTTGTCTTATCGTCATTTTTGCAATGAATGACCTTTAGTGAAATGATATGTGAACACAAAAGTGGCGTCAGGTTGCAAATTTTTGCCAACAAATGAACCAAACAAATTAAAAACAAAAACAAATCCACAAAAAACCAAACAAACAAACAACCAGACAAAAACCAACCAACATACCTTAAATGGGTCCCTCCTCCTCCCAATTCCGACCACCGCCCGCTGCCACTGCTCGCCCTGCGACAACCTCTTCTGCCATAGCAACACCGTATCCTTGGTGACCTGGTCGTCAAGGAAGAGACTGAGCTCCCCCGGCAACGTTCCCGCCATGTAGTAATAGAAGCTGAACTTGCAGTTGGTGCCGGCACCATTGTAGGTCGCTCCCGAGATCTCTGCAATCTGGGCCTCCGTGATAATACCCACTGCTGCTATGTACATGTAATAGCCTGTTGTTCAAACAAGACAAAAAAAGACATTGCTTTATTATTTAATAAACTTTTTGTGTAAGGAATATCAAACTTTATCTTTGCCTTACTTGGGTGAGGTGGGCAAATCCTCCCCCCCCCCCACCCCCCGTAAAAAAAAGCATCACTTCTGGTGAAGAATCCTTCCCCTTACAAAATCCTGGCGACGCCCATGCAGCATAGCCAGTGTTCTCACCATATAGGGGGGCGAGTGGGGGGGGGGGAGGCTGGGTGTGTTTCAGTTATTGGGGGGGGGGATTTTCTGTTAAAGGGACACTAGGTCCTGGAACAGCCCAATTGGGCTACAAAACGCGCTTTGAACGAGATTATGTTAATCAGAAAGATCATTTAAAACTAGGATATAAACATCCACACAACTATCCTTTAAAATCCGGGCGTTTTTGTGTAATTCCTGTGTTATGCGTGCGAGAACGAATTTCGGGGTCCACTTTTGCGACCCCATAAATTCGAGTCGTTTGGATGCTATTTGTGATTTCATTCGTAAAGTTTTCGCCTTTTGCGGATGTTGAAGAAACCACATTTTTTGGCATTGGTGATTGGTCACCGCTGTTCCAGAGACACACAACATGTATATCGTATACTGTATGAGAACGTCACGAAAAACGTATTCGTACTCCGCCGTGTCCGATGTAAACAACCGGGGATTCTTCCCTTTTTCTCCGGAACGGTAAGACATTAGGTTGGTTCCCTTTCAACCACATGTTTGAAATAGGATAAGTAAACAATCCAAAACATGAATTTTTCGGGGATTTCAGGACCTAGTGCCCCTTTAAGCATGGCCATGTTAGCATGGTCACTTAAAGTTATACATGGTCACTGCTGAGGCCACGCACCGCCCAGTTAATATGTCCAAACACACATGGCCTTATATAGCGCGGCACAGTGCCTGCATTTTCATAAATTTTTCATCTGTCGGAAAAGAAAATAACGGGATTCTTCATGTTCTGAATGATGCTTACAGTCAGCTACAAAGCACTGTACCAGTTTTTAGTCTGCATATGATTCATTCTTACTTTTCGAGAAAATTTCACATTGTGTGGAACGATCACTATGGGAGATGACCCCACGTGACGTCACACTGGTACAACGTATAGGACCAACACTATTCCAGTTGGGGGGGGGGCCAATTTCTTTATGGGGGGATCCCCCCCTCCCTTGCTACGCCATTTTACCCATGTTGTTGCAACCTTTTATGAGACATACTAAAAATTATTAATTTATCTCGTAAAAGGTTAACTTCAATTTTGCGTTTGCTCATCAGCGATGTCACTTTCACATAATGAATATTGATTGTGGTACCTGCTGCTATATCAAGTTCAAAGCAGCCAGCAGATCCTACAAAGCTAGTGATTCAGTAGTTAAGACATTAAGACCAAAGACAGCTTGTGATGAAGTTGTCCTTCCAAGCGATTGGGCAGCACTGAGTACACAGCGGTTAAAAAAAACATGTTAATGAAAGGCAAAATCCAAAAGTAAATATTAGTCATGTACAATTTTGAGTTCTTCAACACTTGTTTTTTTCATTCAGAGTTAAGCTAGAAACTTTTGCAGGTGATGTTTGTCAAGCAAAAAATACCTTGGTCCGTTCGGAGTGTAGTGTCTTCCCTCGGCGCTGCATTAGGGGTTGCTATGGTGTCAGCACCCCTAGCTCTCAGCCAATCAAAGTTGTCCGGCATCGTCTCGGTGAAGAAACAGGTGTCCGATTCAAAAGAGCAGGCCATCGCTGAAGGTGGCAATAAAAAGACAATGAGATACATGTTAGCTGCTTCAGAATATTGTCTCCTTCCTTTGCTGATACTCCTCCTCACCAGCATTCTTGCAAGGAATGGCCCTGAATCACCGCTACGCTATGGCTCCGTGCGTGAATAGGAGTTCTTTTTGACCACTTTTGAGAGCTCTAGTGGGGTACGCAACGCATGCATCCACTGGTTCGCGCGTGTATGGCACGAAGTACGCCCGACTAACTATATTTCATTTGGTCACTGCGGGACAAAATCCATTATTCATAACAGACACACATTATTGGTCCCAAACCTTTATCCGGCTGCTTGTTACCATAGCGCACAGAACTTGTAAACAATATCAATTTGTTTTCTTGCCATTTTTGGTTGACAAGAAGCTCAATTCCATTTCTATAGACACGGTTGGGTTCGCACGGCGCACAAGGCGGGATGCGTCTTAGTTTTTGTAGTCACTGCATCGAAAACAAATTTACCCACCTCCTCTCTTCTCCTCCTTGATGACGAAAAGTTAGGAAGTGATTAGTATTGACAAAATATTGTGCATGCTTGACAGGATTCTGCTGGGAAGCAACGGACAGTGTCTCAACTCAAAAGAAATACTTTGCATAAATGTTTAATTTAAGTAGGGTTTTTTACTCAAAAAATGGTTAAAGTGGTCAGAAATTGCCTCAGATGGCACCACAGAGCCTCTAGAACCCTATGCCGTTAGGGCTTTGTGCTTCACGCTTGCATTAGTTTTGATCCATTAGTTCAGTTCTAGACATTTTCTCTATATAATGAACCTAATACACATGAATGTCTTTCAATGGGGATACATGTTTCAGACATAGGCCACCGTTTGATGACTGATCTTGAGAGTTTGTTTAAGTCTCTGTTGTGTTAACGAATAAAAAGATTACAATTTCTACAGTTCATGATAGAAGACTTACGGCACGTCATTTCATCAGATCCATCCGGGCAGTCGGGCCTGAAGTCGCACACTTTGTTTTCATCGATGCACGTCATTCCATCGTAACATGAGAAATCGGTCCGTCGCCGACAGTGGGATGGCACGGTTGTTCCTAAAAAAAAAGTTTAGGCCTATTTAATTGTTTTCACGACAACTGAAATTTGAGTGAAGGTGAAACGGGAACACATGTTCATTTTGTGAACATTCATTGAAATTTCAAGAACTGTTGATTTTTTTAAATATTTTGTCAACACTTCACAGAAGCATCCTCGGCCCCTGGGGAACATTTAATGTAAGAGAGGCACTGAGGCTTGCTCTTGGCCCAGTAGCATACTCAAAGGTCCAAGGGCATAAATCTCGGGGTGAATGGAGAGAATATGTATTCCCCCCCCCCCCCCCCCCCCCACTTTTTGACAAGGGGGTGGGGGTGGGGTTGAACTCATTGGATCATTCCCGCCAGACTTTTGTGACTAGAAACCAAAAAAAAATTTTGAGGTTTCTTTTAACTTTCAAACAGTTAATGTATTACATACTGGTAGTTATGAACAACGGAACACATACTGTACAGAAGCATTAAATACAACGTTTTGATGTAAGGTTAAGGGACGCAAGCATGTAACTTTGTACATTTGTATCTTGAACGGTAACCACTAGTGTCAAGTGGTTTCCTGGCCCCCCCCCCCACCCCACCCCCCCCCCCCCCAACCCGTAACTGCCTTTCAAATTTCCATGGCCAGGCAATTCTTTTATATTTTTGGTCATACCCCATCACCCCCACTGGCCGTCCCGAATTCAAGCAACTGCTAAGGTGCTTCTAATATTTTTTTGTAAATAAGAAAACTAGAAAAACTGATCACATATCGACGAGTCCCACTATTGAAGTTTGGGTTCTGTTTAGACTTTTGGAATGGACATTGATTATTTTTGGTTGAAGCCTTTGAATCAGCACATCCATAAAATATGCGGATTGCTCTTTTACCTGGCGCTTGTGTGGTTGCAACAGGGAGCGGGTCAGGTGACCTGATACATCCTGGGGTCAGGGAGACGTCGTCCAGTGCAATGTCGCCCTCTGCTGTTAGACCAATGACGCCTTCAATAATGATCTAAGACAGGACGATTAAATGTGGGAATTGAGGTGCAATTCGTCAACGTTTCACCGACTGACATGCACGCACTGTGTGTTGTCAGTTGGTGAAATCCGCGTCATCAATCATTTGGGTTTCATAAACTGACAAGTCAGTGTGCGCACTTCATACAATGACGTGTATTTTGGTTTTCACGAACTGAACAAATACATGTGGCAGAAATACCATTCAGAGAAAAACGCTTTTGGAAGGTTTGACACGATTTTACTCCACCCATACACTTGTGGGTTTTACACAAAACCTCAATTAAAAAACCATTTTTTTGCAGGTGAAATTAAGACCGGTTTCAGTTCATGAAAATGAATATGTACGGAGTGTGCTCATGTAGTACCAGGTGTCAGTTTGTGAAAACCAAAATAAAGTGGTTCTGTCCAGTATGTCCGCATGCTCACTCACACGCAACAAAGTGTCAATATCCCACTGCAATAGCTTTGACTATTACGCATGGAATTTATATGTTGGGGGAGGAAAATACAGGAACAAATTTCAGGGGAATATACCCATTCTTGAAAGGAAGAGTCTATATCAGTCTCACCATGAAATCTGAGGTGCTCTGCAGCACAAGTTCTTTGCGGGACCAGTAATCCTTCTCGCCCTCTCGGCTCCAGATGAGGGTCATGGGTCCGTTCATCTTGGTCATCGTGTAGACGTTGAGGGCGCCGACAAAGTCACCACGCATGTGGTAGAAAAAGCGCAGCTGATCAAGGGCAAAGAAAAGGCAATAAATGGTTGATCGGAAACATTAATTTTAAAAAGGAATACTTCAGCTAGTCATGCCAATTTCATTATCTACATGTATATGTGTATTCCAGATTCCTACTACCATATCACCAGGATCATTCATGAATTTCGTTTGTTTCCGATAATAACTCAAAATCCAAAGAAGACCTAACCAGTTGAAGTTTCAGCTTAGTGGATACTACACTTTTCAAGAAAACGGTGAAAATAAACCCTGCACAACATTTTGAGCACGGAACCCTACTTTGACAATATACAATCTTTATTTCAAAAAATTCATTCAAATGATTAATTGTTGCAAACCACCTATATTTCTTGATTTCTTCAAAATGACAGCAAACCAGATGGAATAATTTCATGGGGAGTTTAGTGCTAGTACAATGTTTGATCCAAGTTAAACTTTTCTTGGTAATACTTTGGAAGGTTAATTTTGGGATAAATGCAAATGATCCTTAATGCCTTGAATTACTACTGAAATTACATGTACTATGAAACACATTTTGTTACAACCAAAAATCACGGGCTTTAATTAGTCATGTTTTGGTGCCATAAATTGTGCACTGAGAGTTTTTTTATCATGAAAATACCAAGAATGGAAGCAGCAATCGATCGATGGATGAAAGTCAGAAATAACTTCAAAGCGCTACTAAGCTGGCAAATTCAACAAAGCCGCTCCAGTACTCGTAATCAATCAAGTGACTGTTAACAGTTCCTGTGTACTGTTGGAGATTGATGATTAACAAGCTGAACCTATTCTGTTAACTGCTTTTGTCTGTTCAACGAATTTGATTGTCACAGTGGCAGTGCCTACAAGAAATATGATCCGACTGTTGGTGACTAGCCTGTGTAAAAGGTATACCTGTACATGTATGCAGAGGTGCCATCCATACAACGCATATCAATAAAAAGCCTGAAAACACGTATAGCAAACACCGGCTAAACCGACATCGTTGAACTCGTCAATTCGCTCAAGTCCGCCGTCTGACTAAAGTCCCGATTGTCCGTAATGCATTTCCATTGATTTTATTATTTCTAAGTCGGCTTTTATAAGTCGCCATTTTGCTCAAGTCGTTGTGTTACTCTCGGTTCCCTTTCTCTAAAAAGCATTACAAAATCCTTTGTGTAAGTCGGCATTCAACAAATCACGCATTGGCATCAACTTCCTGTTCTGAGGTTGGCAAAGCGTCGAGTGAAAGTGGTTTCGCACGGCCCGTGATCTGATCACTGCATGCATCGGTGTCGAAAAAGGATATCCTACTGCATACATCGCATATGCATCATGAGCATATCAATACCAGTACCCCCTCTCGGCTGTACACATGCGCTCTATCCATTTTGGGGGTCGTCTTATTGAATGACTACTGCTGCAGTCAATGCGTGTGTGGTATATACGGGACCACGCACGCACGTTACTGTGCACATACATAATGTATCGTGGTCTCCACTATCAATACCCCAATTACCCAAATGTGATGATACAATTTGAGGATTAATTTGCTGGATTCAACTCAAGCATTAAGGAGATAATCCAGGGTAAATCGAAGCCAATTAGTGCAATGAATCATGTGTGCAAAAGACCATCCATGTAACTCGGCAAAATGACGACTTACAGCAGATGTCGGCATTCGCATAAGTCGTCACAAATTCTCGGGTCCCGAGAGTGCCGGTTTAGCCAGAGTTTACTGTACAACTAAAAAACCTGAAACAACCCTTACCCCTTTTCAATTTTTTTTTTTTTTTCTGGATGTTTCAGACCAAATCCAGCACTTTTAATTTGTCACATTCAGTTTTTGAGAAAAAAAACCACCTGAATTCAGGTTAAACCCTGAAAAGTGGCATCTCTGCATATGGCAGAGGAACGGGGTTGCTTTTTTGACACTGTCTGTGATTGTTCAGACAGCAGGATTTTTGGGAAACCACACCCCAACACCAACACTACACCCTCTTGCTATAGCTATGGATAGAAAATATGAAGTTTTTAAAATGATTTTTGGGGTAAGAATAATATTTTTTAAATATCTTGATGATTAGAACTTACTGAGCAACCGTCCACCACTGCAGGAGCTCTGAGGGGGTAGGAGGCAAGTTGAGCCTTGTCATTGATGATTCTGGGCGAGCTAGCCTCCGTGTAGATGTAATAACCTAAAAAGGTACCAATCAAAACAGATGAGAAGTGAACAAGATACACTAAAATTGTCTTCAAAAAGAATTATCAGCACCTGGTTTTACCATGAAACAAATGAGAACACAACAAAATTTCATTTAGTAAAAAAAGGAAGTCGTACATGTATGTGCACTGTCAGAGAAGTTTGTTATCGACTCCTTCTATGCACAGCCATCCACTCAGAAAGCAAACCCACAGAACATGACTTCCTTATATTTTTGTAAACTTAAGCACCATTTGTTGTCATAGCCTACAACTTTGCTCTGGTGCATTCCTCTCCATGTAGGTCTGTATATATCTGTTAATCATGTTAAGGCCCTGTCACACTGTCACGTCCATGTATGGCATTCATATTGCGTTGTTGAAATTTTTAAAAATGTAACAAAACGCCACGAAGACGCAGGATTCATGGTACCAGTGGCTTGCAATGCGTCTCTGTGAAGTCCACCGGAAGTCTAAGACGTCCGTGTGGTGTTCTATAGCGTTCTTGTGGTGTTCTCTATGAGTTCCATTGAAGACCAATTAGAAGTCTGTGCGGCGTCCTTTGCATCCCCGCTGCGTCCTCATGGCATCCAATAAGTTGGTACGATGTTCGTGGATTCCTTGTTGCGCGTTTGATGCGACCTTAAAAATTTGTGTGACGTCAGCAGCCAGAAGCGCGGCGTGTATCCTTGGGCCAAAACGGGCGATAGTTATCATGAGTCTTTACATTTTTAAGGACATAAATCGACGCAGGAGACACAGAAGAGACGCACAGTCCTGATACATGCACATCCGTGGAGTTCTCATAACATCGCTCCCGTCTGCCTACGCATTGCCAGTATGCCATGGCCGTTCGCAAGGAGTTCTCGCAGAGTCTTTACCGCATTCTGGTCAAAATGCCAAGGCACGGCATTTGTTTTGTGCATGTCCAAAACAAACGTGGCAGTTTGGCGTTCAGCAAAGTCCTTGGATTCCCTCTGAAGTCCACACCTAGTATCAATGAGTCCCTACGCCATCATCTGCATTCCCACCGCGTTTTAGTCAATTTTCTTGGACGTGGTATGAACTCTATACCAGAACGTGACAGTGTGACAAGCCCTTTATTTGTTCATATTTGAAATTTTTTTATTGCACCGATAAACACAAACACTGGGCTCAAATACAACCCAGGACAAACAAATAGAAACAAAAATAGTAAAAAAATAGAGATAATACAAAGATCAACAACCACAGAAACTAACATGGCACACCTTAACGTTTCCCTCTCTAATTTCCTCATGCAGTGTTGCCAAACTCTTTGTTTGGCAACACCTGTACGGAGTCCACAACTGAATCAGCGTGGACGTCAGTAAGTCCACACAATTAGCCTATCGCGGTGGATCGCGTCAACGCAGCTTGTGAAATATTGTCCAATTACATGATATATTTAATGGACGCGGAACGCGCAAAATCTGAGACAAACAAAACTTAACGTCCCCTTTTCCATTGGGTTGTCTAAGGGGCGTGGCTAACTCGCAAATGGCAAAAGGTCAATTAACTTACAAGTCCATCACAACTCAATGACAAGTCTTCCAGTCTCAAGACAAGTCACAAGCTATTTGAATGATGCAACAGAGGCTATCTTCTGTTATTGTCAACCTCATGACCAGACTTGTGATGGACTTTTGAAAGACTAAGAAATAATGCTCCGGATAACAGTTCACCTTCAGACGTGTAGGTGGTGTGGTCAGTTCTTGGCCCAGTGCCGTCAGATCCCGTAGCTCCCTTGCGCCGTGTCCAGTCAAAGTCGTCATTGGCAGCCTGGTACCACATGTCACCGCAGATACCGGACTCAAAATCACACATGGAGTAGCCATCTACATGATGAGAAATTACGGTAACAAATGTTAAAGGTACATGTGATCTCTTTGTTGTGTGCCTGGCAGAAGGGCGTATGCGCTTACACCCTTAAGCGCGAACGAGTAATCACCAAAATATTTCCAGCAAAAAGGAAAATGTAACCTGCTGTTGCAAAATGAGGAATGTCCCCCAAAACCTTGTTTTGAGTAATTGATGCCTGAAGTCGGATATACGTAAAAAATCATGTCAAAATCGATTTTGAGTATTTTGTATTTTTCAGTAGCCAAGGCATATCAGATTCACACTGTATTTTTGTTGGGGAAAAATATATCTCAAAAGTGGGGCAAACAATAAAGAACCTTTTTCACTGCCGTTGGCGTTGCTATGTGTATTATTTTCAAAGCCACTTTTCTCAAAATGAGGTCGGGGAAGTTTGATGGGACACTGTTGAAGTTCCTGTGGCATCTTTTTATTACATTAAGCTAGAGAAATGAATTTGGTATCATTGGAAAGTCCATATGTGCTTTAACATGATGTACATAGAACTTGAACAGTCAAAGGTGGGGTTTATTTCTCAATATGACATATATGGCAGGTAATATGCACTGTGTAGAAAACTGCCACTATTTGAATGACATAAACATTTTCACTGAAAATTAACGCACATTTTTCAAAAATCTATGATTCATAAGTGTGACAAATTAACATTTTGTGCGATTTTCAATAGGCGTGGGAGAATATTAGATTCATAATACACGTGGGGGAACATTGCATCCTTTCAATGCAATTTTCTTGAAGTAGATTTTTCGCGTCAGAATGCTCATCTACCTTTCTGCCAGGCATCCGACGATTTGCTCTTCTTGCACAAACATGGATGTGCCCAGCAGGCTTCACTTGTACGGAGAGCACTCTCGTAGTATACAAATATTGAGTGGCTCAGAGTGGAATGGGAGGAATATTATCACAAGGTAAAATCTGGACTTTTCTATTTCCCGAGGCGAAGCCGAGAGAAATGGAAAAATCCAGATTTTACCGAGCGATAATATTCCTCCCATTTCACAATTTAAAGCCACTCAATATTTGTTTTACGTAACTGACATTATAGATTCGTGTCATTTTTACAATTAAAATGAACTTCTATTTCAATACAAAATTGGTGGGAAATGTATTCCTCTCTTCCAAACCACCCCTTCACGAGAACCCAAGTTTGTAGCTGGCTCTTTGGAACAATATGCGCTGCTCGCAATGCTCAATGCGCACACCAGCATGCATTTGCACACAGATACCGCGCCCTGGAACAAGGATGATCCTAACTGTTGAATAGTAAATCCCATTCCCCATGGGCGAATGGGACTTTTTTTAGCCCCGACCTGAATAGCAGCGATAATGAATGTCACGTGATGTGAGTTCCACCAGTCAAATGACAAGGATCTGTATGTCAGTTCTATAATTTAACTGACAGAGACAGACAGGTGGACAAATAAAACAGCTACAGATCCTCACAGTTCCTGCAGAAGGATTGCTGCTCGTCGCTCAAGTCGCAGCAGTCTACCTGGAAGTCACAGCGGCGGGACGTCGGGTAGCACTGGCCAGACGAGCACTGCGACTCAGTGATCCCGCAGATGAGTTGACTCTCGGCAGGCGCGCAGTCTTCAAAGCGTATGTCGTCAATGGCAAAGCCTCCCTCTGATGGAATTTCCTGTCTGTCCTCCGCATCTATGATTATCTATGGTCAACAGAAGGTTGGAAGATCTCATCAGCATATGGTCCACCATACCAGACTGAGACCTGGAGTGGTCTGAAACGTGCAAAACTAAATCAGGCCACGTTTACTCACTCTTCAGCCAACAAATTTCTCCGAAATTTTCATTTGGCTAAGAAAAGGTCCTCAGTATTTCACCAACCAAGTTTGAAGACTGACTTCAATGTTTAAAGGGACTTGTCTTCAATATTTTGCATGTGGAGGGAAGTCAAAGATTTCAAAATGAGGCTAAAGACTAGACTGGTACATGTCCAACCATGGCCCAACTGTTTGAAAAGACTGACCTCTTCATTTTAATTAGTCTGGTGACTGACTATGGAGAAATGTGTAGAAATAGAGACTAGTTTCTGCTATGCAAGATGCTTCTTTTGACACAGTTGATTGGTGCAGTACTGAAGGGTTGTTAGACCGGTTGTTTCATGTGCCAGTCTATTTTCTTGTATTGCACGTTTTCAATACCTTCAGTTCTGGGACTCTCATACACAAGTACTGCGAGTCCAAAATTTTCGGACTATAGGTCCACCACGCAATATTGACCGATCAATTAGCTCTGCCTAAATATGTGGACAACACACATGCACACATGTCTGATGTTTGTGCAGGCATGTCAGACACAGGCATGCAACTGGGAATTTAGAACAAACGAGGAAATTCCAAACCACACAAGACTTTGGACAGTGTTTTTCAATTTGTAATGGCATTAGTAAAAAAGCAAGGAAATCAGCGGATCAAAGGAAAAGTTGCATGCCTGCAGACAAAAAGTTGGGGAGCCAGGTTAACATAGCGGTACTTTCCTTGTCTTCCACTGCTGTGACCCGGGTTCGATTCCTACCTGGGCCAATATGTGGATTGGGTTTTCAGTCCCAACTTGACTCTGTGGGTTTTCCCTCAGAATCTTCTTCAGGAATTTCCTTCATCTAAAACGGTAATTTCTCCACATTGTCTTCTCTTCACTGGGCCCCATGGGAGACAAGCGGATTCCACTGAATGGGCTACCCAGTTGTGAATAAGAATTATAACTGAAATACAAACCATGGCTTTGATTGTTCAAAACACCATCGGCCAGGAATACTGGACCAGTCCATTTGGCCGGTAAAAAATAATCTTTTGAAATGTCATGTGATTAATTGTCAACCCAAAATTTGGTACAACCATTGCACAATAATACTAAATGTTCATGATTCAGAATGTGTTAGATGAATGTTAGATTAGTTAATAGAAAGCTAGGTTGGGATGGCATGGGGTAGAATACTAATTGCCTTTAGGGAAAAATGCAGAATTAACAAGCGGTAACGAGAAGTCATACCCGGAGGTACCCCACAAAACCCTGTTAAACCTCCTAAAACCTCAGGGTACACCTCGTGTTATTGTCTGTTTAATTTTACATTCTCCCCTTGCTTGTTTTGTCAAAAGCTGCCAAAATTCAGCAGCTACAGAAATTCACCTGGAAATTTGTCGCGCAAGAGTCAACGGCAAAGTCCTCGTAGATCCACGCATTCTTGTCGCTGATATCGTCGCTGAGCTTCAACAACTTGCGCTCGCCGACGCTGGTTCGGATGATGACCTCGAGGTCACCGAACTCCACGCCAAAGATGTAGTACCAGAGGCTGATCTTGCAGGAGCGGCCACAGAGGGAGAACGTGGGGCTGATGATTCGGGCACGGTTGTTGAGCCCTGGTGAAGTTGAACCATCAACATACAGGTAGTGACCTTTTGGGTAATAAGAAAATAAAAACTATCGTTATCATTATCAGGTCCACCATATGACACAGCTTACAGTTGGTGACTGACTTTTCAGGATCAAGCTGGGCCTGAGCTACGACCGTAATTGGAAACAAATAAGTCGCTATTTTTCGCGACCTGAGTGTAACTGCTACGATATTAGGGAGGTTTCGAAAGCGAACGCATACGCTTACACTTATGCTTAGCTATCCGTATCCGTTTTTAACTTACGTGTAACGAGCGAGATATGCGTGTCGTCTGCACGTTTAGCAGATAGTGAGTGGCGTATGACATCATACGTGCAGACGACACGCATATCTCGCTCGCTACACGTAAGTGTAAGCGTATCCGTTCGCTTGCGAAACCTCCCTATCAAGACAATCATCAGCATCAGTTGGCACGTAAAAAAAATCCGACGCAAGATGGTCCCAAGCGAAAAGGTTCTGTTCCGGTTGTGCAGTCGGTGTGCTGATACAAAATGGCTTGCTTTTAACGAAGGTCGCAAATCTAGAATCTTGACAGTGCATTACTAACGTGAGCTGCGTGGTGAGGACAGCACCATACTATTGCAGGAACGCAAATGGACAACGTTGAACACAAGAGAGTGCCAATTGGATACGGCCGCGATGGCAAGTATTGGGTACTAGGGCCAAGTTCGCGCAAGGACTATAGTTGACCAATGGTTAACCAACGAACTGAAGTTCGACTAACTTTTGCCCAAACTCTGTCTAGTCGACGGTGGTTGACTACGCTAGTCGACTATTTGGAACCAACCTGGGACATGGTTGCATCGCTGGTAACCAATAGCTGCGCGCATTCATAACGCTAGCAGAGAGCCAGGATCCAGAAGTTTTGCGATGACATTTTGACCAGCATTTGACTAGAGACGTTTGCACGTTCGCACACCAAAGAGTCCGTATGGTGTCCAAATTTCACACTACACCGGTATCCTGCGTATCCTGCTTACCAGTGAAACTGCCTAGTGTGTGGTCTTCCTTTGGTCCCTGGTAGCGGTCACCAGGGTCCTGCCCTCCGAGACGCACGCTCCAATCAAAATCATCCGCTGTGTCTTGGGTCCAGTAACACAAGCCATCTTCAAAGTTGCACGTCTTAGCTGAAATGGAGAAAGGCAAATGTTTGAAACAATTAAAACTTTCACTGAGAATTCAGAAGATGAAATGTGCGTCCCAAGGGTTATGTGAATTCAATTCAGGTAATTTGCCCTTCACCAACGTATTTTTATTATCAGAGTAGGCCTAACCTCCTCATAGCGCATGCGCACAATGAAATATGTGTCAACACGGGCCATTCATGATTTTAATTAAACGCTCATTGAAGGCGCATGAACGTATTGAACGCACACGAACTCTACAATCAGAATGGGCATTCGATCACGTATTACATTCATTGAATCTAAAATCATCACAATTCACATCAGTGATTTTATCCCGAATGACCTTTGACATGGACTAGGCTACTTCATCGAGAACGGGTGATACTCAGACTAGGGAGGACGTGGCCGCTGGGGAAAAAAACTGTTTTTACCTTTAAAGCTTCAGCACGGATGCAACAGTTCAATAAACCATGGAGCTATATCTCCATGAGTAAACGGACTTGTTTACAGGCATGACATTATTGACAGGAGCTGACTCGCGATTACACGTTGAACATGTTGAAGTTGCCATGATCATTGAGGCAGAATTTTACCAGCTCCATGGTTGACAGAACGGAGAAAGTGCGGAAAGGGTCAAAGACTACAGAGGGCGCAATCACCACTACTTACATACTGGCATGACTTATCTTTTCCTTTCTTTAAAGCCCGAGTCCATCATTTGCAGCTATCCAAAAAAGTAACCGGCGTAATTATTGTTGAAAAACATACTGGTTGAAAGATAGTAAGGCGACTAAACTCCCTGTGAAATTATCCTTTCGGCAAGCTCTCATTTTGAAGAAATCAACGAAAGAAGGCATTTCCAACGGTGTTTCTTAAGAAGCACCGTAGGAAAATTTAAATTAGTTGTTCGTTTTCAGGCGCGGATCCAGGGGAGGGCCGCGGGGGCACGTGCCCCCCGTCAAATTTGAGTCAAAAAAAAAAAAAAAGGAATAGAAGGGGGAAAAAGAGGGGAGGTGAGGGAAGGAGGAGGGAACCTCCTTACAAAAATACCGGCGCCGATATTAAACATGAGCCTGCAAACATTGCGTACTCGACTCGAAAAGCTTCGAAATAAACCGCGATCCCATCGTACGTACCCCGTACGTACGTACATGTACGTACGTATTACCCTGCATATACCGTTATTACATGCGATTCATACGAACGTACACGATTTATTCTCTACGAACATGCAGCTTTATGTGCGCGACAAACACACGTTCCGCAGTGCTCTTTGGACCACACCATTGATCAAGGGTGTGTTTTAGTAAGAACAATTTGCCAGCAGTTCCACATGCTTTTGAATTACAAATTATACTTTTTTCACGGAGTCCAAAACATGTCCTTGTTTTAAATTGACTTCTTCAACGTCACGTCATCATATAATTTTCGTAAAGACTTTATTCGAGAAACGATGTAAAACCCTGAAAAAAATTGTAACACCCCTGAAGGTCATGGATCCGTCCATAAAACGTTTTTTTAACAAAGAAAGTTGAGATCCAAAAGTTGGGTTTTGACGTTACTACGCGTTGCAGAAAATACAAATCTGATAAGTTTGGTACATAAAAGAGATCTGTTTGTCTGAGGACGAAAACAATCAGCAGTTATTGCCCAAAGGCAAGTTTTAGCACTCGAGACATGCTCTTGCAAGCTAGACAGAACGCAAGTGTGTTGCTTTTTGAATTGCAAGCGAGATTAATTTGATCGTACAGTCAATTGACCGGTTCCGCAATTTGACCAGTTCCGCAATTTCGGAAAACTAGCTCTCGTTTTCAGGAAGACGAAAACGCCAAGGACTTAAACTTTGGTACTGATGGAAAGGTTATTCAATCTACTTTTCAAAAATGGTTTTAGTTTTAGGATACTCACTTACATTTAAAAATAAATCCCCTACGACCGTCACTTGCCGTTAACGAACTGCCGAAATGGAACGCGCACGGAAGCGTGATTTCATGTTTGTCGGCCTGCTACACGATTGTTCAGGGGAACTAAATCATGGCGATTGATGCAACTTGTTCGGAAATTATTCATTATTCCACCATACAAATATAAGATTTGAAGTCTTTGAATTTTTTTTTCTATACCCACCAGAGTAACTGCTGGTCGTTTGGCCGGTTCCGCAAACGCATTCTGCCTATACAATACACTGGCCATGGTGTGACTGTATTAACCAGTGCTGCTATTGACAAGTATTGTTGATGACGGCCCCCTAGCGCGGTGCACTTTATTTATTTTGGCATGAATCCTTCTTTTTTTACAACTTACAAAGAATTGAGAATTTCTATTTATTTTTAATCCTTGTTTTAAAAATGTCGAATTTGATGATCATTTCTGGGTGTTCAGTGCAAAAAATTGAAAACTAAATTGAAACAAAATGATTTTGTTTCTGTCCAGCTTCCGGACAGCACTGTAGGTTTTGGATAAAAAAAATTTGGACTTCAAAATTTAAAATACAAAAATCTTTCTCAATACTTCCCACTAAACGCTTTTCCTTTGCTCTAAAAAAATTCACCCCATACTTGATGTTGAAGCAGTTGTGCCTCAGGGGTTTGAATTCATTTTAGAGTTACAACTCTCCACATCCAGGGTGCATGAGTCAGCCCAGGCTAGGAGGTGAGGTTTGTGGGGACCAATTAAGAATAGTGCATAATAATATGTTTCTAACCCAAAGGACATTTCCAGTAATTTAGTAAATTTAAAATTATCCTTTTTCGGTGGGTTCTAACCTTACTCTTTACCCTTTCATAATGAAGACCAGTCTCTCGTCAGTACAGAGACACAAATTTTGATTGTTTTCTTGGAGCACAAAATTTGTCAAATACTATAAACCATTTCTCATTTTTGTCTCAATCGGTCATAAACTAAACGTTTTATATAAAATTTCTTTTTCATACAGACAATGCCAAAGACAAAGAAGAAGATTACGCCAGCCTCCTGATAGGCCATAAGAGGCCATCGGCACATCTTTTTCAGTTTTACCTGTGAAGGTCAAGAAGAAGTTGAATATTATAGTGAAAGTACATGTAGCTGTGTGTCTTCATCACCATTTCTTTGAATTTTATTTATGTGACAAGTTTTTTTGTATAGTGCTAGCTTCTGGAGTGCTTAAATTATTTGTGTATAACAATTAAACAGACATGCAGGTGTCATAAAGGCAATAAATTTAAAGGCGTTACATACATTTTTATTTACCAGTACATGTGAAAGAGAAGTGAGGTGTTTGAAAAACTATGCTACTTTGCATGAAAAACTCACAGGACATGTCTATTTCTGTGATTCATCACCATTTATTTATATGACACGTATATTTTTGGATTTAAAAGGGGTAGCTTCTTGAGTGCTTTAGTTTGTATTACATTTACACATGCAGGTATCACATGTCAATATATTGAAAGGGTTATCGGGATATACGTGATGAATGTGTTGACATTTTCTTTTAAGAGCATCATCGAACAGTAGATGAGGTTTGCTAATACAGTTGCCCAAGCATGATACATGTACATAGTTAATATGTGCAACAACGTATGAGGAGTAACTGAACATTATAATTAGAAATTGCCATTGCTATGAAACAGCCATAGGATTTATGACATTTTTAACAATTTGTTTTAATTTGTTTGTGAAATTTAATTTGAATGTGAAACAATATGTGCATGTATGTGGCCTGTATGTATCTGGCCTGCTGAGGCCTGTTCCCCCTCCCCTCCCGGCCCCCAGGTTCCCCCTACTGGATGTTGGTGCACACAAAATTAAGCATATTGTGTTGTTACCCTGAACAAATTGAAACACTGCCCCCCCCCCCCCCCCCCCCCCCACAAAAAAAGTAACATGAAAAAAAGGAGGAGGGAATAAAGAAAAGTAAATAAATAATAATAATTAAATAAAAAAATAATATTAATAAACAGTGCTCCCCTGCAGACAATGATTCAGTTCCAATTCATCCAGCCATGCAGTAACTTCCTTAAGTGTCATAGGAATTAAAAATGATCCTGGAGAAAATATTAATTCAAATTCATAAATTATCTGGTCTGTGCTTATGTGAGAAAAAAACAACCAACTGGAGCAATTCGGTACAAGGTTTGTGTCTGGTTCTATTCAACGTCAGAGTGTGTCTAAATAAAAATAAGACAACAAAAAAGCAAAATATTAGTGATTGCAAGATGATAGACAGAATGCACAAAAAGCAAGAAAGTCATTTAATTGGATTGAAGCAAGTCAAATAATTATAACGTAAAAAAAATCCAACGAACCATAACATTTTCATGGAGTTACACTTTGTAAATTTGGACGCATTATAATGTGCAGACCTTGGCTCATGCACAGGGAAATATAATCCACATCTTTTCTTGGCTGGTTTGGGGGCAAAAACGATCTAGATTTGGCCAGTGAACAAGGAATATTTTCAGTCCAGTATCGCAGAGGGCGCCGTTTGCGAAACCGGAAAACATTTGCGGAACCGGTCAAAGCACCGACCTCTACAAAACGTCCTGGCAAATTTCTCTTTCAAACGATCACAGAAAACTATTCATATCATGAAGTAGGTGAGTAATTTGCGCATATTTATAGATAGGTAGCTTCCTGTGAAAGCGCGTTTTTTCGCCACAAGACGCTTCAGACGATTTGCGATTGCGGAACCGGTCAAACGACTGTAGTTCGCCGGTGGCGACGCGGGCCGGCATCCGTGCCGGACCGGGAGGTATACGCCTATTCCCGATGTTTATTTCTCAACGTACGTTATCATCAACAATTATTTACTGTAATTTTTTTTTACATAACTAAATGACGAATCCACCTTCAAAATTGTACCATGTGGAAATTGCAATCATGGCGCCGAAAGACCCGATGTCTATTATAATGTAAAGACCAGACGCAGTGTCTCACACAATTTGTCTTGCTGCGCCGCCGATCTGCCGATGGTTTATTTACAAATACATGCACGTGTAATAGGCCCTATTCTTGAAATTGAAACTTGACTGAATTAAAAGAACATTTCTTTGAAATGTTTGGGCATTTTACATTATGCAAAAAAAGAGGGAGAAATTTGGATGACCGTATGATTAATTTCTGTAGTCATGAGATAAAACTGAGCTGTGAAGTTACAATGCAGGCTAATTGCTCCTCTGTTTTAGTTTGATTAAATTACACTAATTTTAAACTTGAATTCAATTAACATGTTCAAGCGGTTTCTTCTTGTTGATAAACTGAAAATTTCAACTTGAAACAAAACATTAGAAAGCATCCTTACACCAGTTTACAAACTAAGTTTTTACAATTCCTTTTTCAAAAATATAATGCACGAAGACACATGCAGACGAAAATACATGGTATCAAGTGATAAGAAACTGAGAAGGAATCAATGAAAAAATCTTATAATCTTAAAACAATTTACTCAAATAACTCCGGGGAAGAGGGGCCAGGAATTGCCTCAGATTGCACCACAGAGCATCTAGAATCCAAAATTTCCTGGGCCCTTAAGCGGGCCCCGGACCCCACGCCGAAAGATGTTCGCGCTCCGCATTGGTCTTCGGAAAGATGCCCTATACTCATCCTTGCAAGATACAATTCCTTTTCAAAAATAAGCACGGAAATAACTATGCAGACAAAAATGTTTGGTTATACAAGTGAAGAACAGAAGAAACTGAAAAGGCTTGTAAACGCAAGAGTATATTATAAACCAATGAAAAACATCCTTATAATCTTAAAACGTTTTGCTCAAATAACTCCGGGGAAAAGGGAATCCCCTCAGAATACACCACAGAGCATCTAGAATTCTAAATTTTCCGGGGCCCTTAAGCGGGCCCCGGACCCCACGCCGTAAGACAGGCGTGATCCGCACTCGCATTAGTCCTCGGAGCAAATGCCACAACGCACCGTTGCAACAGTTTACAAAACGAAGTCAATACAATTCCTTTTCCAAAATAAAAAGCAAGAAAATATAAAGACGTAAAATGGTTTTCGACTTTCAAGCACACAGTAACTTAAAAATTGTAAAAGTAAGAGTATGTTTTAAAAAAATCCTTAAAATCTTAAACACTTTTGCTCAACTAATTCAGGGGAAAGGAGCCAGGAATCGCCTCAGATTGCACCACAGAGCATCTAGAATCCAATTTTTTTTTCGGGCCCCTTAAGCGGGCCCCGGACCCCACGCCGTAAGGGCTTCGCGCTCCGCGCTCGCATTAGTTCTCGGAGCAAATAATTTTGCTCCAACAGTGTGCCCCCCGTCTACAAAAATCCTGGATCCGCGCCTGGTTTTGTTATTCGGCGCAGCGCGCACAAGCATTGGAACGACGCACAGGCGCGCGCGGTTGCTATAATTCGTTGGATCAGTGCGCAACATCGCGTAAAGCTGCAATTCAAAACAATTCGAAACATGATTTAGCAACTTCTGATTTTACATTGAGATCCTAGAATGCTGTTTTTCTCGGAATATGAAGCTGAAGCTGAGCTGAAACTTCATCAAGTAAGTTGTTCAGTATCCTTCATTAGATTTTGAACACTTTTGTTGCTTCAAACGAACAAAATGCACTAATTACAAATGATGGACTATAGCTTTAATTTTTAGGTCGCAGGTATTATAATTTAAAGCAATAAAACTATCGCTAGCAAATAATGCAACAAAAACTTTGTGCTGATTAAGTGTAATTTTAAAATTAACATTCAATTAATATCTTACAAATACCTCGTTTTCTTATAATAACATTCTGTTAACATGCTAAACATGTTTGAATTACAGGACGAGTCAAACTTAAATTAAAAAAAAAGCGGAACCAAAAAAAACCAAAGAAATATAAACAACTTCATATGTAGCCGGGCACCGAAATTAATTATGACTTGGAATTAAGCCCATTTATTAAACTACTTTTAAGGTGAGAAAATTGTTTCAATTGATCTACACGTTAAAATGGTATCACTATTTAAACGAAATAACCTAAATTTTCAGTTTCGTCCACAAAAAAAACCAATTGTGTACGTTTTGACTATTGTGAACAACAAATAAATAATTGACATTGAAATTACTTGTTTCAAGTTGTTTAAGTTATAAACAACTGTTAACCATAGGATATAAAAATCGATCTTTTAAAAAAAAACGGGCCTTCAAAAGGGCTTTGTTGAATATTTGTAAAATTTAAAATGAGGTTCGCTGGTGATGTTTGAAGGTATATAACGACAATTCTTAAAATCGCATTTTTGGACGAAATAGATTTTAGGGTCATTCGTTTAAATGGTGATGTAATTGGAACGGATTAAGCAATTGAAGTAATTGTTGTTGTTTTTTTCATTTAAAAGTAATTTATTAAATATTAAATTGGGTTACCATGCAGTCATAAGTATTTTTGGTGCAACGTATACTTTTTTTTTAAATATGAAATATTTCCCAAGTCTTTTTAACTCAGTGTATTATCACAATGTTACAATAATTTTTTGTGAAATGTTTTTAGAATTTTATTCACGGAAAATTGTCGTACTAAAAAATAAAATTTTGATATCTTTTTGATGCAATGTATTTAAACTTTTCACATTTTACAGATGTTATGAGATATTACTTTCACTATAACTGCCTCAGTTAAATTATTTTAAAATATTATGTCAATCTGTACACAAAACATTATACGACATTAATTTAATATTTGACCAAAACATTTACCAATGACATAAGCAGAACATTATTTTAAGGATATTACCAAAGAATGTTTAAACAATTTGATTACATATAATATCTATAATGACACAGTCAACATATGTATTATTATTTTAATAAACAACATTATTCTAATGTGATTTTCTGTACATCAACATGTTCAGAAAACCATCCTAGATATAGACAAAGACTTTACAAACGTTTTCAAAACATAAGAGAAATATGTCAGATAAATGTTTCAGTCGCTATACATTAGTAAAATTAATGTTGGAAAAACTGCAGATCGAAATATTACAACGATACTCGTAACTTATTTTCCCTTTTAGACATTACACATTTTAAAGATAAATTGGTATTTTACCGTACAAATTATGTCCATGTCTGTAGTGTAATGACGTTATTAGAACGTAAAAAGAAATATAGAAACATTTTCAAAGCATCGCATGAATCTTGTATATTTCCTCGTATTTTGTAAACATTCTCTTGGTGTGAATAATGACCAACACGTTTTGAGAACGGATTTTATTAGAAATATCAGACAAAAACTTTGCAAACATTTTCACAGCATAAGACAAAAATTTCAGATAAATGTTTCAGCCGTGACCGTAATGTTAGTAAGACGTTAGAGAAACTGCAAATTCAACACCGTTGTTGCAGCCTTGTACAACTTGGTCCCAACAGTCAGAACGCACAATATATTGGTTTTTTTTTGACGAAACAGGTTTTAGGGCCATTGCGTTCAAATGGTGATATTCTTTGAACGGATTGAGCAATTTCATTATTTGTTTCATCTGAAAGTGGTTTATGAA